TGTTACATAAAACCATGCTCACGACAAGACAAACCAACGTCTTCGAAGAGAGACGACTACTCGTTTCAATTTCCTGGATGACTACGCACAGCGTTATTCAAGAACATATCCTTCAGATTATTGTGAGACTTTTGAAGCATCACATGCCTGATTTGACGTCGACTTCTTAAGAGAATGCAGTACGAGTAATGAGTTATTTATTATTCGATGATTTTTCGAGTCCTTGGTTCAAATCCTTCTCCACAATAGAGCGAGTGATACGCACGCATTACGTATCTATAAATAAGACAACGAGATTCTCAAGTTTTCATAACCAGATTTTTGAACGATAGTAAAATATTTCAACTGCTGAGTCATAGCAATGCGACCATAATGTAATCTCAACAACCGTATTCCTCCTTCTTCCTTGAGCGGACGGGCAGAGCAAAATTGGATTCAGTGAAATGGATCCCTTTGAGTAGTTTTAGTGATTCGTTTCAACTCAGTGGTTGGAAAGTAGAGTGGATTTCATCCTTTTTCTTGTCCTTCTCCTTCAACTACTCGTCTGCAACCACTATAAACAGGTAAACAATCTGCACTAAATGAATCCATAACTTCCCCTTTGAGACAACTTCTTTTGAACTTTCTGCCCCCACAAAGCACTGCGAGGACGGTTGACGGTTTCTTACGCAGATAAAACTGGGTGGATACAGCAAATTTCAAATGTTATTAATCTCGTATTTCTGTGAGACAATCACCCGGATACTGATAATACTCGGATATGTGTGACCTGAGAGAGCTATTTCACAATTGATTCCTTATTCATAAACCTTATCAATAACTTCGGGCAAAGTATACATAAATATATCTTGATATAAGAAATAAGTCGGGTAGGTGACAAACAAACTCCTGTAAAAGAGTCACATTTCGCATCGACAAATAAATTCATAAGTTGGCAGAAAAGGATCAATCGGGCAATCTAAAGTGTTAAGTAGTTTGCTAAAACTAAAAACTAATGGAACAGTAAGCCTGACAACTTTTGATGGTATAAACTTTGGATTTCTTCACATTAACACTTTCAATCAACTTCAAGTTTATTGCTCTCCAGCAATTTTACAACATCGCCAGTGACTTCTTCTTCTGGGAAGCAAGAAATTTCAAATACGTGTGTCTATCTGTCTGGCTATTCGCGAGGGTCTTTGTCAAACCGACTTTCCATTTCATTGGTCTATTTTGACGTTTCTGGCAGTTCTTTATTTTTTCTTCTGCCACAAATAAAGATTGACGGGTTCATAGGAAACTTCTCTTCTCGTGTCAATACGTACTTGGTGGTAGTGCTTAAATTGCTGTATTTTTGCTTTCTCTGTTAGGTTAAGGTCGTGAATTTTTAAACCCGATTTCCTTTGACTGGCAGTCTTAAAGAAATATTGCCGAGTGGGATGGATGGATGGAACAATTCTGTGAATGAATTCACATCTTTATGAAATATGATGGATCAGCGATGGATAAATCATAGTCTCACTTGTGCACATTATATGCTTGTCGAGGATGTGTTTAACATAGTGAAAGCACTATTACGGTTGTTCATTTGAGCTATATTGGTATAATTTAGGCATGATTTCCTTCATCTTCTCCTTCTTCTTCTGGGTTATTAAAATACGCCCCTTCTCATCCCATATGGATAAATTTATCAGAGAGTCAGCCTTCATCAGCGTCTATGTCTTCTGCCCCATCGCTTTTTGTTTGTGTTCTCTCTCAATGTCAACAAATGAAACAAAAGGTTGCTTAAGGAGAAGACGGGAGTGAAAGCGAGTTGATTACTTGGCCTTCATAAGAAAGCACATCTTCAATCTTCAGTAATAACATTAGGCGAGGGGCGTCCACTACCAACAACACTAAATTCCAAATACCAAACTAAATGCGCACGATGTAAGATGCGCACTATTAATAAGTGCATAAATTCAAGAACAAGTATTTTCGACACAACAAATTACACAGAGTTGAGTTTATCTTCACAATCGAAATATGAGGAAATTTGGACATATTGTAAAATCTTACATCAAATTTCCTTGCCTTGAACTTAATCAGAATTTCTCAGCATTTCTAATCTCATCCCATTCTGCACAAATAGTTCTTTACAAGTTAATTATTTTCCGAGAAAGCTTACACTAATTACATGTTTGGAGAAAGTTGGGAAAGTACTGGTATCCATGAACATAGTCGCTTCCATCTACTCTGCCTCTTCATGATCGTGATCTAATAATACACCAGATTTTTATTACAAGGAGTTAAATGCTACGTGCACTCTCCATATACGTGATACCGCGGATTGACGAAGTATTTATGAAGAAGGGAGAATGGACGGACTCTTATATATTTATTAACCCTTTTATGGGAATGTCTTGTCTGTCCGTATCCACGATCATTTTCAAACAAATTCGAATTCCGACATGCGGTCTTCACTACGAGTTTCTAATTTTTGGGGAGGAGTTAGGTTCCAAGTTGGACATTTTAGGGCACACCCAGTCGTTGCTATAGGGTCATGGAATTTTGAAAATTATTTGTACTTTTCGAATATGCTATTTGTGAGTGCTCTACAATCAATGGGACAATTTCGACCTCAAGGGGTGGGTCCATGACTCCTCACGCTCACAATAGGATTATATGAGATTTTATGAAAATTTGAGACAATGGTAGGAATGGATAGAGAAGAGGACAGAGGCAAGTTTTCAGGGGGTGTGGTCACAGCCCCGCTAGAGGGAAAGTGAGATTTTTATAGAAAATGGTCGGGAACGATGGATGGGTTTCACCCTTTCGCTACATTTCGTTTGCGACGGTTTATTAGGGTTCAGTAATGTCATGCCTTTCTCTAGCCGTTCATTTCCCTCATCGCCATTATTCCATGTTATTGATGTTGATTAACAAAAAGTGGAAAGAGGATCAGACACTTTGCAGCTTCCTGGCGTCTGTCGAACTGAGGATGAGTGAGTGGGAGGCATGCATGTGGAATCAATAAATCCTTCAGTTCAAATAGCTGGTCATATCTTTGCCAAATTATGCACTACTGATCAGCAAGAAATAATGTAAACTACTTACACCTATAAAATTGTAATTTTTTAACATGAAATCATTTTCACTTCATCAAGGAAGTTTTCAAGAGCGAGTATTGTGAGTTACAATACCACCACACGCATTTTGGCTGCTAGAAGAATCCTCGGTGGCAAATAGTTTCTCCTTTCTCAAAAGAGAAGTCTCCCTTCACTCGGTTTTTGAATGGTGAAAGAAGCAGGAGGGAACTGAATTAAGGAACTTGAGTACGACTTGGCTGGTGGTGTTTTCGTTTTCTTGGTCTTCTTCTTGTGGGTAGAACCCATCTTCTTTCATGGCTTTCTCTCTCCTCTCCTGTTCCACTCCAACAGACCAGTGAAGATTGCTAGATAACAAGATCAGGAAGACATTATAATGGAGGAGTGAGTGCCGTGTCGCGTGTTCTCATCACGGACTCTCGAACCATTCTCCTTACCCTTCGTCGAATTTAGATTCACTGGATCATCACATCCACCAGAAATATCAATGGATCAGATTTATTGTCAACTCGTAAAGTCCTATGCTTCCAACAGAGTAGCTCCGACTTTGTGAGATGCTCGCAAGAATAACAAACTCGCAAAGGAATCAAATTTCGTAATATATTTTATCTGCCGATTGAAATAATTTTGTCAGATTTTTTATACTGTATTTTGATATTTTATTAAAATGTCCTCCTTTATTTCGTGGTGGATCATGACAATGAAAATGCGGCAGTAAAGTTGCGTTGCACCAGTTTATGTCTGGTGGAAACATGTCGCGATATTACAAACGTAAAATTTTGCACGAGCAGTGAATGGCGTTTTGATTGTTCCTTCCACCATGCAGTTTATTCCACAATGAATGTGCTATTGTATTCCCAGGCTGGACTTAATCTCACAATCTCACCGGATCAGATGAGCCTCACTCCGCAGATTGCATTCCAACCAACCAACTCGTCATAATAGCGTTCACTAACTTTTGTTTCGTAATGTGATTGCGCTCTTGCTAATAATAATTCGAATGTGAATCTCCTCATCTAACCGCTCCGGAAATGTCAACATTTTGTGCTTTGTTCCCTCTGCTAAAAGCAAGTTTGAAGTGTTTCTATCACTTTTTGAGTTCATTTGGTTGGTTGTGTGACTGAAAGCTTTATCCCAATGGGAACATTTGTTGGCGTTACGGGATTTTCGCTCTGCTGAAAATAATAACGTGAAATGGCAATATATATCTGCGGAATAGGTGAATGAACAATGAGGAGTGTTCTGAATGGGGAAACAATGAGAGCAGATTAGAGACGTAAATACGCAAATGCTACGAATTTTGTCTGGTATCTTTATTGTCTCCTCAATAAATCAGTGACATAATTCATTAGTATATACATGCATGTGTGTATGTCCATATGTGCGTATGAAGAACTTGCCATATAATCAACTTGATGAAATTCAAGAGCATAGTTATAAATCTGTCGTCATTTATAAAACTGATCTGTAGGTTATGATTAAATTATTATGTTTGGCTATGAAATTGATTATTAAATCAATCGATTTTTAAATATGATCTTTGGACGCTAGATTGATTTCAATTTGGATTTGGACACAGCCAAAGATAAAATGCAGGGCGGTGGCGAACCTAAACAGCGCAATAGGATCAATTTATATTAAATCAATTTGAAACTGATTACTGGACAAAATTAGTAAACTTTATAAAATTCTGGAATATGTATATACATCCTGTGTGGAAAAAAATCTGAATTTTTTGCTGAATCAAATGTTAGCAAGTTCAAGTCACAACAAATAATAATTAATATAAGTCTAGAATATATAGAATTAATATAAGTCGCTACATAGTTAGCAATGCACAAAACTTCCCCAATACAGGATACATTTTCTAATCAATTCAATAATTTACAAATCCTACTTCATACGTTAACGCAGATGATTACTTTTTGTTTCTAGGGTACGGGAACACCGCTCCGCGAACGGCATGGGGAAAAATTCTGACCATGTTTTACGCCGTGATTGGAGTGCCCTTGATGCTTCTCTGGCTCTCAAATATTGGCACCTTGATGGCAAACACGTTTAAATTCGCTTACTCTCACGCTTGTTGTATCTCTTCAAACCCCTCCAGCAGCTCCAGGTCCGTCCAGACTAAACGCACGCCTTCGTCCAAAACAGAGCCCTCGTCCATTCAAGTCAAGTACTCAGTTTCCGCCATGACCTGTGAAACCCAGGTTGTTCAAGCCCAGCAGAACATGCACCAAAGAGCGTTGAATAGGCGCGAGCAACGTGCTAAACTTAGAAGTCTAGACCCTTCTGCAAAGCAGGTATTTACAACTTGTGCAAAAATTTCTTGTTCTTTTTTGGAAATAAATACCCCGTCAAAGTCTGCTTACCCAGTATTTGTATCGTGTTATCATTGCACAGGTTTTGATGGAATGTGCCGAATATAACGTGAACATGGACCAGGATGAGCGCAGTCGTAGGATCCTGCACCAACTTCACAGCGACAGCGGCGGCAATGGGGGCGAGATGCTGAACATTAGTGGGATGGATGAGGAGTCAAGTGACGAAGTTGAGAGTGTGATTGATATGCGAGGTGTGACTCGTGGAGGCGACCAGAGTGACCTGAGGGGGCTGAATGGCGGACGGGGGGGAAGCGTGATGGAGATAAGTGTCAACTCCAATGGGATGGAAGGGACACCGTCAAGAATTCCGCTCCTCCATCACAAAGGCGGTGGGGTTGGGGGCATCGAGAGCGGGCCGGACCTCGTGGAGGTGGACGAGTACCATTGCGGTGGTGGTGGAAGTGGGAGTGACGGGTCAGCGAGTCCCTCACTGAACAAGTACCACCTACCTCGGACTGAGCAAAGGGTCCCCGTCTCCCTCGTCCTCACCTTCGTCGTTCTCTACATAATGGGAGGTGCGGCTGTCTTCAGCGTGTGGGAGAAATGGGGGTTCCTGGACAGCGCTTACTTTTGTTTCATTACGCTCTCAACCATCGGACTTGGTAAGGAAGTCGTTCAAACTTATTAATTGCAGACATTAGCCTAACGTTGCTTTAAAACATGCACGTTAAAGTGTTCTCCACTCAATACTTATTTGCAGTCTGTACATATCTCTTAATTGAGCTATTTCTTTGTCAAGGGTGTAATAATCCCTGAACGTAAAGTGCTTGAGTAGGCAATGTGCTGCGAGGAGATAGTGCTGCGAAAAGGGGAACTCATTCCTCTTTGACCAGTGTGTAGTTTAAGCAGTTGAGAATGACATTTTAAGGAGCAGACTTATTGGTGGAGTTTACTGGGAAAGTATTATCGGTGCATAGGCTGGTGAAATGTGGGGAAAGCTGGAACAAGGGGCAGTGTTGATTTGATTAAATAATTTGGCTGAATGTGGTCTTTCTTAGGTGACTATGTTCCGGGCGTTTCTTTCGGCTCTGCGGGAACCAAGGAAGGGCAGGCTCAGCTAATTGTTTGCTGCTTGTACTTGGTCCTTGGTTTAGCCATCATCGCCATGAGCTTCAATCTGGTCCAAGAGGAGGTTGCAGCCAAGGTGAAAGACATCGCGAGGCACATCGGGATAATTAAAGACAATCCAGAACACTGACGCTACCAAGAACCACAACGTCAGGTCGGCATTTCCATACGCCAAGAACAAGAAGAAGGCAAAGGAATTGTTGTGGTGGGATCCGGTCATCCAACCCTCGTCTCCATCGTCAATCCATCCGATTATGCCAACATGACGATGATTTCGCTCAAGAGCCCAAAGAGCAAAGCAATTTCCCTTGTCGGTTATACTCTCAATTAATAAATGCTCCTTCTTTATTCAATTTTAAAAGCACTTTTAAACTATAATCATCTCGAAACTCCTCTCTTTAATCATCATCTCCGTGCTATAATAGGATTAGAGCTACCTATTTATAGTGAAATACATACGCATGCAGTACATGTTTTCATTATAAATATGAAATAGGCGGCTTTTGGAGTAGAGATTTCGCCTAGATAATTGTTGCATCAGATTTTTGAAGTAAATTACTGGTTAATACTGTTCATCGTGAAAAGCAATTTCGTGAACCGTGGACATAAGTAAGTAGCAAACCTCGTCATTAGCATTCTTGTGTTAAAGTCTCCTGAGATCTGATTTGATGGTGGGTCTAGATCTTGACGTCGTGTAGAAGGAGTGAACTGCTGTGCAACTGCGATATTATTGTTTAACATTTCAATCCCGATCGTTTCCTGGTCTTGTGGCACTTTCTGCTTTCTCCAAAAGTTTGTTTTGACTTTGCTTCTCCGAGACGCAACTACACTCCGTATTTTATTGAGGGCAATTACATTTAGTAATTTGCAAATCGCAAATACACGTTCATATATAATTCTTCTGCGGTCACTTTGTATAATCTTAATGTATTCATTGTGCATGCTGGAGGAAAAGCCGCAATTACGCCGTGATCTGGTCACGCAAATACGGTGGTGACGCTAAGAGTAAGATAAAATCTATACAAATTGTGAGTTGTTTCCAAACTGATATTAATCTCTGACAAAGTATTTATTCCCCATTTAATATTTTCAGTATTACGAACATTCAGTGTTTGTCATTGCCCAGCAAAAGTGTGGTGAAGCAGGATGCACGTGTGTGCATACATAAGTGTAAAATTCGATAATAAGTGGGATACATATTCTTGACTCGGTACCCGTTCTAGTCTGTGTATGTACAATAAAACTCGCTGTTATCATTATTCCGTATTATTCCGACTGATTCAGAATCGAATTTCTTGCAACATTCCAACCGACACACCCAAGTATTCAGGATACTCGTAGGTGCATAATAATTCTGCAATCTCCTCTATTTACACAGTACTTACAGTGTCGGACAGATGTCTACGTCCACATAGTCGCGTCAATTTCATTTTCAAATTGTCACTGAACTACTGAACCAATTTTCATCATTGATATATCAAATTCTCACAAATTTAACGTAATTTCATAAAACATATGAGTTATTTCTGAAAATTCTGGGAAAACTGAGAATCATAGTGCAGAGCGAGAGAGGATGAAATTTGAGCGGACAAAAGTCTACGTCAACTTCACTTTAATTGTCAACAACAAAAATCTCTCCAATTTATAAAATCAGGTAACTTAATAAATCTATCAATAACATATGCCGCATTAATTTTTAAATAATTTTCTTCCAGAAAAATATGATGGCGTCGACACGCAAGGAAATTCCTATCGCTATTCGAGATCTTGTCATTCAGGACTGGAAGGGTGGACAAAAAGGGGGGCTGTCGCAGAGACAAATAGGGACCAAGTATAAATTAGCAAGGACAACCATCCAGACAATCATTAAGAACTTTAGAGCTAATGGTTCAGTCCAAAACAAGGTCAGAAGTGGTCGAAAACCGATTTTGGCTCACCGAGAAGTACGCCACGTGCTCAACAAAGTCAACGTTACACCCTCACTTAGTGCTCCAAAGCTATCTACCGAGATCAAGGAGATGTTCGGCAAACAGGTTAGTCCTATGACCATCCAAAGAACACTGAATAAGGGAAATTTGAAATCCCACAGAGCAGTCCGGAAGCCTCTTATTGTACCGAGGAATGCAACCAAACGAGTGAAGTTTGCCAGAGACCACATTTCCAAGCCACAAACATTCTGGGACATATTTTATGGACTGACGAGTCAAAGTTCAATGTCTTTGGGTCAGATGGGCGTCGTAGAGTGTGGAGATATCCAAAAGAAGCTTTGAATCCAAAAAATCTCAACCCCACAGTTAAGCACGGCGGCGGGTCGGTAATGGTGTGGGGATGCATGGCTTCAAGTGGGGCAGGAAAAATGGAATTTGTTGACGGAATTATGGACCAATACAAGTACCAGGGAATACTTGACCGTAATATCCAGGAATCTGTTCGAAAACTTGGACTTGGACGACGATTTGCCTTCCAACAAGACAACGATCCGAAACACTCTGCCACGTCCACCATGGAATACTTCAAGAAAAAAAAATTCCGAAGCTAGAATGGCCTCCCCAATCTCCAGACTTGAATCCCATTGAGCATCTGTGGGACCACATTGAAAGAGAAATAAGAAAAAAATCTTTTTCAGGAATTCCGGGCCTAAAATCCAGAATTCGTGAAGTTTGGGAAACCATTTCTGAAGATGTGACCAAGAATTTGGTAAACTCTATGACTCGACGCCTTGAAGCCGTCCTTAAAGCGAACGGAGGCCCAACCAAATATTAAAAATTAATTGTTATAACATTCCTTATAAATTACAGTTTTTTTTGTATGTTTTCTCTGACTGGACGTTGATTTTTGTCCATCCAATTGTTTTCATTTTGAATTAAAATACATCTCTGGCCTAAAATAAATTTTTTAGCGGAAAACTAATAATGTGCTATGAAATTACGTTAAATTTGTGAGAATTTGATATATCAATGATGAAAATTGGTTCAGTAGTTCAGTGACAATTTGAAAATGAAATTGACGCGACTATGTGGACGTAGACATCTGTCCGACACTGTATAAATTTACGATATTTACAGAGCTTCATTTGTGGTGACGACGAGAGAAATAAAACTTCTTAGCTAATAAGAGGTACATGACTTAATTTGCTTTTATTCGAATATGGGTAACTTATTAGAAAGGCAATACAAATGTTCCAAAAAATTTGCTTTTCTACGCATTATCAATACGTCAATGAAGTTAATTAGACAAAGTACTAATTTTGATTCGTCATAATAACTCTAATAAAATAAGAATTAGTTTTATTGGAAGTTGGTAACGGTGCTTTGGATATTAAAAAAGCAAATAAAGGTTGGATTTGAGATGGTAGAAATTAGTTGATAAGTTAAATGCATAACATTACTAATAAACTTTAATTATGCAAATATTTTGATGTTATAAAACGTTGCAAACTAAATATAACAATAAGTAATTACGGTACGATACATTGTGCGGTTAGACAAGTACATGAAATGAGTTACAACATAACAATATACATAAATATTCAAATCATAAAACAATAATATAATTTTGTAATAAATAAATGAGAAAATAAATATGCACAATGAGACGACAGCTCTGTTTGCACTTTCTTTCACGTTGTCATCTAATCAAAAAGTTCGCATGACGCGTCCTGCGTCATTAGATATTCGGGAACAACTCAGTTCCTCTCCATCCACTACTTTCACAATTGTCATTACAAGCTCATAAAATTAACGTGGGCACAATTAGATGCCTGGCAATTAAGCCGAGTCACCACCGCAGAATCATCCCCCTATGTTTCATTTGCCAAGAAAAATCTGTAGACCCGGGACGTCGGGACGCACCGCAATTAAGAAAACCAACCACTTCACTTGGCTCGTAGGAATTATTAATACTGGAGAGAAAGTAAAAGTAAGTAGCATCCAGTCCAGGATCCATTCCAGCAAAGTGAGGGGAAATGCAGCCAAATCTCACAACTCGATTAACCCTGCTGGTAACATGATTAATGTTTAAGTAGATCTATATACATAACGCCGTTCTGCTCCTCTCGACCAACATCAGGCCGGCAGTACATGGCCCATAACCCATTCTTTTCATTTCTTATTACACAGTCTAAATCATGATGAAGGTAAAATGCATACCCCAAACCACACCCTGCACAAAATATTGGCCAGTTTTTAGAGGAGGAAAACGAGAGGAGTCTGTGAACCGGGAGGAATGAGAAAGACGGTGCAATTGGAGGAGGGAGTAATTACCGAAATAAGTTCAAGTAGCGGAGAGTGCAAGGAAGTCAAGAGCACATTCTTTCCTCCACATACTGCTCGCTTTCTCCACTTAAAAAGAGAAAGGGAGAAGCCCAACAAGCCGAGCAATCAACCAAATCCGTCAAAAGAAGAGAAAAAATCTTCCTCTATCTCTCACCACTTTTTATTATGCTTTTAGTTCTGGTGGTAATTTTCCATCCAAATTTATTCTGATTTTCCTTACTTGTTTTATGAACTGAGCGCAGGAAGGCTGGTTGACTGACGGGAGATGAATTCCACTCTACATGCTCAACCCTTCATCTGCATGCATCCTGCAGGGAAAGCAATTCCAGAATGGAAATAAAATTGCAAAAGATAAGCCTTGTCTTGTATTACTCATGCTTTGTCATGACAAGCTCTTACTTCTTCAAGTAAGTTAATAATTTATGCTGCTACTTGTGGTGATGCTTGTTTGTCTGGTGGACCCAATGTATGCACATATGCAGTAGCAATATGTACGAAATATACAAATATGAAATATAATACCGATGTACTAGATATCGGAATCGTATTTTGCGAAGTAGAAAAAGAATTTTATAATGTTATCCTGCTTTTGTTATTTTTAACGAATTTTTGTCAACGAATTTTTTTAGGATGCTGCAAAATTAGGTTGCCGAAATTCGAAACGTCGATAATTTTTACCCCGCGAGAGGCGCTCTATTGCCGGTTATCTACGGTGTAAAATAGAAGTTTATATACTGTATGTATGTATGAGAAGCAAGGCAGGCGGATGTGCAAAAATTGACAGAGATTGCTCAACCATTTCATTCCGTCTCAAATCCAACATCGCAATAGTCAGGCCAGGTGGAAAAGAGATAATTAGACTAGATATGCATTTCCCTGGATAAGCAATTATCTACATATTCGATACTGGCCTTATTTTAACAGGTGGGACTATACATATTTTTCCAGGAAGGTGGTTGTTATACTTTAACCAACTCTATTATTGGGAATTGGATCCGTGATTGGAAGGAGTGAGAAACGATACGACGAGTGAGCCAGATATCACGTCTCTCTCAGATATGATTCTCAACAACAGCCATTTTCCGACACGACTGTCATCAAGATTTTTTCGCCTCTTGACTCATTCTATTCAACATGGAAATTAGGATCCTTTGTCAAAATCAACTCTTTCCTCTTTTTCCTCCTTTTCCTCGAGATCCTCACGGATTTTTACATACATATTCGAAGGTTGACATTTATGACGACGAGTATTATTACAGACAGACTAAACAATGTGGAGCAAAAATAAATCTCCGCGTTGCTGCAGGGTCTGTCTGGTTGGTGGGATGATTTTGCAATAGTTTTGGCACAGTTCTCTCTGACTGAGCGCTGTAGTATTTATGGGGTTGTATTCAGGCTGTACGACCTTGATGAATCCCTTATCTGGGGCTGTGGGTGGTTCCACGGTACTATCCGGAACGATTTATGTGTTGGCTGGATGGAGGAGTGTTTAAACAAGCTCTCTCTCGTGTATGTCGTAGCAGGAGTGGGAAGAGGAAACACGGAAGAGCCTTTATTTTCGACTCTGCGTGGGCTATGTGGGTAGGATTAGCACTGGTTTCTGCAGTGATTTAAGATGGATGGATCCTTTGAGATAGATAAGCACTATCACTGCTAGCAAGCAATGAACCTGAGGAGGGTGATGTTATTTATGTGCTTTTGGGGGAGGTATGTAGGCTCATATCCCACAATCCGAAACGTGCACTCTTCCAAACACACCTCAATTGTAAAATCAAAAAGGGGAAAAATTTGCAAACCAAACACCTACCGTTTTTTTTAGTAAAATAATCTTGATTGATCAGTGTATGCCTAATAATTCAAGATTTCAATCTAGAATACATTCCACGTTGGTCACACAACCACAAATGATACTTACATATCCAATTCTCAAACGTGTTAATTCATGCAGATTTTCCATTTTTATTTTGAACTTGAGCTTATTTGCTAATTGTAGGTTGGAACTAATGCAGTTGATGGTTGAGGTGCAACTGAGAAGAGGTTGAACAATTGCGTGGGATGAAAGTTGCAAAAAATCAAAAATCCCGAAGCAGCAAATCAAGTTCAGTATTAACATCTAAAACTATGCGAATTATTCTGAACATAGGCATAATGATACCACGTAGAAAAATTATTTGCATTCAATGTGTTTTCATTATTGTCAATCCAAGTTTCGAATCAGAGTAGCATTTGTGTAGGAGGAGGCTTTGATAATTTTTCACTTAATTAAGATCTTGTTATGCATTCGTAATTTGTAATTTGTACATGTGTCAACTCTGAATTTGCTTGATACCTTGTAATTATACTCAGACAGGGTAGAATTATCTTAATTAATCAGAGAGTAATTATTGCAATAATTTAATAATGAACTACCCGTTATTGCATATTTGCAGCAATCTGTTGAAAGCTGACAAAGCATTGCTGCTGTTATTTTTTGGAGTGCATAGAACATGTTCATACTTTTAGATCGAGTCTAATTGTACTTTTAGAATCCTAGCTAAATAATCGTATACAGCAGTCAAGAAGCAATGGGAATGAAACTCGAGTTAGCTCAGCTTGATCTGTTTCGCATTAGTAAATAAATTCTCGGTCTCTCTCGAAGAACACCTGCTTTGCCTTAATTGATTCAATTTTTCGGTTAATTCCATAAAGGGATTAATTATACTTGGGGTGAGCATGAAGATCACGAAGCACAACAAGAAGGATTGGCCTCAAATGATAAGAATCATCATCATCATCATCATCAGTGCCTAATCAATATTATATTATTCCGAGTTTGAACAAGGTATAAACGTATTTGTGAGATTTTTAGTTCTGATATGGAATTGCAATGCCCACACAATTCCAAACCACACGATTCATAAGGACATTTTTAATGAATCAATTACGAAAAGATGAAAAACGTCTTAGGCAACCCAGAAAAGTGCGATAATGAGAATACATAAATCTAAAAGTAGTGGATTTGCCGACGCACATGCTTACACACCCTTCGTTCTCAATCCAATAATCCACTTGTGCTTACATAAATGAAAACAGAAAACTTTTTAAACTAAATTCCTACGCTAATCGCTTCGAGCCGTAATGTTTGAACCTGGAAAACAGACAGTTACCTTCGAATTACACGCATCGCTATATGACCACATGAAGACTTAAATTGTCCACAGGTTGAGATTTCATACATACATTTGTATTCTGTATAGTCCGTGCCATGTAATAATAAAAATACTTAATAAGTAACTTATTGTACGTAAAAACGAAGATCAGTCCTCATGCTTGAAACTTAATTCGGCTCCTTCTGATGACTTGCATGCATACGCAAGAAATCTGCTTCATTTCTGCATCTCACCTTCTCAACTCTTAATAATAAGTCCCAACGGCGAGCAATACCTTCCATGGGTGAGATCAAAACAAACTTGTGCACTTATGTACAACGGCCAAAGAAGCCGGTTGGGGTTTATACGAGGAATTTGATGTTGGTCGTTTTGTGTTGGTGTTGTTAGATCATCGCTGATCGTTGGACATGAAGCATCGTTAAACTTGTTTTCGCTCATCAATGTTTTTTAGTCTCAACTTGTACTTGTAAAAACTTTTGGTTTTTCTCTTTTGTTTTGTACAATGTACACTGCACGTTCGTAGTTATTTTCGTCTTTGTGCTTGTTTCCGTTTGTTGAATGGACAATTAAAAATGTACCATTGATTTTTGTGTTTGTTTGTTTAAAGACAACTGTGTTATCGTGGCATGCAAACTATTTTCTCGTGGTGTAGGATTTAGTGCTCTGTTGGGTAGGTGATTCTTGCCGCAGGTGAAAAGTTACATTTCACGTCAGGTAATGATCAAATATTTTGTAAATTCTTTCTCGCCCACTGTGTTAACCATAGTAAAATTTGAGCTTAAAAGATAATGTCAATACTTATCACACTAGGGTTATATGTTAACAGCTAATTGCTTTTAAAAAATGTTATCATGTGAGACAGACATAAGTGACATAGGTGTTTTGTGCCTAAAAAATGCCTATCACTGGATCGTTCTCATTTCTCTCGCCCTTTAAGCATTATGATAAAGATAACACTAAGAGCTAAACAGATATGATTGATTTTTCCTGTTTGCTTTAAGATGATTTTTATGTAATTTTATTTCATACTCACGTCATACTCAACTGAATATGTATTCTTGAGTTGAGAAATACATAGAAATTTCATATCTCAATTAAATCTGAATCTCGTCCTAGAGGCAATTGGATACATATATAAACGATCGGTTTTTCTCCCCTGAAAGTGATGCCATTGTATTTTTACCTGGACCGTAGATTTCATGCCCAAACCCAGCACACTCATGAATACTCAATTTGTGAATAAAACGTCACCAATTTGTAAATCTTGACATTTCTATTTCACTTGATTGGTTAAAAAATCATGCCAAATTCGCAAGGAATCCAGTCCCAATAAATCCTTGATATTGCACAAAAGTGCAGGTGAGCACAATTAGTGAACATGCCATCTTACTCTTCGTATTAAGCCTGACAATCATCACCATAACGCCTTTGAAGACATAACCACTACTTGTCCGCATGTACACGACTTTATATGCAAAACCTTGTAATTTGCACAATTGCATTTGTCCATAAAATGAAATAAGTCCGGTAAATTTCCCTCCACGGTCATTAATGATGTCAAAGTTGAGCTCAAGTAAAATATGCAAAAGGATGTCCACCGTTGACAGTTATTTAACTGCTTACATGTTCACAACTCTCGCCGCTTTTTTAGGACATACTGCATACTCCTTGCCATGAATCTAAAATTCAAGACCAGAAACAGAAAGCAAAATTTATTGTCCATCCAGAATCACGAAGTAAAATTTAAATGTTGAAATGGGATTGTGCCAGGGAACGATAACACGCCGCGTGGGCTACTTTAATCAGTAGTCAGTTTATTAGCACAACATGCCAAGTGTATTAATAAATATTAATTACATATTCCGTACAAAGTACTCACGCGATTTAAACTCTATTTCCAACCAGTATTTCTTAATGTGCTTAATCTATCTTGATTTAAATTCTGTAATGTATTTACTTACTTCACCTCCAGTCATGGTAAGATAAGCAAATATGACACAGATCCTGGTTTACATTATTGGATGCACCCCACCCCAGTATGTCTCTTACTAATAAAGCTGTAATAATGCCTTAAATGAATTACTCTTGACTTGCACCTGGACACGAGTGGATGGAATGCGATGGATGGAGTACCTGGATGGATGGCCAAGGGATATGAATCCCACGGCTTGTCCTGCCACATAACATAATGAATGGAATTAAGCAAATATCTTGTTTCATATTTCCAAGTCTTGCCTCAATTTGGGCACTTCTTCAGCATCCAACAAGGAGGAGGCATACATTTATAAATATGGAACATCTGCATCTGCCTCAGTCTGGCATAAACTACCATGACTTCCTATTAACATGCACCAACCATCGCACAATAATCTAATGAAATGTTATGATCCTTGTTGAAGTGAGGGTTGACTTTTTTTAAATCCGAAGCACACCACATTCCATATTTATCGTCGTGCGGTTGGAATTGTGGGGGATGTGATGCCAAGCGAGATGACCACCACGCTTGCTTTTGACATTTTTAATAAGTGTTTGGCTCACTCCATGTTCAGACTGCTGGGATCATTACATTTATTAACATCTGATCCGTGGAGCAATTAATAATTAGTACTTTGCCTGTCACCCAAACGTTAGTCTGCTTGGTGCTGCTCCTACCGATGGACACACACTTTGAGATTTATACATTATATATATTTTTATATGGGCATATAGCTGTTAATGGGGGAGGGATCTTTTATCCTTTCTGTGATACGGGTGTAGTAGCAAATAGTAGTTCGTTGTGTTGCAATTGACGATAAAATCTCAAGAATAGTTATTATTGCAGTTATTTAGATAGGAGTTTGAGTGCATTTTAGCACATTATAAATGCAGTACCCCCGTGTTGGCGGACTCTGTGTGACGGACCACACTTAATAATTCAATGTTTGTGTAATTTCAGACATTATTATTAAAATAAATTATAGCGTAGAGTAATTTTTTGTCGCATTAAAGGATGGCCGGCATAAGCAACTGGTGCATGCGTCTACCCAACCCGAATAGAACACCATAAATGTCAACAATTCCTTTTAACAAAAGAAGTCACAACAGATTTAGTATTAAAGCGCAGTTTACTAATTAAGTCAGTGTCCGCGTCCATCCCCTCTCTCTCTCTTTCATCTCTGAGTCACTCAGTTTTTTTAACAGAAGTAGAATAACGCAATAAAAATATAACGCAAACGTGTTCAGGCAGATGCATGCATACCTGGCTGATAACTTCAATAACAGTCGTTCGTCAGTTGTACATCGACCGTATTTCCGCGATGAACCGTTGTCAATGTACCCTGCAGTTGCACATTGCTGTGACAAGTGGCCAATTTGAGAGTGTGTGTAACTTTGTTGCGATTGTCCACAGATTTAGAATGGGAATGAAGGAATTGTTGATTGCATTGAGTAAAGAGGGGACCCCTGATGCTTATGTCCTTATTCTTACCTTATCTCCTAATTGGCAATCATAATTGAGCTCGTAGATCAACCAGCTAGTGCTACATACGTGAATGTACAATAACAACGCAACTTTTGAAACTCTGAGGTCCAAACTGAATTCCAAATTTCACTGCCTTAAAAGGGAATCCCCTCTCACCCCACGTAACTAAGGACTGCATACACATACTCACAAACACAACACAATGGACGACTGATCTCTGTGCATGTGGATGAGAGAAAGAGACCTGAATGCAAACATAAAAAATTGATGCCAATAAGTGCATCCGAGTATTTCTTATTGCATTGCGTGGACAGCCTGTGAAGTGGAAATGGAAAGAAGAAAAAAGTTTATGAACATGTTCTAAAACTCTGCATGTTTCAATCGGTTGTTAACAAATCAAAAATTTTTTTTGGTGGAAATTTTATTTGAGAAATAATCTCCATTGTACAAAAATTGCATTTGGCATGATGCGCAGGGACGGTGACAGGGTAAAATTCGGGTAGGCGCATGTATTCATAGTAGCGCGTCGCATAGTGTCAATTTTAATTTCAAAACATTGTTGGCAAGTGACAAGACAATGTAAAAACAAGGCACGATTTTATTTGCAATTCATCGACGGCTCTGAGCTTTGCTGAATATTACGTAACGCACTATTTTAATTAATCTCATGTTTACCGTGATATGCAGTGAATGCAACACACATGCAACGACCACTTTTCTTAATCTTTTCCTATAGTTCAAAAGTCCTTAAAAGTGTTCAAATTCAGTCCTTTTACAGCGATGCCATTAATGACGTGCAAGATGGTTGTGGGATTGTAGACAATGAAAATGGAATTTTATTGGCACTATTTATTATCTAATTTGTGTGCAGGGACATGTCACTTGTCTAATTCATATTTTCTTTAATGTCCCTTATTCACTGCAGTTTTGTTAAGCCATACTTAGCCAGTTTTGTTAAGCTCAATTTATAGGCTTTCTACTACTTAGCGTAGTGAATAAAATACTAGCCGAACTGCAATTAATGAGGCATTAAAGTAATGTGTTATTTATTTTCCTATGGGCTATACGCATATACGAACGTATACCTTCATTCTTGGTAGACTTGAGACACTGAAATACAACAAGGGCACACATGCCCAGAATGTGTATTAGTAATAACGGCTACGTGGTGGAAAGTTGGTCGTTTTGTGGCCTTAGCAAAAGTGCGAAATGCATCTGACTGCAAGAAAATAGTGCAATTCATGCAGTATGAGATCAATGATCAATTCTTCATTTGTCTTCATTGACTCAATCTCAATTATGGTCAATTGATTGAGACATATAAGCGATAATAAAAGTTGCGTTCTATGCACTTATTCAGCCCTCTGACTTTAAACACTTGGTCTCGTTTTGTTGTCTTTGTCAACCTCTCTCTCTCTCTCTGGCTGACTGTATCAAATTCAATTCACAATGATTATTATTATACAGTCGATTTATGGCCTTCGTTCATTATTCTATTTTTGCAATTTATTTGTTTGGACATTTAGAATCAATACTACGGTTCCGTTTGGTTTGTCAATCAGTGACATACAGTATGGAAAATGGCAATGATAGCGCAATCACGCATTAAATAGATTGTGAAAATGTTAAATATCTATTCAAAATCATTGCGTATTACGCTTATCGTGCACCCCGCAAGTTTTGATATGTTAAAAAATGGTTTTCAAATCTTCAATATACACTTATGTACGTATCTACAAACTTGTGATATCCTTCCGACAGTAACATCCTCCGAAGCCAATAACTTATTTAGGTTGCAATTTGTATTGCTATTTACGATTTGCTCCAATAAAGCTGTATATGAACTGCAAACATGGGTTTCTATCTATATATTTGATGAATGTGACTGCAACCTGACGTAAGAGTTCTTATTGTTGTTTGTATAAAAAAGTAACGTATTTACTACCATATTGTCCGGGTTATTCTTTCTATGTGTACATTTATGGAGTTGATTGTTTGACACCACATCATACTATCAAATTTGTATGCGTTCAATAATACCTGAATGATCGCGGCAGAAAGACATTCGAATGGACACTTCGATATGGAATTAAAATATGCAATTTGTGTTTGTAATTGACGAGGTGCATTGAAGTTTTTATTGCTGAATTGTGAAGCTGCTCTTCAATAATATAAATCGAACTTACGGTTTTGCTACATTTAGTAATTATATTACATCATAATCGCATAGGTACATTTTTATCATCTGCATGACTGAAAAATTTATAGCAGAATGGATCAATTTGCAAAAATGTCAAACCGTTAAGCTGGAGCGTTGTTCGCCATCAAGATTTCTTTCAAATCCGCTGAATCTTCGTTTAGTTGGCGCAGCAGTGCTACAACAAGGTCCTGAACTCTTAACTGATCTATAAATGATTAAAATAAAGTTCATTAGCTGGCAACTAAAATGTTACATAAATATAATATTAATGTTAATCTCACCTTTATATAACTTCAAAGCGTCTGAAATTTATTCAATGTTATATTACGAAGTATTGGGACGAAGACTACATAAAGTTATAGTTTCATGTAATTTTCATACCTTTGAACTCTCCATCGGGCAAAGCTGCGATATCAGCCAGTTTATCCGCCCCCGTCTTTGTAGAAAATTTCAGGATATAGTCGTCATTTTGCCGATTGTTGATTACTTTTAGTAAAATTAATAATCAATTTTAATTTACATAAATATAAATTAGTGCAGCTAAATTTCTTAGGCTTACATTTAATTGTATCCAACATTTTTTGTGTCGATTTCCTTATCTTCTTTCCAACCTGACGGATTGATATTGTTGGCGAAACTGGATAGTACGTCGAAATTTACAATACCTAATTTTATGGATTATCTAAAGTAGATTGATGGTTTGTTTATTTCACATTTCTCACCAAGAACGCTATTCGCCAGTTTAGCAGATTCCACCAACAGGTTGTTAGATGACATGTCGTAAATATCTTCTTCCTCTTCTTCCTTTTATACAAAATAGCAGAAAAATATAAATTTGCGACTGCTTGATCGGAAATATTTCACTGGAGTGACATTAGAGTCAGATTCTTTTCATTCTCAGAAGGTTTAGTAGACGCCACACAAAAATTTAAATCATTACGCTTCATTTACATTGTCCACATTCATAATTATATTAACATAGTCATAAAACTTACAAGCAATCTTGGGTCAATAATATTCCAGAACTGCAAGGATACCTCATCTCGTTCAGTTGCCTTGGTCAAGCACATTATGAATTTAAGCGATATGCAAAATGATTGACGAGTCAAATTTTATTCAATTTGAATGAATGATCGTAACCGTCCAGCCGTTGGAAGCTAACTAAAGACTAGTGTATATATGTCTTCATAAGAATTTGGTAAATGTGAAGAAAATGAAAAACAGGTAACCCAAACAAGAAATGTATTTATAAACTTGACCCTTCACTTCTCAAAAAACATCCACGAATCCAGCATCACCCTGGTCAGTAAACTAACAGGTAGATTCATTACAGGACTTATTCCACAGATATTTACCATTAAAGGAATCCATCATTCAGATTCACACTTGCCATACATGTGACAAAAACCAGGAAAAGTAATCCCAATTCACACACAACGCCAATAAGAAAATGCAAAATGTTTACTGAACACACAATTTCCAAGCGTCTGCAACGTTTATGTAAATCGCCTACACAATATCTACGAATTAATCTTGAGCAGATTAAAGATTACATAAAAGAAAAAAAATCATTCAATAATAATCTACACCTCGAGTTATTTACTTGTATGGCCGCAATGCAACACCTCCTCCGAGTCATATCATCCAACCCCATCATTACCAGGTACTCAAAAAAGTCACACTAACAACGCACATACATTGTCAAGATAACGATCTAAATATAGAATATCTATGGATCAATTTAATGCTTTGTGCGGCCCTTATGCACATACATACACATTGCTAGCGATCGAGATATAAAAATAAATTAGAGGTTTAATTAGTCAACCTACGCTCTCAAAAACAAAGGTGAATACTGCCTATTAAGAAAAATATCATCTTCGTGACTGCCAAACGCCCAATTCCTCTTCTTGGTTCTAAGTCATATGTAAGTAGACGAGACAGACGAGACATCGTTCACTCGAAGTAGGTGTAAATCAATAATAAATCCAAGCAGTAATTGAACTGATCCTGATTGTTCTTCTGCTCTATATTATTATTATGCTGTCCATGTTATTTGTGCGTAGGTGGTGGTCACGTTATTCCGTCGTCAATCACAATCAATGCAGTTTGAAAGATTGGTGGACCACAGAGACACAGCAATACCAACGCGATGGTGGTGGTAACCCACACACAGGATTTGGTAGATATGCACGTCTGTAAATATGTTGGGAAGCCTTATTTGACCAACAACGCACAGGTTCAAATAGGACAATTTGCAACAAAATTTGCAAACAATGAAATAAAAGGGAGGTCTATATTTAGAATTAGCACATAATTTGTGTTCTCCATCGAGTCCAATTTCTTGTCTTGCCAACATTATGCATGGACACGAAGGAGCATACGGCACAAACACAACAAAGTTTGACGGAAATGCATATTGCAAACTGTATTCTTCGAAGGCATGTAGGATGTGAGGTGCGATGCGCAATTAATTTATGACATCATCCTTTTCTTCATGGATTGAAGGTGGTCACAAATTGTAATATATGCAATTCCAGCATGCATATCTGCATTAACAAGAAAAATGGGGAGAAAAATGGACTGTGGAACCAATAGATTAACATTTTATACTACATTTAATGTCTGGGTTGTAAAACAATACGTTGAATTTAGAAGGAAAACAAAACTGCCTAAATTTATGTTGTTCGTTTTAGTAACTTGCGAAGTTTACATGAATAATGTTCGAATAGTCGCTGTTATTACTTTCATACCTTATTAAATTAAATTTTTAAAACTAAATAGAAAAAGGTCAATGGTTCCTATAAAGCCAATCTTAAGGTTTATTTTTTATTGTAAGCAGATACATATTTTATTAATTTACCACGCCTCGAATCTTGAGACGAGAGCCTCTAAATTAATTCAGACTTCATACCGAGCTGGACTCCAGTTTATGAAATGGTAGGTCATAAGGTGCACACGGCATGCAAGATTTTTAAACTTTAGACTATGGACAAACTCTAGAAACCATCTGTACTATGACCTTTAAACTCGCATGCATTCATATTCCCGGTCAATTAAATCCACCATTTTGAGTCATTTTTTATTCATTAATCCAACTTTTAAAAGATGAATTGCAATATTGATTTGTTTAGTGTTGCTGGTGTTTAGTGCTGTTTGTTTAATATGGTTTACATACACACACATATGTAGAAATACTACGCGTAGAAATGATGCACCATCATGCAGTCCGCAGTATGCAGTGCTTGGTGAGGTAGTAGTCATGATGGTATGAAGCATTCATTTTTAAGCATTTTTACTGTATATGCAATCAAGCTTGGAAAATATCGCTTGGAAATCAGAATCAGATGAACTTTCAACGATTCAAGATTTCCTTTTAAGGACATGGACTCAAATTACTGTTCTTGCAGCCGATCCTTTTTTCTCAGCGAAACTTTAATTTATGTCGTTCATGTCCATCCACGTCGATACTCTTTGGTTTGGTCTGGTCCACTTTGACTTATCTCTTCTACATGACTGGTCATCATCATCAACAACAGCATTTATTAGTGCATCCATGCTCCGACTACATAATAATCATAGTGAAACTTGACGGCACAAGGCAAAACAAAAGCAGTGGGAGCAGAAGGTGCCATTTATTTATGGGCTGTTTGAGTTTTATGATTTAAATGCATCCGAGTACGTATCCCTTTGACTACTGTGTGTGAAACCTCGGACTGCAGACAAGAGTAATATTTTTACATAAAATTGTACTCAGTCATCTCAAAATTACAATGGCTTCATATGCGAGGAATTTGATAAGTACAAAATTAGAGCATTGTCTAACCCTGAAATTTCGGATATGGAAACTAAACTGTAACTTTCACTGTTTCTCGCAATCGCTATTCCGCTGCTGTGTATGTATGTACCTCTTATTCTTCTACGAAGTACTCGTACATTCACACAAGTTGGACTTCAATTTAATGCCATATAATTTTATTCCATAATATTATTCCAACTGTCCATGTTCTAAATCCATCAATCATTCTGTCGCGTCAGTCATCCTGCCTCACACACTGGCCATTAAACAACTAATAAAGCTGCAATAAAAAGAGAATGCGCATGAGACAGATTCCAAGCAAGAAAAACTCGTGATTTGCATTGGTGACTTTTGTTACTACATAAATTTGGTCAAACTGCAGAAGCTGACAATGAAAGTGAGTGTTAGTTGGTACCGGTGCCAAAAATGCATTTTCCAAGCCAAAAAATTAACACTCACCACCACGAATGAGTAGATAAATGTGTACAAGCAAGTAAGGCGAGCATGCTAGGGGCGCATTTCAGAAAATTAAATATTAGTTTATGCCGTAACAAGAACTCTTATTTTTTGTCTTGTAGAAAAAAAATATTGCTTTTGTAGCTAAACCGACTCTCAATGTTTTACCTCCCAACCAGAGAATTGAACATGATAAGTATATATTCATGAAATGACAAACAGGAGCAGGGAAACCATCCTCCAACCGAACGACCGGCCCCAAGTACGTATGCATTTCAATGGATTCTGATCATAATAATGTCTGCCAGATATCCTTGTAAAGAATGGTTGGCTTTGTCCGATGGAGGAGAGTTGAATCTCCGTTGGCGTTCATTTCGAGCCATAAAATTGTCGCTTTTGAGCTGCGTTATGAATGGCTGTGTGAACACGAATTATGAATCCGACCAAACGATACCAAACAAACGAGCCACCTCTTCTCCTTCTTCATTGTTTTGTCCTTTGTTCTTGACTGCATTTCATTATAACATGTTTACTCTTTAGCGTGGAATGTGTAATGTGATGTGACGTTGTATTATGTTTTCTCCCTCCTCCTCCTCCTCATATCATTTTCTTGGTCTCTCATGTGCACAACTGGCGAATATTAAATTAACATTGCTCTGCCCAACTCCAAACAAAATTCTACTGATGTGCACTTCTTACTTCGACGTTGTTGTAAACCAAATTCATGGAACGGACAGCCTACATTATATTGCAAACTAACTCATCTAAGAGTCATCTGAGAAGTTGAAAACCAACCCATATCCAATCTTTTTTCGTTTAATGTGTCTCGTGAAGAAAAAACCAAAATCATAAAATCTGCACAGACAAACATAAGAATACATAATCATAGAGTCCAAGGGCCGACCAAACTGAGTAAAGGCCGATTAAACAACAACCGCAGACAATTGACAACAGACAATGAGAAAGCAATTCAAATTGTAATTATCAACAACTGCAGAATGGGCTTGTCTCATTGATCTTGATGACCTTAGCAAGTAATCTGTCTGTACATGATGAATAGCGCAAGACTATGACTGATTGTTCAGATTGTTGCAGTGGTGAACTTGCTTTTGCGTCATTTTCTTCTCTTCGTCATTGCTCATTGGATAAATTGGTCATTGAAGGTACTAAAATCTGGTTCTGAATGCGTTTTTAATATTTTAACAGTTCATATTGTGAGAGTTATTTTATACTCGTTATGTTTTCCTGCGTTCAACATGCTTTCCATATATTGTATCAAATTTAAGGGAATTTAAGAATTATGTAAAGCTCTATTAATGTGGCCACTGATCTCGTTTTCTGATTGAATGTGGAAAATTGTTAACTGAATCAGCTCAGGTTATCAATCCGCAATCAATCACTGGCGCAACAACTCATTTGTAAGCCACAGGGTAACAACAATAACGCGATTTGCACCTTGTTTCAAACTGCGTCAAACAGAAGCACTCAGAACGATTAACCATTTTCACATTGTTTTTGTACTCGATTGTATTTGGTTTGTTTATCGTCCTTATATAACAATCTGTCTCATTTATGATGGAATTGGAGATTTTGAAGTTTCAACGTTCAACTGAGGATTTGCTGTACTCGGCAAGAATACCGCTATTCTCGACCAGTAATTATAAAAATAGAATGGACTTCTTTCTTAATGTCATTCAATATCGTATTAAGATCCACCAGGCAGGCAGGCAGGCACGTTGTTGTTGTTGCTCAACATGCCAAGGGTCGATGGTCATCATGTTTATTTATTATTATTATTATGACTTATTATTATTTATGATGAAAATTTCACATGACATTAATAACATCTCTTGCATGCATGCATCATGTTCCTCATCATGAGTGTGCATTATGAGAAGAAACTTATTATAAAATTCCGATATCAAACTGATACCCATTGTCTGCTGTGCAAAGTTCACTGCGAGTCAACTGCAAAAAGAAGTTTACGTTTAACAGTTTCATCTCCTCTCTCCAAGCGGCATGGATGATATGCACAAATGGATTTCAAAAGACGTCAGATAAAGATTAGCATCGTCCGTTCTGCAAAAATTCAATTTGGCTTTGGCAGATACCATTGTGTGCAGATTTGGCTAAGTTTAAAATACTTAGTACGAGTACGACTGTTTTAGCAATGAAGCAATTAATTGTCCCACTTTGGACTTTGTCGGTGACAATTCAATTCCTTTCACTTTGGTTTGATTCAGCACCTGCTACCACTTGGGCCTCTTGATGCCTTGTCTTTGATGCTATTCGCTAGAGAAGCTATATAGAAATAGAGTCATGCTGAGATTATTATTGATCGTAAAAAACTAAAACCCAGAGTTAGATAACATCTAATTTGCTACTATTTTTCTGTACTACTCCACATTTCTAAACCATCGTGTGTAGTAACATTCCAACTTAAAATGTCGGCTTTTTTCCTTAATTTCAAATAAAATGTTGACAAAGAATTGCAAACATTTTTCTCTGATGCAGGAGTCCTGTGCATACGACCACAATTCGTCTCTCCCATTATTGAATGACATGCCTTCTTGGAATTTCACCAGAACGTAGCAGCCACAATTGATTGTAAGTTTCCAGGCAGCTTGTGACTGTGATGGCTTCTCTCATGGAGACGGAGGACAAGGTTCACGTCGTAAGTATGATGGGGGATGCTGGATTCGGATCCGACGGGGCGAATGAAGACAATCGGGAAGAAGAAGCTCTGAGGGAAATGGTAAGTCGCAATTTTATGGCGTTTGCATTTTTTTCAAATTCATTTTTCAGCCATTACGGACAGAGAGGAGAATGCACAATGGAAATATGTAGCACAGGGAATCTGGTTGGATGACAAAAAGTCGCCCAACTTCTGTCATCACCGGGGATGAAAAATGGGCATTTCTGTCAGAAAAGGGGACACAATTTTAATAAAACTTATTTCTGTATGTACAGTTTACTTGTAATGCATTCACATATGTTTGTCTGATATTAATGATATTTTATTGCTCGAGATGATGATTCCCGAAAAAAACTAACTATGCTGTTACATTTGCGTACAATCTTTTTCTCCCCGTTTTTAGACATGAGAGCCTTCATTGTACAGCTTCCGGCACCTGTGCGTAATTTAGGACTTTAGGCTGAGAAAAAATAAGGGATTCAACGCTTTCAAGAAATGAATTAATAAAAGTCGAGTTTTTTTTACTCGCTACATTTCATAGTATTGCTTTTTTTCTTGGAGAGAAACTTTTTTGAGGCATTGTGCAACCTTTCTACAAAGAAAGTTATTAATTTTTCCGGTAAACTCGTACATTATCAAGGCAGGCCCGACTTGCAAGAAGAAGAAGCAATTGCTTCAGCTGGATTGACAATGAAATCAAATGAAATGGTTGTTGGTGACCTTTCTCATTTTGGTAAAAAGACAGAGTAGTTGAACCGTCGGTAGGCAAACTTTTCGTAAACTGCTTCAGTTTTCGACTTGAATGAGCAAGAGTGGAATTGAGTAAAAACTGTACAAACTTTCACCAAGAGAAAGTTTCAAATATAGTAAAAAAGTGAGTAGATTTGTTCTTGGATTGTGAGAGGAGGGGGACAGAAATGGTCTGTTCATGAGCCATGTGGCTGTTGACAATGCAGACGGAGAGAGAAAAACAGTCGTCGTCAGTTATACCTTAAAGTTGATTTGGTCATGAGACAAAAATATCTCACAAAGCAAATCGGTGAGCCCGATTTGAGAAGGAGAATCACACAGGATTTCCCCATAAGGAATATCTGCATACATTGAAAATTTGTCGCAACTGCCCCGCGACAGAGATATCTACTAACTTAAAGTTAAAGTTGAACTTAAAAGTGTGGTTATCTTAAGCAGTTTTAGGCCCTCAATGACTTAATGTTTATGCTTATTTGCCACACTGCGGAGGGAATCAGTTTACCAACTTAAGTATGCATTTAATTATTTTAGTACTCATGTTACAAAAATATTATGTTTACAAATGTATTAATAACTGGCCGTGCACCTGTAACTGCATAATAATGAACCAGAGTCCAGCAAAAGTTGAAGTATGTAGTAGTCATAATTATGCGTCTAAATTTGTACTCGCCTCTGGATTCTTTATTATTATTGCAACAAGATTCTTTCTGCTGATATGCAGAAAGGGAATCACGTGTTCAGGCCGAATAGGAGAGAGAGAGAGAGATCAGGGTACGTTTGTAGCAAATTAAAAAAATCTTTTATTGCTCATGCAAATCCAAACAGCATTTGTGAAGTGACAGTGACATGGACATCATACGAGATGGATTTGGACATGACAAGATTCCATTTTTAGAGTGGAATCCTCTCGCCTATTGTCATATATGTTTTTAAAAGACGTTTGACGTGCGACCAAACGGCTTTGCTGGGTTTGCTTCGTCTACACGACAGACAGCCGGCAGTTCAGTTCAACTAACTTCACAGTTCAGTCAATCCCCTCATAAAATTATGCATGTACTTGTTTCAGGATTAATAGTGAGGCAATAAAATGAAATTAATGACGATACGCATTTGTAGTGAGGATATCATCTCTCCATATTTCTCTAATAATTAACCATTTACTTCTTTATCTTGAAAAATCAATGGTTTGTATGACGAACTGTTTGACATCTCATTAATATAAGTAACAAGTTGCTTATGAGACAGGTTTATAAAGTGACTTGCTCTCCTCAAAGACACACCGAGTTAAGCAGACTCGTCCCGAAAACAATGGCGCACGGATTATGAACCGAGAGTGGACAAACTTTCAAAAAATACGAGTTTTAATGAGTAGCTGTTCTACCTCAACATTGTTCTCGTTGAGTGACTGACTGACTGCCGTCATCTTAGTTTTGCGACTCAATATTGACCATGCCTGTTGCAATGCCTATAAACAGAAAACGTGATGAAGATTAAAATACACAGAATGGGCAAAAAACAATATATTTTTTCACTTTTGGCAATGATTCTCATCATTTGGAAAAACTAAATTCCTTGCCCGTACAAAACCTGTCCGTGTTACATTGAAGTCGAATCACTGCAAGAAATATGTTTGCATAGAGAACCCATTGAATATTTTTTCCAAGTTAAATCTAACTATCCTAAATTGGCAATTTATAAAGAGATGCAAAGAGTGATGTTTGCATTGGCTGATAGGAATTAGAACATTTCGCCCACAAGGATTCAACATATCCTTAATTGTTTCTTTATTGTGGGAAATAAAAAATAATTGGGCACGAAGATGACCAAAATTAGGCTTCAATATAAACCTCTGGAGGCGCCTCTAAATACCTGATTTAGCAATTGAATGAATTTTTAAATGAAAAGTGTGACACATGAAGTTTGGCAGCAGGAGGAAATTAATACAACACTAATTTTGCGTAGGTCGGATGAAAACGAGCCATTATCAAATTTGCATGTGAATTTTTTCTTAATTTATGTAGAATCTAACTAAAATGTGCTAAAAGTTTGCAAATATAAACACTGTATAAAATTGGAAACGGTAATAAGTAGTTAAAGATTGCATAACTCAAAGATAATAATAATATCGGTACAACGCACATATTTGATTTATCCGAAAATAGTGAAATATATATTTAGTTACCACTTACAAATATTGGCGTGTGGTAGAATATGTAAGTGTGGAAATACGTATGCTAAGCTGTCTGCAAATAAGTAGCACAAAAGGATGACGTGAATAATGTTCTGATCCCGAAGCATGAAAAGTTGGTCTGATCTGATCCAAGTGCGAGGCTTTGCGACTCCGAATAAGGAGTGTGAATAATAAGGTGCAAAATATCTGTATGTGGGTATCAAGTATCAGCTCGAGTTATTTCACGCCAGGCCATTTGAACAAATAACCCAAACACAAACCCCATATTGTCAGGAAGGGCATGAGTAGGAATAAATTGGCCAGGTTGGCTGGTTCGGGTTGATGTGTGGATTTTGGAACTTCCAAATTGGAGCACATTAATGTCAATAAACTTCAAATTGAACTTTGAGCAATGAAAACCTCCAAATTCGGGTTCGGAATATTTATTCTAATTTAGTGAAGCCCTTCTGTTATATTTTCATAAAATTCCATACGAAAACATTCGTTGAATTATGAGGAATTCGATCAGAAATACAATTACTTAATTTTAATTTTAGTTTCCGAGTTTTTCTCCAATCCAATCATATTTACCAAAATTATCGTTAAAATTAACAAATTTAAAGTTTTCATCGGTAGCACAACCTAAGTTCAATGGCTTCTATGCACATGCTGTAAATTGAATGAACTTGCTAAATCATGGAAGCCATATGCTGAATTTCATTAATTTTACTGGAAGCATGACTCACAACGTAGCACGAGTGAATATCTTATTGCTGCGAATATGGATATCCGTGTAGGTTTTGGAACTTGTTAGGAACATTGAAAAATAAATCTTTTCTTAAATCTTCTCAAATCTTGTTTTTAAACATTTATGAGTTTTAAGGATTTTATGGTCCTTATAAAGTGACGCGTTATTGTCAACACAACTTCATCCTCTTTGCTTTTTATACCCTCGTAACTTTCTATATTTATGTGCGTTACATTACGCGCATCAGTGCAATTGCCATTATTGGTGGAAACCATCATTTGCTAGGAGTTTAAATTATCAGAATTTACTTACTCGTTGATATAAAAACATGTGCATAAAAACGTAAAAAAATGTCATGCCCAACTATTGATCTTGATGTAATGACACTCGCATTTGGCTCGTTTGTTCTGTAAAAATTCGAGTAAAAGTTTTTATTAGAACCAATTGTGGGTTGAACCACACGTGCGTACATGAACCCTCCTACGTTGTAAAATGGTAAATTAAAATCAGAGAGATACGAGCATAACTTTCACACCGAGAAGAATTCGATAAGATCTCAAGTTATCATGTCCATTTTAAAATCCTACTTTTGAACTATATAGCACTCGATACACGTGAGTTATGTTATACACGCGAATGTACACTGTTATACACGTGAATTATGTTGAGCATAAGAAATGGAAAACAAAAATGCGAATCACATTATTTTACGTATGAAATAAATCATGCAAGACTGCTCCTGTAATCCCACTTTATCTCATTTCAGTGGCAACAGTGTGAAGATCCCGAAGAGAAGCGTCAACTTCGCACCCGAATGTATAAGCTTCGTGAGGACCGAATTCGTGATTTTTACGTTGGACGAGATGGTCAAGAAATTCTGGAAAGCATTTTGAGAACGGATAATGTTTCTTCCAGAGGCTGTGGTGAAGACGATAATGCGAATCTCCAAGAAAATCGCTCCGTCACATCCGTAGCTTCAATGGTAGTGACCTCATCAGAAATTCAATCAGGTCATGAGCTAACTCCGGTGACAGTCACGAAATCCGCTGCTACCGTCATGAAGCAAGTGAGCAAACAGGGTGTCACTACGACCACCACCACCTCCTCCAAAAAGACCATGAAGACCAACTCATCATCGTCTGAGAGTGACACCAAGGAAGAAACGAAACAGGTTAAGAATCGAGGCACTGGGAAAGACAGGTCGCCTTCTTTGCAATTGAAAGAGATCAAGGAACAGAAAAATCAGCATAAACCGTTGTTGTCAAATCGTCGCACAGTCCGGAGAAAGAGTTCCGCCGGGGAAAATGAGATTATGGCTGGAAATATTGGGAGAATTCATCCCAAGCAAACCTCCACTGTGACTTATGTCTTGAGTAACAAAGTTACAAACAATCAAGGCAAAGTGGTCGCGGGGAGTAACAACATCCGGAATGGGGTGGATGCAATCGGAGATAGAACGAATAAAGGCAGGAGAGACAGCCGAGTTTCTAAACGGGGAGAACAGGGGAATTCCACCACCACCACGATTACTGCAAGAAATAATCATGATAATAATGCTATCAGCAGCACTACGAATGCATCATCGTCCATTACAACCAAGACAACAATTGGTGGTTCGACAAGGGTGAGTGGGGATGGGCGCAAAGTGAACAATAGCATGATTGAAACCACAACCATCACCAACATGAGATCGACAAAGTCATCAACAATGACAACAGTAAAAAACGTCTCATCTTCCACCACCATTGGGCGAATTGGGTTCTCATCAACGGCCAGAAAAATTGACGGGGCTGAGTCGTTCGAGAAGAGCTCAACGGGTCATAAATCGCGTCGCCAAGTAATGTCGTCCAGTCTTGCCAATGAGTCCATTCCTCTGGGCTCTGTCCACATCGAGGAACTTATGGAGACGCCTGGAAAAGATGAAGTAAAAGTGCAACGGGGAGCAACCAGAGCCAAGAAATCTTCAGAGAAAAATGTAAAGGAATCTACCACTAAATACCAAAGGAAGTCGAGTTCGAACGCAGATGGCGAACCCATAAATCGGAATTTGAGTAGTAGCGGTGGGGGTGGGGGTGGCCAACAAGTGACCAAATCGGAGATGACCAAGGCTAATGCTACGACTACCACCACTAATACTTCATCGGCGAGAACGTGCTCCAAAGGATCTGCCACCCTCAATATTCATGGGAGCAGTAGCACCACTGCTACTGGCAGCAGTGGGGACAGATCCACTGGGCAAGACAGAGGGAATAAAGTCGTGAATAAATCACGAGAGAGTAGTCCGAAGCGAAGTGGCAGTTCTTACAAGGGAAATAGTACGAGAGGCACTAAAGCAACTTTGAAAACTGGTGAAAGTTTGGAAACTCCTGTAATAAAAGTTGATAGAGAAGGAGAAGAGAGCAGTGTGGGATATGGTGATGGAGAGTCCGTGGGATCCAAGAGCTTGAAAAAGGATAACAATAAGACAGAGGAGTCAATCATAAGGGAATTGGATATTTTGGACAACTACTTGTCACAAAGGAGCATTTCCATTGATGAAGCCTCTGCTAAAGAGAGTGAAAAAGTGGACAGGACCATCACAACCACAACCACAATGGAGCTTGGTCGTAGCAAACCAGTTGGCGGTGAAAATCTGGCCGGAAAATCGGATGTCATGGAAGTCGGGATAGAACCACCCTTCACGAGGACCGAGTATAAGTACAACTGCCCGGGTGAGGAGGATCATCATCGCCACCACAAAGATCATCATCACGAAGACAGTTCCGCTGATCGGAATACCAATGAGTTGAGAGAGCCTCAATCAGCCAGAAATCGCGACCATGATACAAAGTTAAACTCAAGTATTGAAGATCAAATTATTGTAGATGTCGTCGAAACAAGTTTGACTCCATCCACTCGGGTGCCAAGCAATAAGGGGAAGTCGAGATCGTCATCGAAACCTGCTACTCTAAAGGCTAATTTGTCAACTAATAGTGCCACGTCCAAGACAAACATTAAATCGTCATCTGCAGGTATTGAACCACTAATGCCGGCTAAAAAAGTTGACCCAACTTTCCTCCAAATCGGCAGCAGACAATCCTCTTCAACCCAAATGCAGATCAAACAGCAGAAAAACGAGACCGAAATACTCAACCGTCCCAGCCGAAAGGAGCAGCCAAAACTGACTGGAACCAAAAATACTAGTACCTTTATTTCCCTCGAGGAGAAAGTTAAAAGTAAACCGGAACCTAATCCTCGAGCTTTGAAAAAATCATTCGATGGCGGCGATGATGATGATGAGACTGTTGAAGGTTCCGTTGTAAAGATGAATAGTAAAGTTATCCGTCGAGATAACGTGGATGATAATAATGAAGACGATAACGATGACCCATTAAGACCTCAAACCATGAAGCAGGGCCATGATCACCCAGGTGCAGTACTTAAGGCCAAGAGTCTTTTTGAAACTAAAGCTCAAGAAGCCGCCATGGATCGGGCATCCGCCGACTTCGACATGGATAAGGGCATCACACAAAGCGCCAAAGTGTCCAAAAAAGCCGCACTGTTTGAAGCCAGGTCCAGAGGTGAGCGGATAAGTGTTAGCTCAGAGTCTTCAGTTGCCACTTCTTCTGCCCCTGATGAGAAAGGAGGGACGAGGGTGACTCAACCTGTTAATCAGACCGAGCTCACTACCACCAGCAGCACCATATTATCCAACACTGACAACGAGAACGCAAACAAGCTTGAGAGTCCAAAGAAGGTCAGCTCCACGCTAATGGCCACATCCACCTCCATTGCTCCGACATTAAAGAGAGAAAAATCCATTCTCACTGCAGCCTCCAAAGAAATCAAAGATCAAGACTCGTCCACGGCTACTACGGTCCGCTCCATAAAAAGGAAAACATCTAAAGAAACCTCCACATCAAGGGGATCTACCACCAACACCGCATCCGCTTACACAACAAGACGTAAATCCTCCGAGGTGAAATTCGATACGAATGAGAACACCGCAAAAACGGAGCAAACAAGGTCATCCAACAAATCGGCAGCAAAACTATATCAGCAAAGACGCGACAGTGGGAAAAGTGAGACTGACGAAGAACAAAAGACGACGAACCGTCATCCCCGGAGAAAAAGCACGGAGAATGGGAGAGAGAGCCAGAAGAAAGAGCTCCAGAGTTGTGTCACCACAACAAGTAGCACCACTTGCAATAGGAGAAGGGCATCTCAAGACAAGAAGGTTTCACCCGAACCACAACCAGCAGCCCATCTCCAGAAAAGAGACGACGAGAGCAAAAGAAATGAAAATCGGAGACCCTCTTTCCCGTCACACTCGACAAGAAAAAACTCTCTCCAAGAGGCAGCCAATTGCACCATCCCCACCACGACGGGTTCTGCTCTACTTTCTCGATCCGATAAATTGGAGCAAGATGAAAATAAGCGTGTAGAAAGCAGTGGGAATACGTTAACAATGACATCAACATCAGTCCAAATAAATTCAAACAGAATGACAACAACTGAGCTGAATGCCGTGATGGAGATTGAGGACATTGAGGAATTGACTCGACTGCTCGAGAAGGCTACAGACTATGATGAAAGGAGCAAAATCCGGGGTAGAATTCGGGGTCTGAAGAGGAAGGCTGCCCTGGTGAAGAGACCCTCAGCCGAGAATGAGACGACGGAAGGCGAAACTCTCTCAAAACGAGCAGCAAGTGCTTTCACCACCAATATTTCGAGCACGAGTGAAAGTGTGAGCATTATGAATGCCAAGAATAAGGCCATGTCTTCCACAACCACCACTTCGACTACTACAACCAATACCACTTGTGGAAATGGGAGAAAAAAGTCGAATGAGAGGAGGCGATCATCGGGGGAAATTCCAAGCAATAAAGTTACCACGAGAAAGAAGTCGTCTGAATTAATTGGGAGGGAGAACAGTTCTGATGACAATAATAAGAATGCATCCGACGTTGTTGAGGTGAAAAAAACTCTCAAGGCAAACGTTGTCAAGTCTGCTAATGACGAACGGAAAGTACGAAATCGTAACAAGTCGTCGTCCCCATCACCACCGCCTCAATCACAACTGAAACCACACGCTGTGACTCCGCAAACAATAGAAACTACACTAATTGACTCCTCCGTACCCACAACAACATCGACTACAATGGGAGGAGGGGGAGAACGTCGGCTTTCATGGGAAACGCAACAACTTCTCAGCACCAGAAAATACTCGCGAGATTCGCCTCGTCAGGGGGAGGATGAGAAAAAAGTATCCAAAGTTATCGATGATGTCACTCCGACTCCTCCCAACATAAAATCCGGTCTAACGAAAGAGAAAGTGGAACCGACTCCAGAGGAGAAGACACTTGGACCAGCTCCTACGCTTGAGGAAAAGCCTACGAGACCATTCACGGAAGAAAAGACTCCGAAACCCTTGATAAAAAAGCCTTCTCGAGACAAAACCTCTCCACCACGTGTCGTTTCTTCCTTAATTGAGTCTGTTGCAGCATCGACAACTATGCAAAAATCACGCGAGATGACCAAAGCCGAAAAGTATGAGGCTGACATTTTGAGTCGACCGAGTGTATTTTGTCAACGCAGACAAGAACAACAGGAATCGCAAAACACTGCGACAAAACAGGAACAAGTTACCACTACCACCACGACTTCTTTTAAGTCCAAGGCACTGAAAACTGGGGAGACTTCTTTGACTTCAGCTCAAAAATCATCATCATGGAATCAAGAAATTAAAGTCACAAAAGAGGCGAGCCCTGAACCACCCACCACTAAAAGTACTTCTCGAAAAAAATCTGCTGACGACTCCCAAGACAAAGTGGTCAAGGTCACAAGAAAGTCCTCCAAGGATGAAATCAAGGAGAAAAGTCCACCACCACCGACACGTGTCCCACAGCGAAGTTCTCCGGCCAAATATACCAGAAAAGGGAGCTCTAAAGAGTTTAAAGTAGTGGAAAAACTCTCCAGCAATGAGTCGGCTAAACTGGGTGAGAAAATTGAAATGATATCAAAAATTCCAACAACCCCAGCCCCAACATCATCATCTCCACCAGCATCTAAAAAGGGTGGTGCGACAACAAAAGATGACCAAAAGTCTGAAGATGACAAGCACAAGTCTGACACGGAAATTAATTTCAATCAAACGCAACAATCGCAATCTTCTTCACCACCCACGACCAAACACCCAAAATCTCAATCTGAACAGCCAGCACCACCACCAGCAGCAACAACCTCATCACTAGCAGATCGAAATAAAAAGACTGTGAAAACTGATACCCCCGTGAAGAAGAATGAGAAGAAGAGTAGTGCCCCGTTAATGGATTCTTCTAATTCAACTTCAACGACAGGATCAACAATTACGAAATTTAACTTATCAACTAAATCCTCCTCTTCAGGCACCACAACCAACGACACTGCGAGAGATTCGCATTCCAAAGGGACAGAGTCAGTGACTTCCAGCTATGGTGTGGGGCCCACAGATGATGATGGGACGCCACTCTTTGGTCTTAAAGCATTACGAAAAATTAAGCAGGTTCAGGAACAAATTACTACCAGCACCACTTCTTCAGCCGCATCGACTGAGAGCACAGAGAAAGCAGGTTTGTCGAAGGAGGACGCGTACACGAGCACCAAACAGAGTTTGAGGGCCAGTGAGAATTTTGGACTGAAAGCGTTGAAGAAAGGGTCCATAGCGAGCAAGGGCTTGTTGTTGGCGGAGGATGAGGATGAAGAGGACACGAAGAAGACACAGCAACAGAAGAAGAAAAATAAAATCCCAGAGTCATCAGTTCCAGAGGGTTCCACACGACAGACTAAATCAGAATTTTTATCGTCCACCACGACGAGCACAATCAGATTACAATCTTCTTCCTCACCACCAGCCACAACTGAGACGGAGACGGCAGAACAAAGGGGTGCAAATCTGGACAGAGGCAACTCTCCCAAATCTATATTGAAAAAAACTTCATCTTTTACGAGTCAAATTGGAACAAGTGGTGAGGGAAATGGTGGTGGTGGCGGTGTCGTAAAGTCCAAGACCGCTGAGGACGATGATGATGGCAACAATTTTGATGAAATTGAGAGTGGAACCATTAATAGTGTAAAAGTGGGCGAGGATGAGACAACGGATGAATTTAGGAGATTGACCACCACTTCTTCCACTACTTCCAATATCACCCACTCTCACAGTCTTGGGAGTGATGGTGGCATGGAAGATTCGTCATGGCGTAGAAAGTCGGCAACACCATCTCCAGATCCAATGAATGCCTCCTCTGCAACCAATGCAACCACTTCTGGTTTACTCTCACTCTCCCGAGGAAAAGTTGGTCGTTCCTCCGTAAAGGAAATGTCCAAACGGTTTCTACAGACTTCTGAAAGTGGAGAAACTTTGTCAAATTGTCAAACTCAACAAAATCTGAATGAGGGTGATGTCGTCGACCATAAACCAGTGTTTATTAGGGGAAGCAGTCCATCCCGGATTCCTTCTCCCGTTAAGCCATCAACCACCACCACAACCATTACGACGACTACCAAAAGCAGCGTCGAAGTCAGTGGAGGAGATCCAGACGGAAATATTAAGATTGAAGTTAATCGAGGAGATCCTGATCACGAGGAGGTGTCATACTACTCACCCAGTGATTCAGACGGTGGGGGCAGTGGTATCATCCGTATCACACGCACGGTGACCACGACCAGTGGCATTGGAGGTGGTGGAGGTGGTCGAAGTTTCCTCAATGATTCCAGCCCCATCCAGAACCTTTCCGACGTAATTGAACGAATGCGAGGTGAAGAAGGCCAGAGGAAATATACGGAGGATTTTAGCGAGGATGCTGAAGAAGGCGATTGCGAGAAAGGCAAAGACTCGGCCGAGAGCGGGTTGAATCTTCTCAATAAATTCATCGGGGCTCAAATCATTATGAAATCAGTGGAACCCATGCTTCTTTCCAAGAAGGTAGGTCAGGTCACAATGAGGTTTTATAGTCCGCTTCTTCTTCTTCTTGGCTCGACCAACCAAAATCTGGCAAATTTATTATTTGTCTTGAACTCCAAAATCCACTCGAATTATTTCTCACCACGAGCAAAATATCTACTTGTATGAAAAGCAAATAGTGTGGCGTTGTAAAAAATGTAGAAATTTATTGCCCACATGCAAATCTTCTCTAATTTATGTACCACTGCTACTTCTAAACACAATGAAAGTGTCCAAGCAAAAGTGTGGAAATTGAGATTTTATTTTCATCGTAAATAATTGAAAAAGCGTCTCATTTTGCACTTTTAAATGAGTTTTTATATCCATCAATCTCATGCCCCAACAATATTACGCGAACACAGAATGCATGCAGGAGGTTGTTACTTAGGTAGTAAGACACGAAGGGTGCGTGGGTGGAGGTTTGTCGAGAGGCTGCTTTTGCTGAGGCGCTGCGTCATGCATAATCCCAATTGCTCAAGCATTTAGTTGATGTATCATTATTTTTCGGCTCCCTTTGCCAAAAGTGATCAAAATCTGGCAAACATGTTGTAAAGCTGAGCTAAAATTCAAATTCACTTCTCCATGTCACTCGTCGTCTTAATTGTGGGGACACTACGAGAAAAGTAAATACATAGGAAAATGTGTGCTCTAGAAATCTACTTTTTAAAACCTTCATTTCAAAACCATGTTACTACACCCTACGCCATGAAATTGCGAACCCACACCATTCAATGACAACTGGAAGGCCCATTGCATATATACAAATGGTAGAATTATTGACCACAATAGGAATCTCATCATGAAATGCACATTTTAAACATCCTTTGTCTTCCGGCTTTCAAGAAAGGCTACTTGCTTAATAGCTCGCTAGTTAGTTTAGTGGATGGGGGCTTAAGCCCAGTTCAAAACCTCCGTCATGATGACATCCGCCTCACATTACAAAATTGGTTGCTTAAACCGTTTACATGGGGCGGCGGGGTGAGAGAGTTTACTTCCTTCCTGTATTATTCGGGTGAAACTTTGGTCTTGTGCCTTCGGGAAAACCCTCTCTTCTCGCCTGCCGTGCCTTGGCTAAGTTGAAAAACTGAAAAGTAAAGCAAGCAAGCAAGCAAACCTTTAATAAGTCAGTTTGGATTTCGGGATTCACACCGAGAGCTTGCTGCAGCCATCCAATCCAATCCAGTCGTCGTCGACCCCAGTTGAGAAGAATACAAATGCAAACCCAGTGTAGTCAGTCGGAGTCAGTTGGTTAGTTAGTTAGTGAGGAGCATGATATACTTTACTTGTGACAGAGAGAAAGAGTTCCCAAAATCTTGAGTCCTAATCTATATCGAGCGATACCCGATAATAGGTCTCTCTCAGGATCTGTACTGACGCTTGCTAAATCTTTCTCTGTGTTTGCAAGTCGCCTGAAAATAGAGAAATGGCGATGAGGGTTCGGGTGCAAAACGCTCCATCTCCACCGCTATTACTATTTTAGGGCAAAGGAGAGAAGAAGATCTACTTCTCGAAATCACAAGGCTTTTATGATGCGAATGTTTTATCCCTTTTCAGCGCATATCTTTCACAAATCGGTATTATTTTTCTCTTGTAAAACTAATTTTTTACAAGGTGTAGCACAAAAAGTTTTAAAAATATGGATGATAGTTATGCATTTTTTTTAGCATACGTTTGGATTTTTCGCCAAGTATTATTTAATTGCACATCATGCCGCAATATGAAAACGCATCAGAGAAAGACTAAATACAATATTGCAGCTTTGCAAGGCTAGTTGAAAGTGGAATTGTTGATGTTTTATTTATAACCAGATGTATTTCTGGTTTCTTTCTTGACTTACATCTCGTCACGGTAGTTCAGCGGCAAGCGACCTCAGTCAGAAAAAGTCATTAGCAGAAAGGGAAAAACATTTTTATGAGACCAATTCTTATGAATGCATAGTTTTGCACATTTAGCATCGCCATCGGTTAAAACTGTGACACTTTTTCTAAGTAATGAGATTCAAAAATGAATTTACTTATGTACATACTTGTGTGCCTGTGGTCATTATTGATCATTTTGACCTTAATAATCTGCAATTTTCTCCCAACGCTTAAATTGTATCCATAATTACAACTTAATACTTTTAGTTTATGTAATAAAAAATTGTTTACAATTTCGCGTATTTCGACCTTGAGTTAGCTTGCCACATGGAAGTCGTCCACGGAACAGTATGACTCCTACCACTTTTTGCAAACTTTTCAGCTCTCCAAGCCGTGGTCTTACTTGCTTAGACTTTGAAGTCTCAAAATAACTTTTTCTATTTTACCAAACTTGGTCTGTAGGTATGCGTTTAGACTACTTTTGAAGTTTGTGTTATTTTGGGTGTTAGTACACGAAACCATAAAATACGATTTAAAAGCACAAGCTTCCAAACGTATCCTTTCTTCTTCTTTTTTGTTCCCTAGTACGTATGTAGCTTATCCTTAGTCAAAATTTAAAAGGACGATATGCGCTCTGCTAATTCTGCATGCACACATCCCTCATATTTCTGAACTACTACGCTTTTTCAAAGTAGCAATGCCACAAAAACGGTAGATCAGAAACCCGACCTGGAGTAACCAATAACCAAAGCAGGATCTCATCTTCACAATAATAATGAAACAGAGCGGAGCAAATATGTACAACACCCGTAGACACGCTGACTCTCTAATTCCCGTAATATGTACGAATTTAGTCGTACTGACTGCTTCCACCAGTATAAAGCATTCATGAATGACATGACATACCTACACTGAGCAAAATGGAGGCCTGACAATTTTATGGACAATTTTCGAGCACACATAAATAATCCTCAGATACGAGGCCCCACTTGAACAAATATTTTTGTCTGTCACGCTTCCGTATTTTATGTACGTGAATTTTAGTGCAAAATCCGATCTCCACGTAGCTCATCTTCACGGATTTTTCCACCTTACTGTCGAACATTATCATTTTCGCAGTGGAAGAAAACATTACTCGTTTCTCCGTGGTATAAGTGTAAAACTGTCTTTTTCTCCTCTCTCCGAGCCGACCGCGTTCATAATATTGTTCATTGCGCCTTTAAATAATATGTTTTCATCTTCAGCGGATTGAATTTGCGGCGTGAAAGACTTTAGTTAGACCGATAACCCACCGACGAAATATCCGACTTCTTCCCAACTCGTGTCCTTAATCTTTTTTCTTCCTTCTGCCGTCGTGTGATTAGAATTGAGCTAAACTTCATCACACAGTTTCTGTTTTTAACTCGTCGACTCTCTTATTTCGTTCTTGTCTTTCCTCGTTCGTTCGTCATTTATTCCATCCATCGACGACGGGCAGAGTTGTAAATAACACATATATATAGCAGCCAAATATTAAGTAAGAAGTGCGTTTTTACTTACCTGTAATAAGTTTGGCAGCTCGAAACCACTGTTACGTACATCGGTTTGAAATAACATACCATTCGTACTTGTGTTGCGGCTATGCACACAGCCAAAGTCAATCTAGAGAGAAATCATACGAGACCAAATCTGTTGTAAGGAAAATTTAAATGGTGTTATTTTGTTAGGAAGGGAATTATCTCTCTTTTTGTGGAATGTGGTAGAAAAAGAGTCGTAAAGTTTTTTGACGAGGTCGTTATTCGTTTCCTAAATTTTGCGAAAATATTATTTTGTCACTTTTTGGAAGTTTAGAGTAAATCATTTATATTGGTCTGTCGATTATGTGTTACTTATCTCTCGACTATTGACTCGTCTATTATTTTATGGTAAACTGAAGAGATTTTAAAGAGAAGGAAAATTAGGTAAGCATATTTGAAGAACAGATTGACTTTCATGTCCAGACAAAAATACGTCGTAGCATTTTAATACTTTCGCCTGTCTGATTTGTTGTTTCGAAACTCTCGACATATTCAAAATTTATGTCAATTTTTTTCTAAAGTCAGCATAATTCAACGAATAGGAACATTTCTCATAAAATTTAATATTTCGCTATAACAAAACCAATCTACACTCTACGCTTTTAAATTTGGAAATACGACATAATCTCTAAAACTACAACGACGCAGTGCTTGTCAACCTTGTTATTCGAATGGTGACCGTGTACGAATGTTTGTGCTGGGGCTGTGAGTATTTTGTTGCGGTATTGTTGCTCAGTGTTGTTTTTCTGAACCTTATCAAGGTGACCATGTCATCCTCAAGTCTTATCGTTAACGGGGTCAATGTGGACGTGGAGACGGATCCAGTCAGGTTAAGACAATTGGTAAGTGCATACAAAATTTCTAGTACATAGTTAAAATAAGTATTTATTTCATGCATCTTTCTACATATTTTGCATTTTTACGAAAATTCTGTTTTTTAGAGGCTATAAATGATAACCAGATTCAAACGGGTTTCATCCCCTGTTCGACTATTGTAGTGCATATAATGACACCACATTCTTTTCCATATTAAGACTTTGAGACGACTTTGATTTCTATATTAGAATCACAAAGAATTCCATCTGCTCTGTTTATTTTATGCAAATTATTCACCGGCGATTTAACTTTGGCTGCATGTACTGCACAGTGGCCATTATGGGATGCTGTCTGCGTCTACCAGATAAGTTGGCCAGCCATAACCTACCTTTTTGGGTGTATTCTTCTTCACCTAGCTCATTGACGGGGGCACCAATTATAGTGTGCAACCAACACGTAGTAGACAAATCCCCTCTATTTTATTCATAATTGGTCTAGTCTGACACGTACCTGCACATCCCACAAGTTATTAACTTGTGCAGTGTGCAGGTACTCACTTCTGTCTAATGAGAATAATTTCAAATTATTCTCATTAGAGAGAAGTAATCTTTTTTTATAGTAGCTCATTAGCAAACCCCACGAAATATTTTACATCATTCTTACACATTCCATTTCCAAAAGTTTGTATTAATGGCGAATCGCGCAGGGGGGCTCGCACCAAATCAGGGAAATGTCTACTAATGTATCGTTTAAAAGACTGATCGATTTCAAAAACGTTTCAATTTGTGTAAACATCTTACAAAATGGTTCGGACGTTAATAGGCAAGTCAATACCCCTCAGTTTGTACAGACTTTGTAGCCATTCAGCAGCACAGCATGGTCTCAATTTCTTTACACGAAACGACATTTTTGTTGCGTGATTTCTAAAGCGTGAATTATTTGAGACGAAATTATTAATGCCCGTCAAGTTGTTGTATGAGACACTGCCAATCCTTAAAATCCGCCCACCACATCAGTATGCACTACTATAATTCTTTACAAAGTGAGAAATCACCCGACGCATAGTGTCATTAATTACCTTCTTCTTAGGAGTTTACATAAAAGAAATTTTATTATGAAAGGCAAAATAATTGTGGTTATGCCCTTTCAGTGTTACTCCTCGGTTTTTGAGCATTTTTTTACACCATTGTTTTGATACAGTTTGATATATTCAACAAGTATGGAGTTCAAATAGGTGGCTGTAATTATAGTCTGTGGGCTATCAGAGTTCTGAGTGAGTAATGATGAAGCCTTTGGTTCAAGTTAAGTTCGAAGTCTAAATCCAGTCAAATCGTTATCTGACAAAAGCGAAACTTTAGAAAATGTACATTTACAACCGTTAAAATAAACAGATGCCAAAAATACTTCCTGGTTCTACTATTTCGACTATTTCGAGATGTTACAAATGGTCAACACATTTTCTGTGGTGTGCATACGAACGAACGTGGTTGTGTTTTTGTGGATGAAACGGGCGATTGTAAAAATTCTGTTGCTTTCTCTTTTTCCTTTTAGTTAGCCGAAGTGGAAGGAGAGGACCGAGAGCGGATTGGAAATCGGCTGCGAAGTTTGGGTAAGAAAAGATAGCATATTGCGGTCGTAAAAATTATACAAATTTATTCTAAAGTGCACTCGGTTATTAATAGCATTGAATTTTGATTTTAATTTCATCGCGTTATTATATCGAAATATTGTGCATTGTTTTTTGTTGGGCACAACTGCGTGAGATTTTCATCTCGCAAATGATGCGGTAAGCTTGGCGATGCAGGAAAGTGAACCATATTTATCTTGGGGTTTACTTAAGTAAGAAAAAGCCATCCCAGAGATAAATTTACCCCAAGGCCAGGCCAACTCCGTTCTCAGGTGTGTGTTCTGGTCTGGTTTGGTGTGATTTATTTACTCCGCTTGGCACTTTCTTCCATCCCCACTCGCGTAATACTTCCATACGTTCCTTCCTCCTGCAAGATACCCCAATCTAAAATATCTAGATCACATTATTCAACAAAGATGCAAACTGGATGAATGGAGGAAGGATGGTTACGTGATGTGTTATTATTATTACGATCTGGGTTAAGAACCGTCAAATTCGCCACAAACTACGTCACACATTAAGAACTTAAATATTGTGCAGGCATTTAAACTCTTTCCAAAAATCCTGTGATTTTAGTAGCAGCAGCTTTATGAAAGTGTAAAGATTCGAGACATAAACAACTCAATCATCACACGGGTAAAACCAGGAAAGTTGTTAATTTACATAAATCATAAAAAAACACGCGAGCGACGATAAATTCCAACAATAAAATAGGAATTTATTGTCAGTCTTTTACTTTTTGCGGGGCGTAATATTATGGTTTCAGATTTAAATTGAGAATGTCTTTCCAACACTTTCATCTCACATCCGCTCACACGCCACGACTCGGCTCCACAGGTTTGGCTGGGCGAGACGCTGGACCACTTTGTTTTACTCGAGGCATGAATATAACGCAGTGTCAGGCAAGATTGGACATAAATTGCTTTGTATATTCTCAACCGAGGGAAGCACAACGCCGGAGGGATTTTCCGTAAAAAGCCGCCGATAGATTTAAAGCTCGCTTTACCTCGTAATTTATATACACAGAGGATCCAAAGGGGAAAGTGGAAGAGGTGAAAGTCTGGAAGAAATTATGTTTATTTTCTTCCCTTCTGCCCTCCACGGCTGTCGACGAGGAAAGCAAGGCGTGTGCATTTGGAAATTGTCACTCCCTCTGAAAAAACTACTTCTCTCTCACCTTCGAGTTGAACCTCCCGATTAACAATGGGTTGACAAACTTGTAGATTAGATAAGACACCAAAAGAGAAGCGTAATCTTATCTGCAGCGACAAACACATCTTCGCCATCCGTATTTGGTTGGATATCTGCATGGAAGGGAAGTGATGTGATGGGACATGATAAAGTTGGGACCTGACTCGAGTGCTTCATTTCCTTCCTGAATTGAGGAAATAAATCTTTGCAGATGTGAAAAAGTAGATTCGATTCCCTTGATGGATTGCTTTCCTTTCCCGATTCGGAATCTTGTACAGGAAATGATTCAGAAATTATGTGGAAGAATCCGATCCGGTTTATTTAACTAGCGATTTATGCCATGAGAAAAATAAGTTTATTTTATTTTTGTCCTCCTTTATCGTAATTGTGCTAGATCAGATAAGTCATTCGGATAAAAAGGATAATAATACAAAGAAAACATTGGAACTTTTTGCTTCCGAAAGACGACATGTAATTATTGTTTGCATGGTTTGTTGAAATTTGAGTAGTGGATTATATGTGTGTGCAGCTCTATGAGTGAGATTGTGGTGTTGAAGGAAGATAAATCTCTTTATGACATAAAACCAAGAAATCCTTATTTCGAGCCAGCTCAATTTCAAGGGATGGAGAGGTTCAAATTGTTGCAAATAAATCCTCCATGCGATCATAAATTGTGTTCAAATCCAAATTCACCTTGGCAATGACACTGCAATGACTCTTTGATCTATCCACGACTTGAAATGCACGGTTGGGTGTGATATCCACGTTCACGTCGTCATCCTCGGCGAGGAATAAAATCTACCGGCGTCTCATATAATATTTGTCGTGTGGGAGCTCTGGTCGTGGACGATAGGACACTTGGCATTTTTTTACATAGCAAAGCTCACACCATTTTACATAGTAGCATAAATAAATGTCACCGACTAAGCGGAGGATTTTTTACGATTGTAGGAAATACAAATCGCTCATTACAAATCCCTCTTTACCAAACCAGCTCAGTACAAACCCAAAAATTAAGTTGGTGGCTTGTCTAAATAATCAAACAAGCGTTCAGAATATTTTTTATTAATCGGATTTTTATAAATCTGATTTGAAACATCTCAAAGAATTTATAATTTGGGCTAGGCTGATTCCCAAGAGTTACGTAAGTAATACGGAATAACAAAAAAACTCAACGCTTTGCGTTTGTGGAAAATTCAAGATAAATCACGAATTTAATTTTCGGATTTGCATATGTATAATGCCCAGGGTTTGTAATGAATAGGGTTTGCTAAGATCGGTTTCTATTTTCTGTCGACCTTTTTTACTACTACGTGCTTCACAACATTCGACACGCGTGGATTACCTCGAGAGTTTTATTTGGGATATATATTCGAATCTACGTAAATAAGTATTAGTAAAATCAACACATTTAGCTTAAGCTAGATAAACGCTAATGCTATAAAAGCGCAATATGTAGCTTGCTAGTTTTCCTCCTTATCCATGTTTGACATGTAACTTAAAATAAATGATTCCTAGTGACAAGTTTAAAGTGATACATATTTACTTTCATTCCATATGAAGTACATCTGCAGAAGTTTCAGTTTCAGTTTCATTAATTGTGCCAGATAAGTAAATGCAACTTATATTGGTACGAAGGGTAACACACTTAACGAGTAGGTTATACAAGAAGGTTACAAATCTAAATACGCAACACCGCTGATTACGAAGAAAATAGATTATGAGAAAATCTGCAATAAAAAATACAGAAAGCGGTGTAGACCATAAATCTGAGCAGATTTTTTGCTTCATTCATTTACAGCAGACCGAGAACAGCTACACTGTCGAGCGAGCGTTCAAGGCAATGCTCGACAGAGTTGACGTTGCTTGACCTTTATTTTTAAGCCGAATTTAAACAGATTCTGAGAAGTGAATAGACATATAATTTAGTTTATAGCCAGAGGAGCAGAGAGAGGTTATATTGACGGGTTGAAGGTTTCTGAAATTTGGCCAGGATTCCAATGTTAAGATTAAGATTTGGATAAATTTCGTCAGAACTGAAAGCGATTAGGAGTTTGGCCAAAAATGAGTGACAATGATGTTTTATGAATTGTCTTTCTGAGCTTAATTTCGCTTGATTTTTGTGGTGGTGTTTAAATAAACAAAAACGAGTATTTTCTATTACATATCGGTGGAACATTGATTGCTTATACGTACGTGCTGCCCACACTCACGTCACTTTCGAGACATGTATTGTCTGAAATGAGTACAACACTGCTATATACTTATTTAGTTTAGACGGGGGCCTGTATAATTAGGAGAGACATGGCCTTTTTCGTATCAATAGTTTTTATTAAGTAGCTACTTTAGGAGAACGTTTTGTCCGTCTGTCTATCAGTATGAATTACTTTTCCCTGGCGACCTTTTTCCGTTCTATTGTCGGGTATCAGCAGCATATTTTGAAGGGATTACTATATAAAAATTTTTGAATAGCACATACATGTGCCTTGGTATAATTGGAAAGGACTAATTAATGCAAATAACGCATTTTCTCTGAGTTCTCTGTGACGTTGAGGGAAAGGGTCAAATGTTGGGTTTCAGTAAATTTTCAAAACATTTCAAAGCTACTTTGACAATTGAGAAATTCTGATTGAATTGTGTCCAACATTCGTTGGATACATAGATACATGCATATGCAGCACTACCGCTACTTTTCTGTATCTGCGAACTAAAGTTTATTGCAAACCTGAAACGCAACTGATGAAAATATGAATTTACAATTGAACGATTCGAAGACACGGTCTATTTATGAATCATACTTTATTTTCCCGAGCTTTCGAAAACAAAATGATTTCTTCTTTAAGATGAATATTTTATTAATTATCGCCAAAACTTGCACCAACGTTGACCTACGGGAAACGAGTACATTTTCATACGAATGATGCATACAGAAAGAGTAATGGCTCCATACTATGGTACATTTAAACCAACGTGCCAATTGCACACATGTGTAGGTAAGCCAAATGGTAGGATACACTCGTAAATCCACTCCTGTTCATATGTTTTTGTCATTTCGAAAGAATCGTTGACTGATTATGAAGAAAACATGAGTTTTTTGAGTGGCTGCCAATAGACTTTTGACTTTTTTGCTAGTGAGTGACATGCTTAACTGTTTTTTTTGCAGAGAGTGGTGGCACTTCAGTCGAGCGGTCAGCCTCCACCCCTTCCACCCAACGTTCCCGACCCCTGACGAAAACGCTGTCCATCGGAGGAGTAACGCTAGGATCGGATTCTTCTGATGTGGCTGACGTGACTGGTGAGTTGATGCCATTGATATTTGGTCAACTCCAAAGTTCATTATTGGACAATATCGGTGCGTCTGGCTCCGCTTCTGGTGGTGGCAGCGCGGGCAACAGTCATCATAATGTTAGCTCAGATAATAGCAATAACACTTGTACAAACACAAATGCCAACGCTTTGCAATCAGCAGCAGACGCAAATACAAATAATAGCAGCAGTAGCAGTTCGGAGGGTAGTAGTAGCACGAACAGTAGTGCGGGTGGTGGTGGTGGTCCAGACTCTGGGGAAGATTGTCTATTCGACTCGGGCACGGAATCCGGGGAAGATGGTGGGTCTCCTCCGTCACTCCCACCCGTCGTCGACGTGCTTCAACCCCACCACGCCAAATCCGAAAGCTCACCCGCTGAATTCTCCAATTTCATGGAAGGACTGAGGAACACGCTCAAGAGAAATCAAAACAAAGGAAGTCTGCTCCACTCATTGTCTCATTTTGATGCTTTGGGAGCTTTGGCTTCCACTTCTGCTGCTGCTGGTGGTGGTGCCACGGTGAGTGCTTCGGATTCTGCAATTGCAGCCAAATCTCGCTCACAGGGCGAAAAAATAATAAGTGCTTCTGAGCTTGGTGGTGGTTGTGGCAATTTACTCGATACTAGTGCCATAAGTGGCAATAAAGGTAGTTTTTTGGATAAGAAGCAAGTGGTGAGTTCTACAAGTACTGAGTCGGAGGCTGCGGCGGCGGATCGTACATTGGTCCAACAGGTGGACAAGGTGCTTTCTCTTTTGAGAGATTCATTGGTTAAGGACCCGACAGTGTTGAGGTCTTTAGGCTTCGCTGATGTGGAGTTGAACCTTGAGTCTGAAAAGGGAAAAGAGCTGATTGCTCTTATTGATCGACTCAAGTCCACTCTGAGCACTGCAAATGAAACCACCAGTTCCAGTGGTCAAGAAGAAGGAGCCATCAAAACTAAAAGTAAGGACAAAATAAACCAAGCTCCCACTCTGCCCACGGTGATCAGCACTTGCGAACAAAAGGAAAAAGTAGTCGACGAGCAGCCGGGTATCAACACCACGGCGGCTTCACGAGCACAAGAAATGTTGGCATGGGCGCAAATTCGACCACCTGACACTGTCCCTCTCCCATGGGTTAACCATATGCAGCCCCCTTCGGAAAGGAAGTCCTCCACTGAAGGAGTAGCCGCTCCTTTCAGCGTTGATGATGGTAACCACTACACCCACAAGGGTCGAGGTGGTCGTCGCCGCTCGCACACAAGGTCACACACGGTCGGGGTAACGCAGGAGGAGTTGGCCGAGGCAAGACGATACTTACAAGAAACTGCTTTGCGTACTGCTCTCGAGGATAGCAAGCGACAGGAGGGGCAGCAGACTGAGAAAAAAGCAGAGGAGGCAAGCGAACCTTCTCCTCCCCAAGATGCCACGACATTTAGGCGAACCAGCCTCGTCACCGTGAATCCAATGGCCAAAAGCAGTTCGCGTGATTCCATGCAGGTATTTTCTCCTACTGGACAAGAGCATAATAAACCGCCTTTCGAACTGCCCAGACAAAACAGTTGGCATCAGGACGTGGAGAAAGGGCTGAGCCATATGCCACGACCCTTTGTCAAATCAGCAGCTGGAATGTTTGACGCCAGCTACGTGCCTCCACCCGAGAGGAGAATGACGTGTGCAACGCTTGACGATAGCGTATCCTCACTTTTTGGCAGTCGTGACCAAACCCAGAATAGTCTTCCTGGTGGTGGCAGTGGGAAGGTGGGAGAAGGAAGAGGAAGCCAATTTGCAAAGATAAAACCCTTCCGAACAATCTCTCTTGATAATGCGTATGACCCGAGCAAAACGTTTTTCACCAAGGAAGAAACCGTTCAAATAGCCGTACATCAAGCAGCCATTAAAAAACAAATGTCGGACGAGGAGGATCGGAGAAAGCGGAGAAATAGCTTGTCATCCCAGCAGAATATTTATGGCAGTGGTGGTGGCAGTGGGGCTGCTCCCACGAGTAATAGCACGAGAGATTTTTCACTCGCCTTACCCACACCCTACTCATCACCTCAACAGCAGAAGCAGAAACAGATGAAAAACAGTGGTCGTGTTGTCACTGGCGGTAATGGATCTCTAAACAACAACAGTTTCAATGCTCCATGCAATTCAAATGATGATCATCACCACCAAAATCAAACCCAATCTGGTGGAGATTCAGGTTTCACCGAAGAAAGCGGGTCAGACAGTCGACAGTTGAGAAATGATCAATTGGTCTACGAACCTTCTTCTCAAATGTCGCCCATCTCACTCTCCAGACCATCGACGAGCTCGCCCAGGGCAAGCTTTACCACTGGCTCGTTATCCGGACTCCCAAATGGAAGTGGTGGAGGTAACACACAACAGCAACGGATTGAAAATGTACAGATTTCACTTAAAGAGTTAAGCTCATCAGAATTTCCTCAACTACAAATTGCCATCACTCTCAACACAAATGCGGGTAATAATACGGGACCTGGTGGAAGTAATGGTGGCAGCAGTGGCACCAATAACAGTATCACTTCAAATAACAATAACAGTGGCAATGATCCAAATTCATTCATTCAGTCCAACTTTCTCTCTGGGAGAAAACTCCCAACTACCACCACCTCCACAACGAGCAATACGTTAAGTGGAGGTGGTGACGGTAGTGGCCAGATGGACGCCCTCAGTTTCACCTCATCGAGTAAAGCAAATCGTTACAAGAGCAAGAAAGAGAGAAAAAATCGTCTCAAAAGGGCAAACACGATCGACATTCCACAACCACCAGGTTTCCTTCTCGGCCATCATGACGACGATTCAGAGATGGACGACGAAGAGGAAGATTCAGACGTGAATGACCATGATCACTGTTCCGTCAAGAGCGCCACACTCACCTATGCCCCATTCAAACCAAAGACTGAAGGGGATCGCAAGTTCCTGGCCTTTCTTGAGAAAAATAACTCCATCGCGCCAGACACTCATATTTCTACGGTACGACCAGTGCGAACCTCGCATTTGGGGGCTAATGATAAATTTTGGAATAATCGATTTTTCAATCTCAAATCTAATTTCGAGTCCAGTAGTCAAGGGTCGAGTCCAAGCCCTTCTCCAATCCTTTCACCAAGCCGACAAGCTCCCCGCTCGGTGTCCGAACTGGCCTTAACGCATGAAACCATTACACCCTCGTCAGCATCATCTGACACTTTTTCTAAGCCCATTTGGGCCACACGAGATCGTGGCCAATTGCCTCAACAGGTCAAGAACAAGCTGAGCGTCTTTGAGTCCAAGAATATGGAAGCAGCATCGAAAAGTACTCCGTGGAGGTCTTCTGCACCTCAGATTGGTCAACCTCCACAAACTGCTCATCATGTCCAAGCACCGACTGGAAGGGGTAGCGTACATCAACTTCAGCAGCAACCTTCTTCCAATGCAAAACGCTTTGTAGCCAGTAGCAGCGTTTACAGTACAAACAATGTTCCTACACAAACAGTACGACAACAACAAATGACCCCCAAGTCCACCTTTGAAACTCAACAGAACATTAAGGCACCCACTGTTCAGCGACCTGTCGCTGTGAGAGGAGTAGTGCAACAGCAAACTGGACCACTGACTGAACCGACAGCACCCCAACGTTCCAAACAACAACAACAAGTGGTTCATCCCTCAGAAGGGGTTCACATGGTTCATGCAACTGCGTCCGCATTGGAAGCCATGAAACGGTCAGGCTTCGGTCCTACGGCGGTTGTTAATCCTACGTCACATCATCATCATCACCCACCACAAATTATGTCTCCACCTCCTCTAAAGGTGTTGCCACAAGAAAAAATAGAACTTCCCTGGGCAAAGAAAGAACCACTTTCACCTTCGGACAGGAGAGATCCAAATGCGGGACGAATTTTAATGTCAAAAGCTAAATTTGAGCAATTGAATCATCCCGACGTTATGCCGATGCATCCTCCACTGGTCCACCATGGGGGTCGTGATGGATCCAACCCACCCCCACCAATTCCACCCAAGTCTGCAAACGCCAAAGCTTTCGGTGTTGCCCTCAGTCAAAACCAGAATGAGCACAGCAATGTTCCTACTAGTAAATCCCAGCGGTCGTCATTCCCGACATCCTCCGTCCCAAATGTCACCAATTTAGCCAGCAACTATGGTCAGAGTCCTCCAGCAGTGGGACCAAAACCAAAATTTGGAACGTTTGGCGTCACGCATAGCTTTGACGAGGCCCTCGCGCGTAAAGCAGTGGACAATGTGCAGCCAATCAAACCTGTTGGTAGACTTCCGGTTCGACAAGAACCACCTCCAGCAAGTAGAAGACCACAACCAGAGTACCAACAAATCCCAGGTTCCGCATTTGCCAGAAAAGTATCTGCATCTGAGCCTCAGTCCAGAATTTCTTCTGACCACGAGGATGAAGCGGTGACCCGAAAGGTCTCCATAGACAAGGGTGACATTCAAACTCCAGTCGTGGCCAGAGTGATGGGAGCTGCACAACAGCAACGAGCAGCCATTGCTGGAAACAGAATGTCCTCTTTGCAAAATGAGGAGCAAGCATCGCGACTGACCAATGCGAGATCTAACATTCGAAATATTCTCAACCAATTTTCTCAGTCTCAACAGTCGAACGACGATTCTTCGGACAATAACTGTTCTCCTCCAATTCTGAAAGGAAATCTGCAACTCTCAATACCAAACCCTCTTGCAAAATCACTGTCCGGCAACACCCTCATGTCTTCCGGTCAACATGGTGATGGTGGCAGTAGTGGGTACAGACCAACAAGCCTTGTCGTTGGTGCGGAAGAGTTGAGTCTTCACTCTTCACACTCTCCGAGTATAAAACCGTACAATTCTACGAATAATAATACCAGCTCGGTGTCCCCACTTTCACCAAACCCGCTTCCAACATCTACATCCGTTTCGCCACAACCAACCACGACAACAATGAAAGGGACTCCGATCCCTTCACCAGTCCATCATCACCACCACCACACGACCGCTCCTACTACCACGAGGGGAAGTAGTGAGGAAAATACCCTTCAATCTCAAAAACAACAGCATCGTGCCCTCATTCCAAAACAACGAAGCTTATCAGAGTTTCCTAAAATTGCAACCAAACCCAACATGGGAATACTAACTATTAAAACTGATTTAGAATCTTTAGCCAAACCAAAGTTTAATCAGCATCATCCGCAACAAAGCACTTCTTCCAACAAGACTTCTTTTAAAAATAATCAGCAACAATCGGCTGTGCCGAGTAAAGCTTTACCAGTTCAAAAGCAGTCCTCCTTCCCCCAACAACAACAACTCCTTCAACAAATGGAAGAACAAGCGTCACCAAAAGTCCTGAAATCATACCCCACTTCCGACAGCTTACAGCGCACTTCTTCCGGAAGCAGTATCTTCAACAGGGCGCAAAGCTTATTTCTCAGCGCTCAAGATGGAATGCCTCCTTCCGTAAAGAGCAGACCTAAACCGCCCAGTCTGCCTAAAATGCATGGCATGTTTCCCAAGCAATTCGAAGCATCAATGTCACCAGACAGCGCCAAGAAGAAGCAGAAAGAAGTGGAGGATTATTTTAAACAATTAACGCAACAAGAGCACATTTCTCCAAAGAAGGGTCGCGGCAACCCCAACACCAATAAGTCTGCCCACATAAGAAAGTCCGCGTCCCAGGGCAAACTGCTGAGCAGACAGCGTTCCCTTTCCGACGGGGAGGAAGATGTCGACCAAATATTCGAGAGCCTGTTCAAGGCTTCCGGTATGATTTCTCCTCGGAGTAAAACCTGACTCTTGTGTGAGCGAGTTGAATAACTACTACCGCTACTGCCTATTATTGAAATGCCGCGTTGGTGGAATTTCTAATTCATTTTTTAATTGCCGTTATTGGATTTTGATTACTCAAACGACTCAGAATCTCCGACTTATAGTACTCACTCATCACACAAGCTCAAGAACAAAGGTTACTTATGTATTTGTGTGGTTTCATCCAGTGTCTTAATACATGAGCTACTAAGCAAACAGTAATAATAATAGTCGTGATAATAATAAAATAATAATAAATGCATAAACATATTTACACTCTGCTTCACCAAGGACAAATAAAAACACTCAATTATTGCAAATCACCACATGACGTACTACATAGAACTACATATCTATACAATAATACATGTAAACTAATTTACAAAATACCAAAATAACATATTACACATTTTGCTTCTTCCGTGTTCTTATAAGTACGTAAGTAGTAGTGCTATACTTAATATTTAGTTCTCGTATTTATTATTTACCTCTGTTTCAAAACCAATTAATGTAACGTGCCATGCTTCAACCAGTAGTTACGCAGATAATAATTATGAGCCGTGCTGAAATTGCTGCGTCAGTACGTGCAGATTTAAGCTGTAGTAAAAGAGACTATGTAGATTATGTGCTTTAATTGATCCTTCCCCGCAAACCTAAGAAATATTCTATTCCTCAAATGCTATATGTTCAAGATATTTTTAATGTGCTTATTTAAGCCGTTTACTTATTCGTCTTATCTATTTCTCCTCCCGTGCAAAAAAACTACTTGTTTTGTCCTGCAACCTGACTCCTACAGCAACAACCCTGGTCACACACTTATAGTCAAAGACGTGTCAAAAAGGTTAGCCATCTACATATTCCATCCAGTATTCATTCGCCATGAGACATGAGAGTGTAGCATAGTAACAAGGCAAAAATATCATAATAATAATAAGTAGATGTTAGAATTTATATTTTATGAAACTCAGAAATGTATACGTAATTTAAGACGGATAGAGCTCGGGAAAGTTAGGAGATTGAAGTAAGGGAGCCAGTTGCCAGACACCCGACCAAAAAGTACACGAAATTGATAATTTACGACCACCACAAGTGTTAAGCTAGCTCTGTGGAGAATGAAATTTTGTTTTGTTTCAGAGGAGAGGTTCTCTTTTAATCGGTCTCAATTTTCTCGGGCTCAAATCTGGGCTCAAAGCTCTTCAAAGTCTCTTGACATGAGTAATCTGAGTAAGTAAAAACATTCACATTCACTCACTCACAACTTATATATTTCTTCTCATGATAAACTATATAAAAAAGGAAAATATTTACATTTTTTATTGTTAAAACCCATCCAGTGTCAGGTTTAGGGGGTGGTGGTAGTGGTAGCCATGCTCAATATTACACACCAGTGCAATCACCACCATTTTGCAACCAGAACTATCCGTTCTACGACCAACAAATGCAGACATTTTGTAACTTTTTTTAAAAACTTTTAGCATTGGTTTTACGTTTTTGAAAGTAAAACATATCCCTTTGCATTTGATAAACAACACAAAACGGGATAATTATTATATCCGTGAGAATAAGGTGACGATGTGGTTTTTGCCTGGCCTGATTTTTCCTGATTTTTCTTTACCAATAAACACTTATGTATGATAGCTCCCAGATGAGGGTTTCAGTTGACAAACTACCAACAGTAAAGTTTATCACCTTAAATTTTTCATAATGTATTCAGAAATCATCCTTATTTCCAATAATAGTTGAAGAACAAGACCTGTGCAGGGATTTTGACATTGCTTGTCTCAACTTTCCCTGCATGTATCCAGTTGTACCCAGTTTTTCCTATCCCAAGTTTTCTCTCCCATCAAATCATACCAAACGCACGATGACTTTCCTACCCTGTCTTTTTGATTGATATTTTAACTGATACTTTTTTGCGTTTTTTCCTCTCGCTCACTCTTTAATGGAATGCATAAGTATCAAGCTCTAGGCTGCTTGTTCCAGGTGAAACCTCCAATCGCCGTCAATTTAACTTCCAACAACAACAAAACGGAGTGCCTCCACTGCCCACGATGAGACCACAGCTTCCTCCACTGCTTCCCACTACAACTTTCCCTAGCGTGGCCCCTGTCGTTACCACACCTCCAATTAGCGGAGGCATTTCTGGGACCTCGAGCCTTGCGGCGAACTCACAAATTCAACAAAAATCTCAAATTATGCAGCAAAGCAGCAGCTCCTCGACTTCATCTTTTAAAAGCACAACTTCTTCAACTACTTCCTCTGTTGGTGGCGGTGCTGGGCTTAATAAGTTCAAACAAATGGACCAACAAGCTAAAGCAAAGTTAGTGTCCACAGACGAATCCTTCTCCTCCTCCTCCCACCAAATGCTCACCTTTCAATTATTCAATTATTAGTGTACACACCTGTGTTCCTTTTGTTCTAATTTCTTAACTGTTAATGCACCCATGAAATCCATGTCCCTCAGAGAAAATTCAATTTTTTTTCTTTAAACGTTGGTCTCCGTTTGTGGTGGTGCACACATCCCTTTAATTTTAATTTAAAACCGTCCTGTTTCTCACATATACATTTGATAAAGACAATTTAACATCACGTTGTCCCCGTATTGTGTATGACCAATTTTAAACTGATAAACCAAATTTTTGAATATTTTGTATTTGCCCACCCATTAGCTCGGGAGGGGCAGCCCCCATGTTTAAATTGAGCCAGGGGTTGAAAACAAGCGCAAATAGTGCAAAAGACATTCTGCTGTACTGGTGCCAATGTCGGACTCGGGATTATGAGGTTATTTCATAATTCATACTATTTTTCAGCCACTATTCTTCACCTCGCATTCATTTCACACAACAACTCTGAGTTATCTGCTAAAGCTTTATTTTTATGTATTATTTATGTTATCTTGCGCTCATTATTCTTGTGGAGAGTTACACTGCTGCCTACTTTTCTTTGTTCCGAAGAAACAGCAAACACAATTGCGGATAATTTTTCACACTATCATTTCACTCACAAACTCCTTTGCACTCTGTAATCGTATCTAAATTAGTGTTTAGACACTCATATCAAAATATAAATATAATTACGTTTGTCAAGCCAATGTTAATCGTCGAGCTCTAACTGGTTTTATAAATAACTAGAAATTTAAGCTTAGCTTTGTGTACGCTTTATAAATAAATCGCTTTTATACACAAGCACCTTACATTATCAGTGCGACAATAATACTGCTTTACATTATCAACCTCATCATTACACAACAAAAAAGTAAAACTGCACTCACGGACTCACATTCGAATACATTCGCATTGCTTCTTTATTAATTTAAAATAATAATAATGACAATAATAAGATTTAAATGTGTATTTATTTATTTAGTGTGTGTACATGTTTATCTGGTCAAAGTATTATTGCGTGCCTTATTTTTTTAAGATCATGTAATTTTGTAATGCCTATGTTTTTGTGTGGATTGTGCAAAATGTGAATTTATCATGTTTGTGCATTTGGTGAAAGTAGTTTATACTATTTCAGAACGTCAAAATTGAAAACTTTTCGAGTAGCTGGAGTGACGGGCTTGCTTTCTGTGCACTGATTCATCATTTTTACCCTGACGCTTTTGACTACAAATCCTTGGACCCAAAAAATCGACGATTCAACTTTGATCTTGCTTTCCGTGTTGCAGAGTAAGTAAACATCGTGTATCGTACATATTTATTAAATTACATGAATTTTGCACATTTTTATTGGTTTGAAATTTTATTTTCCATTTAGTGAGAAAGCAGGCATCTATCCCCTCTTAGACACTGAAGATATGATTGTAATGGGACGAAGACCAGGTAATCCTTAACATTTATTATTTAACTGTGTGCAAATTTCATTGAAGAATCGGGAACATAAGACTTGGGATAGTTTTGAGATAACTATCTAAAGGTTTCTTTATTTTGTATTTATTTTCAGACTGGAAATGCGTGTTCACTTACGTGCAATCAATGTACCGGAGTCTCAAAGACCTCGCATAAGAACTGACGTACAAAATCTTCAGGCCAAAACAAGACCTACAGAGGACACTTCTTTTCTTGATACCATAAATATTTTCTTCCGTACAATGTCATCAGAAATTTTCTTATCTACTCGCCAACATTTAAAAATGTGGTTCATTGAGCCCATCCGTTTCTAAAAGTATTTAACTAGTTTCTTGTGACTCGTCTCCGCATCCTTGGATTTGCTACGTACACATAAAAGACGTTTCTTTTTAACATTTTCCCATCTACATAATTTCTCAGTGTCTAGAAAATTTTATTTCATGAAAATTAGAATGGTTAGAACTATGAAATGAAGAATAGACTAGATTTCTATGAATCTTTTTGAAAAAAGTGGATCAAAGCTTTGTATTGTAAATATGTACCTGCCACGATGACATTACACTAACTTGACATTTTCCAGTCTTTCATACATCTCTAAAAATAATGACGCCCTTGTCACAAAAATATTTGCATATGAGAGAAAGCCCGTGTACTTTAAGCTATTTATAAAAATTGGAATAATATTGTATAACCTGACTCTTATTTGAAGAGAGTGAGTGCTATATATTATTATAAATATGTATGTAACCGTTAAACGTTATTCTCTACATCACCACGTTCTTCCGTTGTCCTTGTGTGATAAATTGCATTAACATATAATCTCAAAGAAGATCAAAGAACAATAAGTTAAAAGTTAAAGAAAGGGATAGAAACCCGAAGGGGTGTGGGTTCTAGAATGGAAGTTTGTTGTAATAATAATAATAATAGAAAAAAGTGGTGCTGTAATGAGGCTTTTTTGAGGTCTCAAAATGCTTTTCACTTTTGAAAAAGAAATTAGGTTTCAATTAACATAAATTACTTTTAACTGACTTTATCTGGCGATGAAACGAAAAACATAAGTGTAGGATTTTAGCCTAAATTTTTAGCCGGTTTTATAAAGTTTTACGTTATTCAGTACATAAGAGTGCCATGATTTTAAATAAATAACAGAAATAGTCATTTAAAAACTAATCACGCATTAATAATGGATTAGTATTATTCTTGAAATAATGAATATTGTACGAGAATATTATCAAATAGTGCTTAACTGCGAAAATAGTTTTTACTATTGTGTTTTTTTTTGGTTCGGTAAAAATATGACAATTTTATGGTCGTCGGGAGCAAAGGAAATATTTTGTGATTTTGGCATTACCCCAAATAAATTTGACTATGTGGTGCAGGATTTCAAGCAGGACTGATTTGTACTCGTTGTTGGTTAGCTTAAAAGGGCTCTCGTGATTATAGAATGTGTAGTATGGTAGGTATGGAAAACGGACCGGATGTTACTTTGTAGAGCGTTATCATCAATTAGATATACAACAAGTGAATTATTATTATTAGTATTAGTTATGCAGGTTTATAATAATGCAATGCAGAAAAAATAAGGATACAATATTAATGATTTACTAACCGCAAACCGTAATAACCGTAATAATAAATAAATGCTAAATTGCGTTTGGAAAATTGAAAAAAGTTTGTCATATTAAATGCAATTTATTTGAGCAAAAGAACAATATGAAGTCAATAAATGGGTGCAAGCACAGCTATACATATTAATTCAGAACCATGATTTGAACATTTTCCGTGCCCACTCCGGGACTATTTTTGTCCATCGACTACTTTTAGTTTGGGAAGTAGACGACGACTCGGTTGTACTTCCGACTTCCTCAGCACTTTCACTATTGCTGTCACTTTCGAGAATTAATGAACTGTTGTTTTGGTCTCGTAATCCACGTCGTCCACTTTCGTCCTCGCCATAACCAGTCAAGTTTGTGGATCGAGACGTGTCTGGGAGTAGGTACTCTTCCTCATCGGACGTGTTGTTGTCCTTGTTGATGCGAATGGACAGGACGCCGACGTCTGGCATAACGAGCTGGAATAATGCCATCAAAAATGCTATAAGCAAATAAGAAGGGAGGACAGATGATTGATGGGAATTTGAGGATGAAGCTCTGACCCGAATTTTTGGACGACCAATTGCAATGGAAATTTCGACCGGATAGTGGTCTGACACTTGCAGCGCATTTGTTTCATTTAGGTCAAAGACGTTGTCGAACTGGAATGCTTTTGCTGTGTGAGGTATTACTCGACCGTCGCTGAAGTAAGGGCCGGTTACCACGATCCTATAATTATAATCAAAATGCACTAATAAATACTTTGTTGATTACGAGTAATTATTTATTTTTGCAACAAACTTATACATAAATGCATATGTTCACATATGTAGCTCACCGATCATAAGCACAATTGGTTTTACCAACTGTAGTGTCAACCTCGTCTCCTATGAGCCAATTAAATTGTTCCATATTCCGAAGCCGAATATTCTTCCATGCTTTTTTGGGTACATAACCGCAATCAGCGTTAAAGTCTCCTAGCATAATGACATCCTGTTCACACACATTTTAACATGTCTTTCTTTAGCATGGTAATAACCTTTCTGCATTAATGTGAGTAATTAATTGGCTACCCTAATTTTAAGCGTTCTCTCAACCCAATTTTGGACATCGGTTAATGCATCAATTTCAATTACTGCATCCGTCGGCTTTACATGGATGTTGATCACAACGACATCTTTATCTAATACACAGTTAGGAAATTAACCACAATTTTTAAATTATCACAACTTCACGCCAATAATTAAACAACTGACCATATCCTTGAAAGTTAACTCGGATTATGTGTGGCTCCCTTGCAAATGAATCAGCCTTTGAATCATTAAATAAAAAATGCTCCTTAACACGAATCATATCACTCCTGCGCATAACAATTGAAACCAAACATTAAAATCTATAAAACTAGCAACTGGTCAATAATCCTGTCGCACTTTACCTAAAAACCAAGGCGTACTGTTCCTTATTATTTGTCCTCCCCACACGATCAGATATGATGTAGTGGTAAGGACGCCGTTTCGACGAGGCAAGGTTAATCTTTTCCATGAGTCTCTGAACCGCTTGCTCGGTTCTGTCAGTGATTTCCGACAAAGCGATAACGTCATAACGTTTTACTATCTGAAAACCATAGATAAAAACTGCATCGAAATAAATACCAGATAAGCATGCACCTTAAATTTATAATGGCTTGGTTTTGTCTCACCTTGATGATAGTGTCCAATACTGCCTCATTCTCAATCTTTGGCAATCCAAATTTTCTCATGTTAAAGGCTCCGATCAGCATCCGCTCTCGCCTGGAGGAACTGCTCATTGTTTCCGAGAGAGTATCTGAAATGGGTGGTGGTCTGGTGGACGTCGTTGAGACTCTTTTAGCACCATCGTTACTGCCAATTGTCAAGATGATCAGCAACCATGAAATATTTACTAAACAAGTCCAAGATTTGTGTCTCATGCTTAATTCTTGTAACTGTCGCAGCAATGTGTTTTACACGACAACTTATAACAAGCTGAACATTTAAATGTTTAGTTTTCCTGCTTTTTAACCCACACTACAAATCCTAAGTGGATACACCGCAATAGAAGATTCAGAAGATGGTTGTGTGTCTTATGCATGCATGCATGAATTAATATGAACACTTTATGCCTCCTCATACGACTAATAATAATTTAATACAGCAAAGTATGAATGAATGATTCCTTGTCTAAGCTAGACCTTCATTGCGTTTTATTTGTGGTCCACTATCAAATATGGTGGTTGCCGTGCAAGGAATTAGTAGTACAAAGACTTTCGTTCGTTGTTTGTTTATTTATTTTCATAACGCTCTCAGAGAACAAGAAAGTCAGCCTGTTGTCAGCTAACAACATTTAATACAAAGAATAATATATGTAGGTACGGAATTGATGTATGTATTTCCTGACAGAGGACAATGATTATTACTCGTTAGAGACAGAATGTCACACTTAACGCTAATAAAACTAGATTTATAAATAATATTCCCATAAGAGATTATAATTAAAGTATTACCACCATTACTCCCCATTGTTTTTTTAATTATCGGAAAAACAGCGGACCGGTTTCCCAAAGAGTCATGAGATCACGCAGAGTTTGGCGAATTAAAGTTCCACGCTTGGAATTTTCGCAAGAACTCAAATTATAACCAAATATGAGTTCAAACGGGTAACAATTACACTCGCTTTTGGATATTAAATACAATTTACAAGAATCAAAGGTTCAGAGTTAAGTGTCCATAAAAATAGATACTTTGGTTATCAAGTCGCTCAAAGCACCGTTCATTTCAAGCAGTTTAAAGAAATATTGATATAAGATACACTTACATTGTTACTGGCTACCAACATTTACATAGATACCACGTTGGTTATAGATGCAAAATTCATTCTATTTAATATTCAGACACATCACAGGTTCAATTGTAAACATATTTTTTGTATCAACTGGAGAATGACTATATGAATTTATATCTTTGGTGAACATATTCATGAAACATACAATTTTTATGGATACCAAATTTTGACTTCACCAAGAATAAATGGTATTGCCTTATTGTTGCAATTAGCTACATATATAATACATTACCAGTCTTGAACACCTATGATAATTTACAGAAATTTTAGACTTCTTTTACTCACGCTTCTATTGGAAGACAGTGTAAGAAACACTGAAAATAATTGACGGTCTGTTTTTTAACTGGATACAAAAAAGGTTGTAGGATATACTTAATATCACGGGCTTCCTCGTTTGTTTGTAGACTAATTCAAGAAATATTGACTATATTTTGCATTATTAATTTAAAACTATTGTGAATGGCCAAGACTTACATACTAAATTGTTGAAGAATAAAACTTAAACAAAAGAACTGTCAAATGACAGGAGTGATATCTTGTGTCAGTGCTGTCCCCAAGTCAAAGGGCATAATCTCTTTTAATGCGCTTTTCGTAAAAGAGCAGGTATGGCTTAAAGCGGAAGGGCTCCGAGTCTTGCAGCTCGGAGACAAACTCGTCAGATACAAACGCCCATCTGTAACAAACAACTTTTTTGTAAATGCAAGTTCAGTGTGCAAATTTGTGACCTATAAACTTACCGACAACCGCTAACATTAGCTGGTGTATCAGGTACACGACGACATGTAATGAAATGACCAGAGTCGGCATCTCCACTATGGGCGACGATTGCTTTCAGATCGTAGGAGAGATCTTGAACAGTCTCCGTCTTGAAACTGGGAAGAGCCGAATCTCCAGAACCTTTATTTTTATACGTCAAGTTCCAGTGGTGCAGATCACCAGCATTGAGTCGTTCATCGTATCTAACGAACACATGGCGTTTTGATAACCCATCAGGTCTCCATTCCGACTGTAGTATGTGGAACACCAGGGTATAAGGTAACTGGAAATGTTACCAAAGTAAACCATGAGTATTTTTAGGACCAGCATTAACTACCAGCAGAACAATTTAATACAACAATCGATATGACATACCCGGGCAAAGTAAAGCGTCTTTGAAAACGCACTTTTCATGGGTTTTCCTTGCTTTTTTGAACAACCATCGCAATTGACTTGAGTAACAATTACTGGCTTCTGTAGTTCGCGGAGCAGAGATCGGACGTTGAGCTGAAAATTAGAAATCGTGAGCGGGCTATGAGGCAACAACAACGTCAAAGACTCGAACGTCTCAAACTTGACAGGAAGCTGGAATTTTAGTTAACAATTACTAAATAAAATTATCAAAAAATGCTAAAATTATAATAAAAACAGTAAAAGACCTTATGCAAGCACTGAAGACATTGCAGGACACTGGCAGTCATACCGCGGAATGGATACTTTGGAGCCATCGGAATGTTCATGTCCGCAGAGGCTTTCCTCTTTGAGAAAATTCCATTAATCGCCTTCTTGGGATTATACAAAACATCCCAACCCGAAAGATTAGTTGTCGAAGTTTCGGAAAAAGAAAGTCTATGTAGTGGATTTACTGAGGTTGCAGCAGGTATCTCGTTGTCCACTTCAGAAGCAGAAATTAGTTCACCGGAAACTTCTGAGGCATCGTCTTCGTCCATGATGCATTCCAGGGAACCTTTCTGACGTCGATAAACTGAGCGAACGACCTCCTGCTGTAATACTGTGAGAAGATGCTGCAAGCACTCGAACGTATCTTGCTCCTCGTGATTGACAAATTTGTGGTTCAGACTGTGCAAAGTTTGAATAATATCCCGAGGAACTTTGCTCATCAAATCACAGTCATCTTCTTCAAGCCCGATGACTCGATTAATGACTGCAAAAAAAACACTCAATTATAGAACTGAATCTCATTTATTCCCATTCACTATATTTTGAGAATAAAAACTGAAAACGCACCAAGAATTGCCCTGTAAAGAACAGCAATCATGGGATAATCAAACCCCGCATACTGGTCTGGATGATGGAGGCGTGGGGGAAAATCACATTTGTTCAAATCGTCCTTGTGAGCTAGCACAACAGAAATAACAAAATAGTATCTCTTATCCCGAACTACGCTAGTATCTATAGGTAAACCAAAAACTTAAATTAATTCCTCCAACGAATATAACATACCTAACCATGCACTGAAATAGCTGCACGCTGATAATGCCTGTAAGACAGCATTCAAATAGCAGGTCGACCCAATATTGCGTAATCCCCTGATAGGCTTCACGGGATCAGATAGTCCAAATCCCCCTTGTTAATATATGTTAACAAATCTGTCAATATATAGCTATGAATACATTTTTATACAACCATTTTACTTACATCGATGAAAAACTTCCTTGCTATACAAGTAGTAAAGTGCTCCAACGCCAAGCCCAATGGTCCAGAGTGTCTTGCTTTGGACCATACCCATTTTTAAAGCAGTCTTCCTTGATCCCTTCTGCACATAAAATAATCAAAATTTAACACTTCGTAATTAATTTGTGCCAATGATACATACGATACAAGAAAAATGTTGATAAACGCAAATGTAATTGTTTCACTATCTACGACAGAAACATTGAGCATTAAATTAGTTTGAAATTGTTAGGCAAAACATATTTAAAATGAACAGACCAAAGGTCGCAATATGAATTATGAAACTGGATTACAAGTAATACTACAAGCTCTTGTATTTTGCAATAAAATACACAAAATTAAAAACCAGAAAAGAAATACTACATAATTTCAAAAAAGAATTAAGCTAAAAATATTTCAGTTTACATATCAAAGTTATTCCACTAACCTTAAGTAAACTTATCGTCGGCTAAATTTGTCTCCCCCCTCCTCAGCACTCAGACAGAACAAAGTACAAGAATTTACAAGATAAAGACAAACTGTAACAAAAAAAAAAACGTCGTAAATTTTGAAAACTTGTCACCCCTCGCTCCCTAAAGTCTCAAACCTATAAAATTGGCACCCTAATACACATGGTTGTGGAAATAAGTCGGAAATTTCTGAAGGAGTGAGAATTTGAGGAACAACCAAATCAGCAGTTCCGTCCGTGTGAAAAGTGGAAAAGAAGGAGGAAAGCAGTGAAAATGAGGAAATGCGTTTGAAGCGAGTTGGCGCTGGTGGACAGGCTTATTCTGCGAATGAGGAGTCCCATGACAATTGTCTTCAAATTTGGCTTATCATTGTCCTCTACTACCACACACTTATCTATTCGTCATCATCCATTAGAAAACGTTCCGATGAAAATGTCTCAAGAATTTGAACAAAAGACACGATGAGACTCATAGTGAGCTGGAAAAACCAGTGTGCGTGCGTGAAACAAAACATGGAACATGGTTTTTGACATGCATGGTTTTTTATTAAGTATTTTTATGTATTTCTGACACATTACGTGTAACAAAAGTATATTCCCAAAGATATAAATGCTTGCAAATGTTTATTATACGTACCCTTAGACAAATGACTACTTATTTCTGAGGTTAATGTATCAAATAAAATTAGCCGATAAATAAATAGTTGATGGAATAATATTAAGTAAAGTCATGATTCCCCAAGTTCGTAAAAAAGAAAAACCCGTCCCGGGAAAGGGCAGCAGTCTCCTCAGATTGCGTAGATTGTAAAAGTTGCATGCTTTTTGTTTTCAATTACAAATACAAATTAGTTGATATCTGTCATCAGTATTATGTATTAAAGTTTAAATGCCAAGGTAGTAAGTTCTTAAATAGTTACCACCGCTCTTGCAAGGTATGGCATATGACAATATGTTATTTGTAGAGTAGGCTACAAATTGTCTTTATAAAATTACAAATTTGACAATGTCTTAATTTTCAGGGACTTTTCTTATCTGCAAAGTAAGATTCAACTACACCATGCAGAAAAGTTTTCAGAGTATCTTGGTTTCTGGATTATTTCGTCAAACTACTTGCATTTGGATAAGACAACGGCAGCCGGTTCTTTCTTCACAAGCATTCACAGTTTCAGGATCGGCTTCAGTTCATTCTCAACATGGGAATAAAAATCGTGTTTCTGCAGAAAGCGAGGGTCGTCAACCAAGTGACCCAGATTCGGATGGATTGTCATCTAACTCCCCAATCGAGCTATCTGATAGCATGTCTCAGAGGTTGAAGGAATACAAAGAATATCAGCGAAATATTAAAGGAAATTCGGACGTTTCGTGGGTGGACAAAATTGTCTATAGTTCATATCTCCAACAGCACCAGCCTAAAAGAACATATAGGTACGATAGTTAAATACTGTTTAAACTTTACCTATCAATTCAATTGCCATAATCGTAACGTTGTCCAAATCTTAGGCTCAGATTACGCGAAAATGCTCTCAAACAGACCATGATGGCTGTAGAATGCGTTGGAAAAAATTTGAGCAGTGCACCCCTTTCTTGGAAGTATTTAGAGCCCAGCAACGAGGTCAATAACGAAGAGTTTCGCAATGAAGAGTTTTCTAATGACAAGAAGGAAGAGGAACACTCTTCTCCGATCTTTCCTTTTCAAGCTGTTACCAAATTGGAATATATTGAGGACAACACAAATATATCCAAGGAGAACTTAATTTCAAGGAATTTTGAGAGTGAAGCAACAAGATTATCAAAGGCTGGAGTCAACTTAGGAGGCATATTGAACAACGATGACATTGATAATGAACTCAATCAAGATAGAATGATGTCCATACAGCAAGAACATGGAAACCCCGATCCTTCTATCCCACCTAGTAAAATACCTTGTGGAGGATGCGGTGCACGTTTGCATTGTCAGGATTCCGCAATTCCTGGGTAATTGTTATTGCTACAATAAATTGTAAAATAGAGCACAGATATATGGAAGCACAATAATTTATATTTCGTTGAATTTCCGAATTTTAAATAGTTACATCCCAAGTGAGAGGTTCAAAATGCTGAAAGAACATCTGCGAGGGGAATTATGCTTGAGATGCTATTGTCTCAAAAACTACAATACTGCGCTGAATGTCAATGTTGGCCCTGGAGATTATGCAAGAGTTTTAAGAGAGATTGACAATCATTTTGCAATGGTTTTACTTGTTGTAGATTTGACTGATTTTCCATGTAGTATATGGCCTGGACTAATTGACATTATTGGTAAAGCATTGTTAATTCTTATTTCAGAGTATTGTATTGTTTTATGCATACAAGTATTGACATTAACTTTGTGTATGCATAGGTACAAAACGACCAGTGTTTCTGGTTGGAAACAAAGTTGACTTGATTCCAAGCGACTCTAGAAAATATTTGCAAAGGATTGAAGATGGACTTATAAAAGCTGCAAAAGAAACTGGATTAGCCCCAGCCAAAGTTGTCCACACTTCGGTTATCAGTGCAACAACTGGGTTTGGAGTTGAAGAGTTAATAACTAAAATTAATTCGCTCTGGGGTCCGAAAGGTAAATCTATTTCATTTAGCTCTTGCAGAACTTTCAAAGAAGGACTCGATTGGAAAATATTTATTACTATCCACAGGGGATGTATTTATCATGGGTTGCACTAATGTTGGGAAGTCATCTCTATTCAATGCATTAATTCAGTCAGATTTTTGTAAACCGGATGTTGCGGATATAGTACAGAAAGCAACCATATCTCAATGGCCTGGAACAACCCTTAATCTTTTAAAAGTATTGCCATTTTTTATATTAAATCGTATATACTTAGTTGTAGTCTTTTTAAAATACTTCATATATGAATTTCATTTGTATAGTTCCCAATTATGAGGACTGACCCATGGAAGAATAGTATTAGAAAAACACGTTTGGGTCAAGCCGCAATAGAAAACTTGTCTGAACAATCAGAAAAACTAAGAATGCTTCGTGCTACAAAAGATCCTCAATTTGGAGTGTTAACTGGCACAATTGGACGGAGCATGCTTAGTCCACAAACAGTGTATGACATAAAGAAAGCAAAACCCGTGGACGATCCATTTAGACATTCGAGATATCCACCAAAAGATATAATGCCAAAAACCGGTGAATGGGACCCAGAGGAACCTACACTGCAAGGAAAATGGTGTTACGACACACCTGGAGTTGTCAATGAAAATCAAGTACACAAAATATTAGTAACAATTAATCCTATTTAAAAATGGAAACTTCTTTAAATGTACAAATTTTCTTTAGATTTTGGATATTTTCACTTTGCCTGAACTGATGCAGACCCTTCCTAAAAAATTAATCCAGCCGAGGACGTACTTCATCCAAGTTGGAATGTCACTATTTGTAGGAGGTTTTGCAAGAATTGACTATATCGATGGCCTTAAACCAATCCGTTACACAGTTTACTGTTCAGAGAACATTCCCATAACAATTGTGCAAACTTCAGATGCTAGTAATTTCTACAAAAAGGTGATAAATTTAGAAACTAGAGGTTTACGCTGAATTATTAAGTTCAAGTCAAATAATTATTTTGACTTTTCTTTTAGGCACTCGGAACACGTGTTCTTTGTGTCCCTGAAGGAAATTCGGAACGTTTATCAAAGTTTCCTTCACTAAGGCCTACCGACTTTAGTCTTGTGGGAGAAGGTCATCGTTTCAGTTGTGGAGATATAGTACTTTCATCAGCAGGTTTTAGCAATAGCTACTTAAATCGACAACATATTTATTGCATTGTCATTTTTAGGCAATAATAATAATTACAAATTACAGGATGGGTAGCTGTAACTGCTGGCCAAGAAAAATCGATCCAAATAAGGGTTCATACCCCTGGAGGAAGAGGTATATACTTAAGGCAACCTTCAATCCTCCCGTACGCAGTGTGTAGGAAAGGACACAGAATTAGAGGCACACTAGCCTATCTTCCGCACAAAGTTTATATGCCAAGCAAGAGTACCAAGTACTAGTCGTTTTTGTAATCTTATTTTTCGTTTACATATACCTCGTAAATCATACCCATAAAGAAATGTACTTTTTATTATTATTCACAAATATACAATCTATTCAAGTGAGTAAAGAAATCAAGCGCATTTATTCGTGATTGAATCAGCTTATACATGTGATAGAAAGTAAGAATTGGAACAACTTGAAAGAGTACATGGCACTAAAATAATAATGACCGAGGTTCAACCGGTTGGTTTTTATCAGGGTTAAATATTAGAGCACATCTTTCATAACGATCGAATACGTATGTATTCGTCTCATTTCATTCATTCATTCAAGTTGGTTCAACTGAACTTTTTGTCTCAACAAGGAATATTTGTCGCCGTCTCAGATTAAGTAAGTATGAATAAATGATCATTAGTTGTACTTAATTTCATTTCATTCAACTTATAGCGGAATCTCAGTAGTCATCCACAAGGTTTTTAGTTAAGTTAAAACGATCTTCGTATAGCATCATAGACAAGTATACTTTTTGAACTGATCCACAATTCCGTAATCGCATTTTGTCACTATTCATCTGGCAATAATGTCGATTTTTATATTATGATAATTACACAAAACAAGACTTGTTACAGGAAGGACAGACATGTGGAATGGAATATTGTGTGTTATACACACATATGCATTTCATCTCTGAAAGTGCATGCGAACTAAAACTTGAGACCATCTCATTCCCCTATGAAATATTTCCCACAAGATACTCATATAACCTCTCAACCTCATCGAGCCTCGTAAAAAAGTAGTTTTAACTCTGTGGACAGCAATCAAATTTAATTGTTTCATCGGTTTTCGTTGCATTTCAACCCTCGTTAAATTAGTCTAAATTCTTCACTGGTCGATGTGACACGTACAAATTTGTTCTGATATTCTTATTATTTCAGAATGTCATTTGTTTCGGACTGAAACTTTTTTGGCGTGGGTGAATTTTGTCATGTTCTCATTCCTCGTCGTTACTTGATATTTCACACAGCCTATGTAAAAGGATATTGCGTGACTCTTGATTACCGAGAAATCCCCGGTTAGTAACCTACTTATATTTTTGCACATTTCATTTTAGGAGCATGAATAAGTTGGACAGAAAAATTGAATTATACCGACGGTTATGCGATTGGGTTGGACATGGGCAAACATTCTTCCGAGAATTAATATTGTTTATTGAACGCTGTCCCATTGTGTTTGTACAATAATAAATGTTGATAGTTCCTGGGAAGTTACATTCGGTTGCTAGCAAGCTTTGCTATTCTGATGTTCATCACATACATTTTCAATCCTTTCCAACTTTAGTGCATTTCAGGACGCATGCAAACTCTGACTTAAATTTCATACGCTTCCTTTTTTCGTCACAACCAGCACAAGTTGAGATTATCAAGTTTAAGAAGACTCTGAACTGACTCTATGATGAACGGTCACATTTCGAGCGAAGGCGAAGTTGTCAATGGACACAGCCACATGAACGGCAGCGTGACAAAAGGCGAAAAACAAGATGTTAGCAATGGTAAAGTGGTAGGATTTGAAAACGTGGGGGAGGAAGATTCCACCCAATATTTGAATAACTACAAGGCCCACAGGACCGGGATCACTCATGAGGAGATGGTCAGCGTTTACACCGAGTGGGCAAATCATTATGATGAGGTACTCAAAAATTTGATAATTTATTCACTTTTCATTGTCCATCCATAAAACATTTATCCATGCATTTCATCAGGATCTCTGCCCTGGGCGATACAATGGCCCCGAGATTGCAGCAAAGTTTATGGCAGACCATTTTCCGTCCGAGGTTCGAAGTACTGTCAAAATACTTGACGTTGCAGCTGGAACGGGCCGAGTCGGTCAAGAACTTTACAACGTTGGATTTCGGTAAAGGAGATATACAAATACTTATATTCCCCAAACTGCGACAACATTATTTTGATTTTTGTTTAGTCACATTGACGCATTGGAACCATCCTCCGGGATGCTGCAAGTCTTGAAAGGGAGAAACATCTACAAGGCTACTTACGAGCATGCCATTGGATTCAAGAAAGTTGACGACATTGAGACAAGTACATTAAAGTTACTAGCAATCTTTGAACTCTTTGAAAAGGTGTCAAATTTTTGTGCTTGTGTGCCTCAGACTCGTATGATGCTCTCGTCATCGCAGGGGGAATGGGTGAGGGACACATTCCAGTGAAAGCAGTCGACGAAATGATTCGCATCGTGAAGCCAGGTCAGTTCAGCAGTAGAAGCTTTTCATGCAAGTTTTAAACTGCTTAGAGTCTTAAATGGTGTGAAATAGGTGGGACGATTTTCATTGTGATGCGGGAGGAGTATTTGTCATACGTGCAAGAATATGTTGGGAAGTTGGAACCTTACATGAATAATCTCTCTGAACAGGGGTTGTGGCGTCAGGTGTGAAAATCCCATAGAATGACAATGTTCTCAGATAAAAGGATGAAGAAATGCGAATATTGATGATTATTTTTAATTTATGCAGATTGGACGAACAATCGTTCCGGAGTATTCTTTCAAAAAGACTGGAGTGGTGTTCAGCTATGAAGTTTTGTCCGATAAGTAACGGAACCTATTACATGCAAGACCTTGGTACATTTAATGTATGTCACCATACTTTATTTTGAATATTCTAAGCCTACGTCTTGATGGAAAAATAAAATTTCAATTCTGATTAAGGTTATTGAAAGTCTTTTTATTAAAATTGCTGAATAAAGACATTTATTCACTAGAAAATCTTGTCATATGCATTTTTCCATGTTTTTTTTCTGAAGTTTAAATTATGCCCAACTTCTTTCAAATATTTATCGACGCAAAATTAATTGTAAAATAGATATTCGTCGATTGCATTCCGTGAATTATAATTATTAGTTGAGTACACAAGTGGTTTACTTTTAAGTTTAATTCTCTGACCAGCAATGGAATACCTCTGAGAATCACAGATTTCTATTTTAATTTACAATCTAATCTTCCTTCATAACACACTAAACTATACAAAATAGCATTACACATTTCTAAGCGAAAATCTTACAAAATATTAGCCATCCTTCTAACTTGGTGGATTTTATAAGGTAATCGAAACTCCTTCAAAGATTCAGGAAAACTGGGTCATCTAGGCTATCTCCCGTTGAGTTGTTGATGTTAAGGATCGGCTTAACAAAATAATTTAAACAATGAAGTACATCCTCGTATGAATGTCCGGTGATGTGTGATAACTAGACGAAATACGAAATAATAATTATTATCATTAGCTCCATGACCGGGGATTGACGTTGAATACGTAAATTTTTAAGTCGCTTCAAAAATACCTGTCCTGTCCAAAAGTTTAGCTTGACCCTTTTTCTAACATACATCAGTATGGCTGCAGCAATTAGGGAACAATTGTAGCGTCCATCAGCCGGCGAAGGTGTAACTGAAAAATCCAATCCAATTTAAAACTAATTCTCGGCACTCCATAAAAATCAACGGAAACTAAAAATATATCTCAATTAACTCAAACTTACGCATCGCCAGAGACTTGGTTACTTCACGAAGGAGAGCGTTCGTCTCCCTCATCATTTCAGCCCCCGTGCCGTTGTAAGGCTTCTTATTCTCATGCTTGTATAGTAGATAAAAAATTGGGGTTCCGAAGCCATCCAAAACTGCAAATGGAAACAAATTGTTCAATTTAAATTAAAAATATGATGATCATTAATAATTAAAGTGTAGTCTGGAATTTTTAATACGTATGTCAGTCTTGGTGCATAAAAAACTTGTCTTACCGAAACAGTGATAGCAATCCATGAAATTCACTTCCGTGGGGATGATCACTTTGAATTTAAAAAATGTCAGCACCATTTTTTCCATGGCTACAACCATTTTTACTTTATTGGTCATTGTTACTGGTAGATGTCGGACAATTTTTCGTATGTCCGGAGTGCGTCTGTGAAATTACAGACACATATTTATGTATGCATAAGGAATCAATAAGAAAATAGTATCAAATAAACCAATAAAGTAACATCTCTCCGACTTACGAATCGTTCTCATGAATTTTTGCAGAAATGACCAAGCAAGTTAAGGCAACAAGGCAAAGTTGGGCCAAGTGGATTTCATGTTCATCGCAAAATCGATCGTACAAGTAAATACAGTGGATTAGTGTTTCATCTTCATATTCTTCGGAGGAACATACCTCCGAGATATAACGCATTACGTCTAGTCTCTTACTAATCTAGAATGGAAGACAAATCAAGTTTTCACTAATTATTTTCCTAGTGCAAAAATTATTTTACATAAGTTTTAGTTCGTCACACATACCTGTGGGGACCGACCACGATAAGGGGCTCGTCCCTTCTCCATCCTCTTTAGTTCTCTCACATATTCCATCATTTCACCTTGGTCTGCCAAGGACACTGGTTTCAATAAGTCGACCAGTTTGTTCTTCGAAGAACGGGAGCAAAGTGTATAGCCCGTGAAGTGGTTTGGCTTAGCGATATAACGCCCCCAGCCACCCCTCCCTGCCACAAAAATGGGCTTATCCAAAAATTGGGGCTCCAACATTTTTACTATAGTTTTTCTATCCTCAAGCATAAAGTCTTTCAAAGACTATCAAATCAAATACAAAATATGGCTCTCACAAATTTGTTAAGGGGATCGAAATGCAAAAAAAAATATTTTAAAATTTGATGGACCCTCAAATAAATTGAAGACTGAACTGGCTGATCGTGACCAAGGAGATGCTACATAATGTGGGGAATGGACGGTGATTTAATTTGTGATCAGCAGAGTGCAGAGAGCAGATAGAATTCACAGGTAGCAAGAACCTACACGAGGTTACACGAGGTTTCGCACCACATGTATCACAGAAATTAGAATAAATCAGTGCGGATACGGGTCTAGTCGATAGTAAGATGGGAGGAGATACGACTGTGTGGCTGGACTAGAATGAGAGGACGACCGCATATTTTAGTATCGCTTATCTACCCTGTCGTAGCAGATATGAAGATTTCTTGGGATTTACTTGAATTTAGTTAATCCTATAATGAACTGAATGCAGAGAAATATGTGGAATGTTACTTCATTTATGCATTAATATGCATAAATTGTTAACATTTATTCAATTCTTTTATTCAGTTTTTCGTTTGTAAATAAAAGCAGAGACTAGTTAAAATTTAGAATAACATATAAACATTATAATGTTAGCATGATTATATATATGTAGCACCACCAGTTTAAATAAGTATAGCTTCTTTGTAATACGTAGAATTGTTGTGGAACTGTATGTTTCAAAGCGTGGCAAGTAGATAGTCCAAACCATGTACATATGTAGAAACGCGACATGGATTGAGTGAGTTTCCTCATTCATTGTAAATATTTCATAGCTTTTGAACCTATTGGAATCACTTTATTGATGAGGGAACCTACATACATTTAATTGTTATAAGATACGGATCCTGCCTGGTGGGAGTTGTAGTTAGTCACCATTTAATTGCTAAATAGAGTGACTTGCAAAATCGGTTTGGCGAGGTTCAATTAAGTAATGATATTATCTATTAAATTAAAAGATATTGTTAACACATCAGCTTAGTTTTACAGGATGAATAGGAGATTCAGATTACGAAAAGCTCAAGAAATGCCACATGATATAATCGATGAAGTATAATATAATAATATGGAAATGTTAATGTTTAAATACAAGGAATAAGCAATGGACGAATTTTAACATCAAATAATATACCTGCATGTGATTTTTTAAATAATACTGTGAAACATATAAATATACATGTATATTTAAATTAAAACATTCATGAACCACAACACAAAAGTTCAAAAATCCAAACAGTTGCTTAAAAACCTCATACAATGGAGTAGGATTTCGTACATTTGTGCTAACTGATTTATGTACCAGCGACTTAATGAATAACAATAGTAATTGAACTTGCACCTTAAATCTGTTCGTGAACCGCAATAATATGATGACTGGAAACAACTGGATGACTAAAATTTAAAATGGATCCTATTAATAACTTGATAATTACTTTAAAAGATGCGAAGGACAATTGAAAGTAGTGTTTCATTGTTCTCGAAGGGACAGTTCTAAAACTTTCCTTAAAGCTTCATCTTCTTCGAGTCGGAGACGATTTTCTTCGTCTGTTTCCCGTCGTGACAAATCGAGAACTGCTTGCAACTCTTCCAGACTATTCGTTCTTTGCATACCGGTTGCCACATGTCCTGAAGCTGGGGACCCAGGAGTAACTGACACTACTGGCACCGGACGACTTTCAGTGGACGGTCTCCAAGAAGGATTTTCTTGTAATCGGGCCATCATTAAGCTTTCTTCAATTGCTCTGCACACACAGATTATTTTCAGTATTAAGTTCAATGCCGACAACTGCAAATACAAAAGTTAGTAATTACACTAACCGCTGAAGCAGTTGTTCTTCTGCGTCAGAATCTGGAGTAGTATGAGTCGAATCCTTGGTGAGTGATCTGGGAGCATTTAGTGCCTCGTAGATATCAACCATCTTACCCTGATCTCTACTCTGTTCATCATTCTCCTCATCTGGCATGGTCCAACTAAAAAGGTCGTCATCCGAAGGGTTGATTGGAGCCAAATGAGTAACCATTTTGATATGATAATGCGGAGGGGGTTCAAATAAGTCGCCATCAAGCACACATGACAACCTTCCAGTTTCTTCTTCCTTAATGTAGGATACTCCAGCCACCCGAGACTCTGTAGAAAACACGTTGTGGAAAGTGACACGTCCGTTGACCACGTGAAACAATGGTATTTCTGTACAAAAAAACAAAAATAATATTCATTGTATATTTTAAAACTCTCATTTCAAGTTAAGTTAAGTCATCTTCATCATACCTATTTTGACGGGGAAGCCAGCAGGAATTTGCATCTGAATGAATTGTTTAAGCTTACTAAACATGGTGTTCGAGAGCGCCATAATATCAATAATGGGCATAATTTGTTCCTGTAAGTTCACAGGGTAATCTTCAGACAGCCAAACTTGTGCCTGTAAAAAAACAAGATCAGGATAATTTTCATATATTATTATTCGCACACGACATTTCGATGGGTGTTGCGGAGCAAATAGTTAGTAATGTTATAATTATAAATGATAATCCAAACCTTGAATTTATTTATCTTCTTTCTAACTTCTTTAGAGCGACCAATGTCACGGCCATCAAGATCACACTTTGAGTCAAAATACTGCTCCATTGTTATTTCGTCATGATTTAAAGACGTTGCTCCCTGTAAAGTTGCAATATTTTAGAATGAACTATTTTATTTGTATTTTTAGTGTCCAAATATATTAAATTAACTAACATGCGCCGCAGCAGCTGCTCCCTGAGTTAATTCTGTAGTTTCAGTGGATCCAAAGGTGTGTAACATTTTGTGAAGTTGGGACTTGGAATAACCCTTGTTCGTTGCGGAATCTTTTTCAGATTCGCTCAAATGTTCCGTTCGCAACTTAGTAACAAATTCAACATTTGATGCGCTGAAAACTTTGCACTCATAGTTGTTGACCACCTCTGTTTTATCACTCCCCCAACCCCAGACAGTCTTGTTTCTGTAATGTATATAAACAACAAGTATTTCACTCATTGTTGATGAGCAATTATATGATCAAGTGCATATCTACGTACCTTTCGAACTCAATCTTCTCTAAATCAACATAAGCAATCATTGCTGGACGCGAGAGTCTATGCGAAATAGTTCTTTCGTACAAAAGGCTGTCAGGAACAACAACATTGTTTTGATTTTTTCCTGATAAAATAATGTTACTAAATCCTTGTTGCGTAGCATGATAAATTTCAAGCATCCTAACAGTGTCACCTGTAATGATTTAATTTCAGAAATATTAGTACATATTGTATTAAGAAATACGTAGTTCAACCTAATTTTTATGTGCGCATATCATTGCGTACCAAATACTTGAAAAATCACGGTCACAGAATTTGACCAGTCTGGGGTTTCGCCTTCCAAAACACACGTGTCGACTCTGACTTTTGAACCCATTTTGTACACTCTATGGACCTGTGTGAGCAAAGGGAAGAATTTAGTGCACTCATTGACAATAGATTTTAGAGTCACTTTACCTGTTGTGGAACAACACTCCCAATAAAGGGCACTAGAATTAATATTAACAATAAATGTAATAAATCACCATAAAACATAATTCTTAATGCCTATTGAAACTTACTCCAACTGGAAAGCTCAAACTTGATTTCGACATAAAAGTCGGGAGCCTAATATTGAGTTAAAAAAACATATATAATTTAGTTGTTGGCAAATACTGCGACGAAGAAAGGCGGCATAAAACATAGTTCCCTGAATTACTTACATCCGCTAGTCGTCTCAAGAGATCAGGAACCATACTGCTTCGTTTACTCTGTTTCTGAGCATCTTTGTGTTCAAGTACCAATCTTATAAGATCTGGATCTGCTCGACACGTAGCCTCATGCAGTACTGGAAATGACCAATGCATAGAATTGAACTTTGGCTTGCATTTGCGTTTTTAAAATCTATAACAGCATGCCCATTTTACTCACCGTTCCATCCTGAACTGTGCTCAAATTGGGCAGAAGCATTATTTTTCAAAAGTACTTGCGTTGCCTCCTTGTGGCCAAGAGCGACTGCAAGTAAGAGTGGTGTTCTCCCCCTTGGATCCAATTTTTCAATTTCTTCAGCTACCTAAAAAGCCGACAAATTAAACTTTAACTTTAACCCGATTCCGTCCCAAATTTTTAATAAGTTCACTTTATTACCTGAAAGTCCTTTGCAACCAGCATTCTCTCTAACTCGAAGGCTTTATTTTCCCAAACTAACTTGTGCAACGGGAAATTTTGCTGAATCGTATCTTTCGAGATCTCCATAATTATGCAATAGGGGGATGGGTGGAATATTTCAACTATAAATCAAATCAAGTCATAGTCATAACTGGTCAAATCAAAAGTGACTCAAAATACATTCTACAAATTTACTTTGTGAACAATATTATAAACACAATTCAAACAACTTACCAAAAACTCAATTAAAATGACGCAAAATCCTCCAATTACGTGCGTTTCTCAACAATTAATTTGTTATAACTCTCTCACCATAGTCTTAATAACCTATTAATAAGCACCAAGCAGGGAAATTAAAGTTCTGCTGTCAACAGTACTCATCAGCTGCTGCTTTGCGTTGGTGGCTATTATGTTGTGCCTGTGCACTGTGTACTTACTGTGATGTGAACAAAGTTTATTGCTTTTGATAAACAGGCTGACATGTGCAATGATAACCAACTAGATAACCTTCCAAGAAACCTTCCCATAAACTATCTCCTCTCTCTACGAATGTAAAATATGTATCACTGACTACACCAAGTTAATAATATCGTGACTATCGTTCATATATTCAAAACTGCATACAAACACCACCACCGGAATGAATCACTTTATCTAAAAAAACGTGACTCCTCTTTTTCTCTCTCAATCAAAAGCTGTCCTAATTTTAGATGCACAAAATTTTGTGACTCTTGGAACGTTGATCAGACTTTTTGTTTGCTCTACAAACCAGATTTATTATTACCCACTTTAACAGTGTGTAGTTAGTTAGTTGCTATATTATTTATCTAGTACATAAACGTATATTGAGAGTGCAGAGCTTCAGGGAGTGAGGGTCGTCGCTCAGAATGAATGAATCAGCCCACTAATTTATCTCGCCCAGTTTACAACAGCTATTATCTCCCAGTACACTGAAGGTGAGGATAATCCTGTCATCCACCCACCCGCACCGACCACCAACCGAAATCGGGATGACGATGGAATAGTATTAAAAGTGAAAAGGCGGAGGAGAAAGTTGACCGAAAACTGATGGTTGGCGAGGGGAGAGAGCAGGCAGATTTCGTGATTGAGAGTTGGCGGTGTGGTGGGAGAAAGTCGTGGGCAACACTACCCGAAAAATGAGCTGAGCATCAGGTTTTCATACTTTCTCCGACCCCCAGCAGTAGTCAAGACCCTGTTGCTTGCTCTCCTCTCTCCGTCTTTTGGTTGAGATTTGAGATTCCTGGAGGTACGTAGGTGGTGAAAGGAGAGAGATAATCAAGGTTCAAGAGGGACAATGAAATGAGGACATCAAAATAGGTATTCTAACGAAAGATATCCTTGCGACATGTAATGTATCGGGAATCTCGTTAAGGAAAGCATTCTGTGCACAAATTGTGTATCTATTCAAAAATCGTAACAAATTTTGGAAAGGATACATATACTTACGGACGTATTCATTCAGTCGAGTGAGTGATGTTGGTTTAATTGGGTTTTCCTCCTTTCCGCTTTCTCTAGTTTAGACGAACCAAATAGAAAGTTTCACGTATCTGCGTGTGCATCATGTGGGATATGTAAAGGAGGAAAGCAAGAGCAATTAAGGGGATCCTCCTTTTTGAGACAATTAGATGGGATGGGAAAGTGATCAACGGAGAGGCAGTAATAATAATAACATATTTACTCGGCTCGTGGTTTTCGTTGTCCTTGTTGCGATGGGGCTGCTGTCAACGAGTGGAGAAGATGAGAGTGCGTGGGTTTGCTAGAGAAGGTCGGTCGAAATTTGTCCTTTTTCCTACTTGGACAACAACCATTCGCTCGTCGCTATGCATATCGCCACGGTCTCATCTTTCTCATCATGCTTTCCCTGCATGCCGACGAATGTGCACACAATGTTTAAAGCTACATACATGAATAATCTTCCTGGTTTAGCTGGCATTGACGGTATCATGGCGACGCATCTCACCCACTCTGTTGCTCAGCCTACGACGACGGGAGGAAGTAGGCCAGTCAAGTCAATCTGCTCTGAGGAGAAGGGTGGAATTACTTATAATGCTCTCCCTGATTATCCTGCATAATGAATAAATAGATAATGTGAAGGAAATGAGTGGTGAAAGTTCCAACGAGGCATAACTTGATATGATTCATGTGTACCTGGGGTTTACACTTTGTTCACTGATGAGGCTTCGCTTATTATTGACATATGTATGTATGGGCTGAATAGTTTGCATGTGCATCTCCAAATGGATATTCTACATACGAAGGCAACTACTATTAGGTGTCATCTTCCCCAATTTCCTCCTTTCTCCATATATAATCTGAATCTATGTATGGCTTCTTCACCTTAGGATTTAGAATTTAGCTTGTCTGAAGATGGCCGTGACATACATATATTTTGTGGTTCTGCAAGACATGCGTGTACAAATTCAAGTCCCGGAGAAAGCACAAGTAAATGTCATGATTGAAGTTGCCAGATACCAATTTTTCTGCCAATCCCACACGCACGTAGACAATCTTGTGTGGTTATTATTAAGTTTGGGAAATGTTTGATGCTGTGATTGAACGAAACCGGCAGTGCTGTTCTCATTTTCTACTTTACCTCAAATGTGACAATACTATAAAGGAGTTGAACTTTTACCCTTTCTTTTGAATATTTTGGTACAAACCTCACCATTACCGTTACTTTTTTTGCTACTTTTTGACTCTTAAAGAGGCTGCTGCTTGACTTCACATGGTTCTATACATAAGTAGTCAAGTATTGATGGTGTATTCTTATACGCCATGTTGCTAATAATACGTAGCCAGTAGTGCATGCATGTGAAAGGTGAAAGTGAGCCGAGGACGGCACGACTCTCTCGCTACACATAATTTCATTCCTTTCTCTGAGGAGTGTTCTCCCATCAGAGCTCGTTACCTACAACAAAGCATCCTAAATATTCATGCATTTACAAAATGATTCAAATAAACTTGTTGCGTTTGAAGAAATCCGAGAATGCCATGAATAGTTTGCTTGATTTCACTCGTTTACAGATGTACGTACGTACGTGCTTACGTTAGTTCTACTTTCGCCAAATTTAGAATAAAATATCTTGACAGGAATAAAATGGAGAAAAATTCATGGTGTTACTCATGCATAGTAAGTAGTCGAGCAGGAACTGTCAAATGTTTCTGTCACGATTATAATTAACATTTTTTATTATTTCTTCGTTATAATCTGCTCCTTTTTCACAATCGTGTTATCAATATTACAAAATTGAACATGTCAAGCTCAGTTCAGCCCGAGTTGGAAAAAATGAGATGGAGAGAAACGTACATACTAATTAATTACCTAGGTAGAATATAGTTCATAATGTGAATGTATTTTGCTGGGAACAGTAATGTAATAAGACATTTCATTCACAATGCTTGAGTTATTGAACACGAGAATAAATTGAATAAGATAAAATAGAATACTCCCTTCTCTTCACTAGTACAGGTTTTGGCATCAAAAATTGCAACGACAAATGACGGATTGATACGAGTGTCCGTTGCAAAAGAGGAAATACTCTGAGTTAGATATTCTTACTTTGGTAATAAATTGCACTACTGACTATAATCTTATTATCATTTATCACTGTTTTCTCTTTTTCCCTTCTTTCTCTGACATATCGGAAAGTTACGTTAGAGGAAAATCTATATTAAATATGTCAAAAAGTTTGCAAAAATGCAAAAATGCAAAATATATTGTAAGATAAATGACCCTTCGTCACGGATTTATATATGTAAGTAGTTATGGCTGATCTAGGTTACTTTCTTCAGTATCAGTGTCCTCATCCAGGTCCAGATCCAGCTCTTCATTTTTAAAGTTTGGCAATTTTATCGGGGCTGCTGAAGTTTGTTCTTCCAACAATAATCGATGTGCAGCACGGTCCATTTCTTCTCGCGTCATTTCAAGCGCTTCCTGCATCTCGGTAGACGTATAGCGAACAAATTCTGGATCGTTGCTGTATTTTAGGAGACCTTGTTGCTTCAAAATCTAAGGAATAATTTTAAAATTTATGTATATTTAATTATAATTATTTTTGCTGATAATAAAATTGTATACTTTTACCCTGACTACTAAGCTATCCGCAGAGCCGACAACTTCAGGTAGTGACAACGCCTTAGGATCTCCAGGAGTAAGATTCTCTCTCAACCCACCGTTATAGAGTATTGGAGTGACTGTACGTAATCCAAAACCAGTAAATTAATTAATTTATGGACCTTCATCACAATCTAAAGATACATTCAAGATGGCTCATTCAAAGCAGTTAACGCATACATTTAAGACAGAAAAGAGAGATCTATAGATGAGCTTTTATCTTTCTATGGAAAGGTAACATAAATTTCTAGGTGTAATCTAGGTGATGACTATTGACACCAATTGCAATGGTATCGCTGTTGCTGCTGGCCAAATACTTAAAGACGCCACCATCAACTGTATGCAGATCTACATAGTGCCTAATAGGATGGTTAAAATAAGCAGTGCCAAATTTGGCAAGAATGACCAAATAAAAGTTATAAAAGGCAGATAAAAGGTTAAAGTTTCCAAACATTTAATGTTAATTCGGTGAGTCCAAAACGCCTACAAAAAGCTGTGAAGAGCAGAATGGCTGGCATTATGTATGTATCAAGAAGAAAAGTATTTGATAAAAAACGTTGGATTTACTGTATGTAGCTGAACATTGATAGAGAGAGAGATTCATAGCGACGCAAAGAGAGAGAGAGGAGAGACAGAAAGACAGAAGAGAGTGGTGGGTGCTGGGAGGAATGTTAGTACTTTTCAATCAAACCTCTCTTGGGAGCAAGTTCGTCAGCACTTATGGACTGCGGAATATTCAGTCTGGGGATGGGAAAGTGGTGATGAACTTGTGGTCGAATACCAGAAGTGGTCATGCTCAGATTAAAGACGTTAGTAAAGCCGGCCAACGCTAACGCTTGAACATTTGTTGATTGTAGTCCCTCTGCCACCGTGAGTGAGGGTGATTGAAGGAAGGGACGCCAAAGGTGGCAATCCAGGCCTAAATGTGAGCTATAGAAGTCAAAAAGTGGTTAGATCACGCGTCAAACATGTCAAATTCACGGAATTACCAAACTACGTTACAAACATAATCGATGTGATATGTAAAATATTTGTAATAAAAATGATGATGCAAACAGAAATAAAAACAAAAAGTACGACATTAAGAGTAGAACAAAAGATGATAGAAGAAAGTTATTAACAGGGTTCGGAAAAACCCAGGGTTTTATTCAAAAAGTAACGACCCAGGGGTTTTAATGGGTTTTTTGAGTTTTATGGGTTTTATTGGGTTTTATTAGGTTTTACATAAGTAAATTGACCAACAATTTTCACAACTATTGCAATCCAATTTCAGTTAATATGCAAATCCCCCTTGTCCATGTTAGAATTTGTATCCGTTTCGAAAGGGTCCTATTTAACTGATCATAGTTTAATACTTTATGAGACCATAATTACATATATTACCTTTTTCTCGAATACTTCCTCTCATCATAATGAAATCCAAGTTGTTTAAAGGTTTTTAAAATTTAATGTTTCAATGCGATCTTAACGTGTATTATCAATTCTGGAAAAAATCGAGTACTTATGAACAACGAAAGCACAAAGCACGTATGTATTACGATCGAGAATATAATAAGTGCTTTTTACAGATATACTCTTTTGCTCATAATAAAGTACTTTCAAGAGGTGATATTATATCACCGTGATAATTAAGATCGGGTTGAAACATTTTAAAAAACTAAATTAAATAAGCCCTGACTCGGGCTAAAAATACTATAGTATTTTGTTTAATTTATTCGCTGAGATGAGAGGAAGTATTCGGGAAAAAAAAGTATTAATTATGATCGCAAAATGTATTAAATTATGTATGATCAGTTAAACATACCTCGTTCCCAAATTATTTTTGTGTATTTTTTGTCACTTGAAACCTGTAATGGTAAGGGATGTCCCTGATTTATTCCTGGTTTTCAAAACTTACAGTATTAATCAAATAAACTACTTAGCTGCCATCAAACAACTTCGACTAATGTATGACAGCTGTTTTCAGCTTTTAGAATATAGTTTTAAGCTAAAACACAGTTAAAACCCATTAAAACCCTAATAAAACCCATTAAAACCCAAATAAAACCCATTTAACATGGTAAAACCCGTTGGGGTTTATTCATTAACAACCCATTAAAACCCATTAAAACCCAAAAAACCCAACCCAATAAAACCCTGGGTCGGAATACCCTGGTTATTAATTGTACGAAGACACATTTATCATCCGCCGTTTACACCATCAACGTCTTACCCCGTTTTCCTAAAACTGGTTGGGAAACAAGGGTTTCATCTTTCCTAAATTTTATTAACGAATAACCAAATTACTAAAATAAAAAAATAAAAATTGTGTAACAATATTTTATAACACTAATGGAATAATACGTGTCGAATAGTGTTATGAATTATTATTTAGTCTCAAAATTTATGGGGAAGGGAATAGCAAACAACTGGTCAATTGTAGGGGAACAACTATGCTTGTACCATGTATTTAAATAATTAGCTATAACTTACTCGCTATACCCGTGGGCAAGGTACGTTGCAGGTCCTGCAGAAATTGAGGAGACCCTCAGTGGTCTCATTGGAATGCCGACGTCATCACCATTTATGCTTGACGATCTGATTTTAAATGACAGAAAACAAATTAAACTATTACAAAAACATGGTTGTTAAAGGCGAATAATTTTACGCACATCATCTCGTTCATAAATGACGGTGCAAGGTTTTTTTGTGACGAGGAAATGTGATTTGTTGATGCCCCACCGAGTTCTGGGGTCACTAATGGGATCTAAATAACAAGGAGCAAGTTTGTAGATACGTTTAGGCCCATGATATTTACAATTTTGTTATGATAGAAAAGTGCAGTGGTCAGAGGTGCAAAACTTACTTTAGTGTGCTTCATTGCATTGTCTTGACCTACATTCTTTCTACGAAGCGATGACCACATTGAGCCAAATAATGAGTGATTTCTCTGCAAAAGTATAATGTGCGTTATAATAATAATCAGTGTGTGAAAAATTGTAACTGAAGAAAATGTGTGTGAAAGTGTGTGAAGTCATTCATAATGCATAATCAATGTTTTTGAAAATATTCACATTGGCAATTTTTAAATATTAAGTAAATACTTATTATATGCTCAAATTAAAAGGAATTGGGAAGCCTAATTAAGTAAATTGTAATATTTTCTAACTCTGTGCATTGGTTCAGGGTCATCGTTAATAAGCTCTTCTAAATTCCCGGAAATAGCACGCTGAAGTTCAGGACCCGCTTCATGAAGGGTCCTTAGGCCAGCCTAGTAAAATTCAAAATAAATTTACATCTATGCCTTTAGAAGTTGAAGATAACATTGAAGCGAATGCAATAACGTACAGTTAATGTCACGGTATTTTGAGACTCTTTATCTCCATCTTCTTTTTGAAGCTCTGCTTTCCTTTTTCGAAACCGTCTAAAATAATCCTGAATGAGAAATGTCGCGTAAAATTTTCCAACGGTGATTTCGTCATCCACTGCCAGACACAAAATATTTTCGTTTAATTTCTTTCAAAATTTTAGAATTAAGAGTTGAAATAGAGTTGCTGTACCTCCAGGCGGAGGAACAACCTGGTCCAACAATTTTGGGCTTGTTCTTTTCCAAATTTTCTTAATAACATTCCTCAATTCTGCGTTTGCTTCATCAATATTCCCATCCGTCTTAATTTTTAGGGATGTTCTCACTACGGCAAATAGCGTGGCGTTAAACATGACAGTTCCATCGCTGTTTAAAGGCATATTCATCGATACGAGTCTCTGTAATGATAGATGATGATCACATTCATAAATGCATGTAATCACTAAATACTCTTTGGACGGGAGCACTTCATATTTGCACTAATAGATTTTGAGGTCCTCTTTTCATTATGTAGCATTTTATGAAAATAGTAACACCATGCTCCATGAGCCTTATTTCTTATTAATCACAACTCTAATTTGCTCAGATTTTAAAAATTTTTGGAGTTTCTTATTCTTAGAGAATAGTTTCTTGATATCATATATCAAACTCGTCTTTTTTATATTTTTCAAAAATTTCTGTCATGAAAAAAATCAAAATTTGAAAATTGAGATTGCATAGTATTGGATTATCCAATACCATCTCATATCCAAATTGGATATGATGAAGCAACTATTTATCACTATCTTGGATTTCTGAAACAAATTGGACTTTTTAGACAGTTTTTCGTGTTATTCACGCCTTTGAGGGGTTGTCACGGCCTTAATATACATCCCTCATGAAGCTTAACCACTGACCATTTTCATAAGAATCTACACAATTCTGAAGGACATTCAAATCTAACAAGACCTTAAGCACTGTTACATCTTGATTTCCTTTCGGATGGTCTTAATTAATAGATAATTTAGTGTAACTAAAACTTTGCATTATGACATACGGTGCAAAATCACGTTTTGCAAAATATTAGGCGAAATCTGCACCACAATGTGCAATTTTTCAGATGTTTCTAACATGGATAACAGCCTTCGGAATAATGAAATCAAGTTTATAAATTATACATCTGTCCGCAATTTCATGCTGATCACCAATAGGCAAAAAACACATGCAAACATTAGCCAATTTTATTTCAAATTGCGAAAATCTGCAAAATTTTCTACATTTGAATTTCGTATTGTATTTGAATTTTAACAAAGTTTAAATGTTAAACTTCTTTTATTTAAGCAGTGTAAAAAAGTTTTCAAAAAATAATATTTTTCTTATTACAACAAAATGGGCGAAAATTTTCAAAAATTGAAACTCACAATTTTTCACGAAAAAAGATATAATGACCAATGCTAGTCTATTTTATGTATTTTTCATAATTCTTGGCTACATTTTATTTTTCCAAGTTCCAAACAATTTTGGACAGTTGTATCGTCAGCTTGTACATATTCAACAAAATAAGTTTTCCCTACCTCGTTCGAGATTTTATGCTTTTTAGAAAACTGGAAAAAATTTCATCTGGGAGGGACCCTGTGGGTCCCTCCAGTATAGCATGAAAATAGGACGGCATAAATATAGGTATGCCGTCCTATTTATATGGAATCCATCCGAAAGGAAATCAAGATGTGACAGTACTTAAGGTTCCCTTAAGGTTGTATGTAGTATTCCCGTCCTTAGTAAATCAGGCAATAAATAAGTATCATCTTTGCCTACTTTGCAAGCCACTCTGTGGGGACACAACTTGCCAAATCCAAGTGGAGGTGATATCTTACGAAGAAGTGTTACAACATCTACATGCTTTATACGTCCTTTGGCGTCGGGGTCATATTCTGACCACAGTCTAACAAACTCATCCAAATGATGTGGTCCCAAAATGGACCAATCTCTTGTCAAGTAGTCGAAATTGTCCATGATAACGGCAACAAACAGGTTAATTATCTGCAAGATGCAAATCCTTATACATCATCATAATCAGGGAATGGTTTTGATTAACTACGTACCAGAAATGAACACAAGAAGTAGAATGAAATAAAGTAAGGAACTGCAAAATCCGTCCCACATGTCTCCGTCGATGTGATGTTCGTCAATGGGTCAACTTCAGCATTATGGCAAAGGACGGACGGTCTGGCCGAGCACGCAAGCATAATTTCTTGCCATGACTCTCCTAATCAAGAACAATTGATCGTTTTTTAATTAGTTAAAATTTACTGATGAATAATTTTTTTAAGATTCCTAACCTGTTGCAGCCCGAAATAAAACAAGGACAGCTTGAGGGAATGTTTGAAAATTATTGTTTCTTGTAATTTCTGTGTCGTCATTAAGCCGAATTTTCCCAAAGACCTGGAACATGACAATAACCAGATTATAAAATGTTTAGTGAATACATAGTCATTGGATAGATATGCAAATATGTTAATAGGTTCGTGCCTGCATCCCAATAACGGCAAAGATGAAGAAAAGCATCACAATGAGAAGGGCGACGTATGGGAGTGCTTGGAAGGATTTGATGAAAGTCCAGAGTAGTGTCCGAATTCCTTCCCCTTTGCTCAAAAGCTTCACCAATCTCATGACTCGGAACAATCGGAAGAAATTGATGGAAATTATGTTCTTTCCGGATGGCTATAAAACAAACAAATCGTTTTACAACTTCCGGTTGCGCAACGATATCTGTTGATACGTACGATTATGATTAATTCTCTACTGGTATTAATTTCAATTTCGTCAGGACTACATAATAGTGTGATAATATTGCAAGTTATTGTGAGGACATTGTGTGTTAGACGTGTTGATACACTGCTTACATAATTTACTTTACATACATATGCTGACATCGATTTCTGTTATTTACAAATAAATGCAGACTTGCTCAATTTTACCAAAACTACAAAGAGTGCAAAATACTGGTTCTAACATTGATTAGAATACATCACCATTATTATCGTCCATTGTTCTAAATATCATCTTTAGTTGAAGCAACATGGAAAGCTGTGATGCATTTCGTATTTATTGACACAAAATTTTCCTCTGGACAATTCTACAATGAAATACATGGATATATTTAATGAAATTAATGGTTTTTCATGTTGTAGAAACTTGATGAAAACTTTGTGCATGCTGTAGTTCTTATGTATGTACAAGTACTTAGTTGTTTAACAACAACAAACTAACAAGCGTGCTTTGCGCGAGGCTTTCTGCAATATTTACGTATGAATTCCAGTAACAGTACCTTTCCTGGACGAAGCCACTGAGCTTGTTTGCTCACGCGATACTAAACAATTGTGGCATTACATTAAAACGTGTCTTTCATCGTCCGTTCTCAGAGACATGATTTTTTTTACAGTGTGAAAAAGTGTGAAAAATAATATATTTCTAATAATATTGAATGATTCGTAATTAAATAAGTAATAATAATTAAACTTAAAAACTCACATTAACTTCCGAGTAAACAATGTCAATAAAACTGCCGAGAACAATGATAAAATCAAAAACGTTCCAGGCGTCACCAAAATAATTCTGAAAAGAAAAACAACGGAAGAAATTAGAAGAATGCAACAATCAAGCGTCTTGATCTTGCCATGAATTACTTTGAATCTGAAGGCAGCCAACTTGAGCACGAATTCTAGTGCGAATACTGCCGTGAAGATCATGTTAAGAACATCGAGGGCGTGTGTGTATCCCTGCGGTTGTCCATGAAACTTCATAGCGAGGGTGATAGTATTGATAAGGATAAGGATAAAGATAACGTATTCAAAGGGTTGCGAAGTCACGAGCCACCACACTTTGTACTGCAAACGGTTCTTAGGAATGTAGCGACGGACAGGTTTCGCCTTTAGAGCAAATTCTATACAGTTTCTCTGCAAACACAAAAACAAGAACACAAAGTCAAAAGAAATGTTGCATGAAAGATTTACAAGTGGGTGGGCATGTTGGTCGATTTGATATTTTTTGGTTGAGAGAAAGTTAACCTGGTTTTTGTCAAGTTCGCAATTTTTGTACTCCTGTTCCCCCTCATTCTGAAAGGTGACGATAACGAAACCCACGAAAATGTTGATCATGAAGAAAGCAATTATGATAATATAGACGATGTAGTAGACAGCCACAAGTGGACGGTAGTTGTGAATTGGTCCGTGATCTTCTGTATGAGAATCGATCGAGTTGTACAGCATTCTGAAAATTAGCAACGCCACTTATTAAATTTACAACTCTATAACTGACTCGCTTGATGAACAGGTTTTCCCATGCACCAAGCTAATGTTGACAGTTATATGCTTCCCGTTATGTAACGGAATCCCTCTCCAGTTACATGTCGTGTGATAAATATACAAGAAAACTTTGTTCGGGCAATGATCCAAAAACCAAAATCCAAACCGACTTTCACCAGCAAGAGAAAGGTACAAGGTCCAGAGAAAGCCGAGCGAAATGGTGCCGACAACCGGGCCAAGGAATACATTTATTAGGCTACCACACATACTAAGTATACGTACACACTCTAAAAATTGAAGCACCCATCGCCGACTAGTACGTCGAGTGAGTAACAACTGGAACATAAAAAGCATGCCATTGTTTCAGACCAAAATATGTGTCACACCATTTGCAACTCGAGATCTTGGTCCTCCAGCTTCGGCCTTAGACCCTCCTCTGCAGCACTGCACCCCACTTTCAAGCATACATACATACATCCACTGGAAGTATGTAGTATGTACTTATGTAGACTAACAGAAACAAGTCGGGCAAAGGGAAAGTCGCTCTCTTGATTTTTTTTTCCTGCCTCTTTTGCTGCTATTGCTGCTAGCCAGCCACGTATACAATGCATTTTGGCGATTTTATCCCTTTATGGCCCGCTGAATTGTTGGAAAGTTGTCAAGCACTAAGTGGGATGCGATGCGGAGCAAGAAAAATCCTGACTTATCTTTATCCCACTGACACAAGACATAATCGAAGGGGCGAGAAAATCGGAGCGAGATCAGCAGCAGAATGGCACATAACACAATAGACAGATACACAATTCAACAATTTCTTTTGGCAAAAACAACCACAAAAAGTTCTATATGCTTCAAAAAAAGGAAGTGAATGTCAGTCCCAGTGGAATAAGCACAACACAACAATCAAATTCAGTTTCATCCACATCTCATCTTCTTCCTTAACATTTTTATTAAACAACTGCTGCCTCTGAGCAGAAATGCCAGACTTGGGGATACTGTTAATCAAACTGTAAATCTTCCAAGGGGAACACTGCATGCAGTTCATTTGAATAAGTGGACCAACAAAAAATGGGAGTAAGTAAGAAGGGTGAAACAAAGTGAAAAGTATAATCCCCTCCCACCACGTACCTCACCCGCAATGATAAATTGTGAAATTTCCTCTAATATTCAAATGACAACTCTATTTTCTTGTTGAAAAGTGCTATAACGAAGAGAAAATAAATGACTCCTAGAGATTCGTTGGTGGATAAAGATTCAAGGCATTTTCGATGGAGAAAGCAATGAAAAGTTATTTGTAGCTTCCGTCCCAAATCGGCAATGCAAACTTACTGCTCCGCTGATGCTACACACTGCTAGTCAAGTTTGGTAGGGAGGAATTTACAGAGGAGAAAGCAAGTGAAAGAAGATGAAAAAAGCAGGAGTAGGAGCAGCAAAGAAGATGAACATCAACCTGACATTCCGACACAGAAGAAGACCCAAATAAACTCCCATCGTCGTCGTCGTCTCATCCATTCAGTTCCAGAGATTCAGTCGAGTCAGTCCTTGAAGTCTAAAGATCCTCAGATTCAGATTCACTTATTTTGAATCAATCTCGATCTGCCCTCAAAATGAACCTTTTTCTTTTCCATTTCTCGCTTTAATGCTGTGTGATGGTAGGAATATGTTGATCAGTAAGTAGCACATACGTACGTAAATGCATGGTTTGTAGGAGTGGTAGCTGGGTTTGTAGGAGAAATTAAACTGCTACTGGATGCGCAAATGCCTCTTCTGTATGAGCTTTACTTTCCTTCCACATTATGCAATGAATGGGAAATCCGGGACATTTATGTTCTGCGCTATTGTTGCGATGCCTTATTAAGGAGTAGAAGGTCGCAGGCTACCAGCGCCAGATTTCGATTTAGATATGTTATGGCCATGGGGCTCTATGACCGTAGAAAAAGTGCAGAAGGATTCTAAGTGGTCATAAAAAATTAGCAATAAGTTGGTTATATCAAAAATAAACCGTTAGAAAGCATGCAACCAATAGGTGAAAGCAGTCGGGTTATATTTCAGTTCATATTGACATATATATCAAATTTAACAGTTGATGACCTTCTTGTGACCTTTGAGGTCAAAATGGAGGTCACCATTGGATTCGGGGTTAAATTTCAGCTCAAATTGACATATGTATCGAATTTAACAGTTGATGACCGTTTTGACCGTTTTTGACCTTGAAGGGTGTGACCTACAGTATCCATCTTCGAACTCGGCCTGCCCATTGACGTTAGGAGCTTATGTTCAAAATTTCAAGTTTCTATGTCGTTTCGTTCAAGCGTTATCCGATATAACGATCTCAAAAAGGACTTTCACCTCTTAGGAGTAGAAAGTCGGAGGTTACCAGCACCAAATTTCGATGTCCTTTGGATATGTTGTGGGGCTCTATGACCGAAGAAAAAGTGCAGAAGGATTTGACTCTATGGAGCCAATTGTCTCCGCCACACCCACTCAAAGGAGTGAAAGCTGCGAAAATTGCCGCACTAAAATCATCTCCAGAAATCGGGTTTTGCTCAGATTTTGAAAGTATTTACATTTTCTGAGATCATTTTGTGATCTCAGATAGTAGCGCTACTATCTGAGATCACAAAATGATCTCAGAAAATGTAAATACTTTCAAAATCTGAGCAAAACCCGATTTCTGGAGATGATTTTAGTGCGGCAATTTTCGCAGCTTTCACTCCTTTGAGTGGGTGTGGCGGAGACAATTGGCTCCATAGAGTCAAATCCTTCTGCACTTTTTCTTCGGTCATAGAGCCCCACAACATATCCAAAGGACATCGAAATTTGGTGCTGGTAACCTCCGACTTTCTACTCCTAAGAGGTGAAAGTCCTTTTTGAGATCGTTATATCGGATAACGCTTGAACGAAACGACATAGAAACTTGAAATTTTGAACATAAGCTCCTAACGTCAATGGGCAGGCCGAGTTCGAAGATGGATACTGTAGGTCACACCCTTCAAGGTCAAAAACGGTCAAAACGGTCATCAACTGTTAAATTCGATACATATGTCAATTTGAGCTGAAATTTAACCCCGAATCCAATGGTGACCTCCATTTTGACCTCAAAGGTCACAAGAAGGTCATCAACTGTTAAATTTGATATATATGTCAATATGAACTGAAATATAACCCGACTGCTTTCACCTATTGGTTGCATGCTTTCTAACGGTTTATTTTTGATATAACCAACTTATTGCTAATTTTTTATGACCAATTTTGGGTGAACTTACTGAGGCCATCCTTCAAACGTGCTAATAGCAAAGAGACTAAGCATAGCTTTGCCCACGTTGTCGAATGTGAAGTCATTATTCTTCCATTCTCGTTCAGCGTACACCGGTCGGTGTAAATCTGCATCCTCATAGTCCACAAAAGTCCCCCTGAAAGTTTTACAAATCATAATTAAGTTTTCTAACATATTTTGCAGACATGCAGCCACTTCAGACACACAGTTACTCAGTGTGTACCGTATTATCGACACATCATTACTGCAGAATCAGAAGATACTTAATGGTCAAAGGAAATACTGTACTTACTGACAAGTCTCCTTCGTAATCTTTGATGGATCCGAGCATTTGAATAAGTTTCCCTGTTAGTCGTAGAAGGACATGTAAATAAGATAAATGAAATGTTCAACTTTTCCTGAAGAATTCGGGAAGGAAGGAAACAGCCATTGCTACTTTCCAAGCCTGAGTTCATTATGGGAGATATTCTTTTGTATTCTTTATGTAATCCTCCCAGCATAACTAAAAACTAATGATGACTTGGTCTGATTTACTAGAAATTACCAGACTAAATCTTCATTTCCTTTCACATGCACTTTCTCCAAATCAAGCTGATCATCATCATTATTACATAAAAGTTGCGAAATAATGTAACAATTAATGATAGAGATTCGCGCAAACCTTGAAGAGTTGGACTCCAATTACGGCAAACATGAACTGGAGGAGGCATGTAACAAGGACGATATTTCCAATCGTCTTCACCGCAACGATCATACATTGAACCACGTGCTGCAAATACAAAGGAAAAAACCAAGTTCATTTCATATATAATGATAATAATCTACCCAGGATGGGAGCTCCCTTTCTGCAAAAACTCAAACATAAGCATGGACTTAATCTCATAAATCTCTCTTGTTCACCTTGAGGCCCTTGGCACGATTGATGGCTCGAAGCGGTCTCAGCACACGCAGTACTCGGAGGATCTTCACAACAGATATCGTTCCAGAACTGCACAAGTTTCCATCCGTTGCGAAACATCAGCGTCAATTGAAAAGCGATCATCATCATCATCAGATTGAATTGCATTTGCCCGTTGGTGGTTGGTGTAGAGACGAAATTGGGTGAATGAACGAAAAGAATATAAAAAGTGTGGAATTAGTCTGATGAGGAAATCTCAAGGTACGAGTACAAGCTGAGTAAAAATGAAGTTGGGAAGTACAATAAATAATAATATCTGAAGATAGATTTACACAAGAAGATTTTGAAAGAGAGTAACATTCCACATCACAGTATCATGAAAATGTAAAGATATTCAGCAGTACTACGAGGATATAAATATAAATTGCATAACACTAGCACTAAATTTTCTTCTCGTATACATAAAGAGATGCAATCGATCGATGCTCGCAAACCACGACTACTTGCATTCGCCCTACACACAATAATACTACCACCATTCGCAATAAGTTGGGAGCCAATTTAAATAGGATCAACCAGCAGCTACAATTCTTTCACTACTGATGCTTTATCATATCACACCAATCAAGCACAATGCTTAAAAAGCTACATAATAATTTAAATAAAAAGCCAGAGGATGGTTCAATTACTAAAATTGCGTAATATACATTCTTCCGCACTTTGGACTTCAAACAGCTTCAGAAATTATGAACATTTCCTAGTTGTAAAAAATCTGAGAGGAAAAAAACCTTTGTTTGTAAAATACATGAACAATCTATGTTGAGGTCGTGTCAAAGGGCATGGATTGGGAAGGGGTGCAATACTTCAACCACGAACCTGGGTTACATATTTGATCACAGAGAAAAGGGAACATAATCATGCAAGACGAGCACATTTCAGTCACATTTCATATAAAATTTGAATTTCTATTGTAATACTGGGTTTAAATAATGGCAAATTGTAGTGTAAACGTGAATTGTTCGTATTGTTTTATTTGCTACTATTTTTAAATGCTTGTAAATATTTGCTTGTAAGTATTTATTTGTAAATTATGGTTGCCGACGCCGAATGCGTACAATGAATTATTATTTGTTAGGAAGTTTGGCATAGATTTTGTGGTCAGATATGAAAATATTTTTAGATTTATGTGTGAGGTTAAAGAACACAAGAAGCGTGACACGGCCTAGTCGACCAGTTGACCAGACCATTCTGCATACATTTATGTAACCAAATTTCCGTTCAGATCTGGTTCTGGTTTGGGTTTGGATTTTGAAATTTTTTGATGCGAATCCCTCCCGTGGTTTTGGAAGCCGCAGGAGGGATTCGTATCAAAAGATCTCAGAAACAGACACTTATTCGTATCTGTATGACTCTGGTCGGATGATGTAACCTTTCTCTCCATTCCAATAGACTACTCGTAAATAATTGGCAAGCACTATATGGCTCGAAAAGTGGTAGGCAATCAATGTCTGAATATGGATTTCACTTAAAATGTTATGCAATTCTACTGCGCTTTATAGTTTGATCTAATTCAGAAACAAGAAATTCAGCACATGACAGTATTTGTATTTTAGAAAAGAAGATGGGTTCGTTGAGTGCAAACGCACAATTTCAATCTGTGATACGGCTTCAATTTCATTGCATGAGTGTTTTAGCTCTGTTCAATCTTTTACTCAATTGCATAATATGAAATTAATAAATTCTACCAATATTTAAAGAGGTATTCCTATTTAAAAATTTGAGCGAAACGGTTGATTCAAAATATAGGAAACAACACGTGAAAATTTATTGTAGTTATTAATGCGAATCAATAATGAGTGTTATAAATCACATGAAACTGGTTTCACCGAAATTAATGCGCATTATTGTCAAATTCCTCATTGTTTTAGTTTCGGTTCGCATGAGTGCAACCAAACCAAATTGGATTCAATCACTCTAAATTAAACTCCAGTTGATTAATTTTGGGGGAACAATGACATTGTTCGAGAGATTTAATCGATTTTTCCCTTAACGAAATGAGTGTGGGTATTCCTTTATGTATGAGGATTGTTATAAAAATGATATCTGTGCACATGAATATTTATCCACCAGCAAAAAAAATCATGAATAAAAAGCAGTATTGGCCAAGTGCTTGTGAAAAACGAGTAAAAGCAGCAGTTTAAATGTTCGTATTTCAATATTTGTTAGGCAATGTAGTTGTAAAAGTAAGTGGTTATAAAATTGGTTTATCAAGTGAAGTATGTTGTAATTGATACATAAAAGAGTATCTGAACTTGAGTTAGTGGACGAAGGTATGAAAAATTAGTCATAAAGTAGCACGAATTAATAAAACAGTTTAATACAAGACAACAAGAACAAGGAACACGAACAACTAGGGCTACTACCAACTACAAATTAGTAGTTTAATTAATGGTGAACGGCTATGGTTCTGTGCAGGAGATGTGACATACAACAAGTGAGCTAACGACAATGACGAACAATGAATAACGAACGAATGTTAAGGTGAATTGGGAAAGTTCTTACAAATCGTGGGATCGAGACCGGATGAAAGTGTGAACACACGAGTTCGTATCTTTTATTAACACTCCGCCCAGATACGACTCGCACAGAAGCTGTATAAATCTTCTGAAAATCCCAAATCGTCCAAAAACAAACTTTAGTTGAGTACAAGACAACACAAAAAATCCACTCACTGCACGTCAAATATTTAATTTCACAGTACAAATTCTAGTGGGAAGAAAGGGAACGCGTTATAAATAAATATGTAGGAAAACTCCACCCGACTACTGTCCTTTTCGGAAAGACAAGAACATCCACCGATTTAGTTGATTGGGAACCAAGACAAAATTCGATAAGTAAAAGGGCAAACAGGGCGTTGGACGGTTCACAATTATGCAATACTTGCTGGACATTTTGGTTATGGTAAAAGTTAGCTCTCATGTATGTCGACTAAAGAACATTTATAAGGTAAATTTATACATACAACGGTAAATAAGTACTTGAAACCATGTGATCAGTTGACTTGACGCGTAGATCCAATATTATATCATCACGTTGTACTATTATATTTCAAATCTGATGGAATGAACAGAACGGAAAATGGTTCTCTTACCTCCATCCGAACGAAACCAGAGAGACACAAACCACCAATAGATCCAAGAGGTTGAAGGCTGATCGGCAAAATGCTCCTTCATGGAAAATACAGGTTTAAAGCGTATCATTGTACATCAATTGTATGGCATATTCCAATCTTATTATTGAGAGCTATCTCCCTCACGTGAGTGGATAATTTAGGCAAAGGTAATTGTCTTTTATTTCAAAATCCGTAGTCAACCATAAAACATCTCGTGTCAATATAATTTTTGATTAACGAGATGAACAATCGGGACAATTCAGTTAGTTCTTGAGTCCTGTCCCACCCATCTCTTTCTTGGATGGTTGGTTCAGGACCACATGGAACGCTATGTGACTGACTGAATGCTAGTGCAGGGCTCGGAGTTCGGAATTTTATCAACGCTGCAAATTTCAGCGGTATATTGAACCATGAAATCTTACATTAGGCATCTCACAATGCGATGGCGTGAAGTGTAACCCTCCGATTTAGTTGAAATTTTGGAAGTATGAAGTTTGAGTCAATGCAACCAACGTTACTTGAAGGAGTTTGTGCGCTAGTTGGAATTTATCAAAATATTTGAGGTCAAAGTTGTAAAAATTGGCGATTTTTATCAGACGGAGAAAGCAAACTTTACTTCCATTCTATTTCCCTCACATTCATTTTCTCTCGGATTTCTTACTCGAGCATAGGCCTTCATACTTGTAGAACATAATCAATGATGCAAAATAATCAGAAATTAATTACGGTATAAAACATTTCACAGATTTCATACAAGTTTAATTTGCTTAATGATTACAGATGACACTTTTATTATGTTAATTACCATAAATTTATATAAAAATTGAATATATGTACAAACTTCAGCACAAACAAAATAAAATGGAAAAACTTAATTTACTTTCCAAGTCTAAGGCGTTGGTATGTGGAATTTGCTACACATTCGTATATCGTCCAATATATCGAATTGGCTATCAAAATTACCAACACTTTAGGAATGAAAAGTATATTAAGGTTTCCTAATTGGAAAATGGGAATATAATGGGAAATTCCCATTATATTTTGGCCAAAATATAATGGGAATTTCCCATTATACCTTAACATAACCTTAATATACTTTTCATTCCTAAAGTGTTGGTCATTTTGATAGCCAATTCGATATATTGGACGATATACGAATGTGTAGCAAATTCCACATACCAACGCTTTAGACTTGGAAAGCAAATCAAGTTTTTCCATTTTATATTGTTTGTGCTGAAGTTATACATATATTCAATTTTTATATAAATTTATGGTAATTATCAAAATAAAAACGTCATCTAAAATGATTAGGCAAGTTAAACTTGTATGAAATCTGTGGACTCTTTTATACCTTAATCAATTTCTGATTGTTTTGCATCACTGATAATGTGATACAATTATGAAGGCCTATGCCCGAGTGAGAAATCAGAGTGAAAATGAATGTGATGAAAATAGAACGGAAGTAAAGTCGCAAAGTTTGATCGACGGCATTACGGATTTTCCCAAGACCACGAGATCTTATCTCTTGTATGCGAATTACCTTTCAATTGGTTTTCAAGATACATTTTTTTTATTTGGTGGTGGGACGTTCTTTTGGTACTCGTCAATACAATTTCAGTTTTTTATGTACTTTTGTTTCTGATTTTCCCCTGTTTACGAAATTTACAATATCATGGTTTTGTAAAACAGGTGTGTCGTTACGACGTGGAACACAATAATTTGTCTGAATTGTATGAATCGTTACAGATTTATCTATCATTTGGCGACTGGATTTTACTTGAAGTTCTGAAAATGAATTTAAGTGATTACGAATTCCGACAATTTATTAAAGCAATGCTGACCACCAAAAACCCTGTGTTCCGTGCACGTAACGCACCAATTATTTAAGACTATGTAATTATTATTTAGCGGAACTTATGCTCTCCAAAAATTGTTATATTAATGCTAGCGAAAGTAATTATTATTTAGTAATTATTATTTATTATTATTTATTATTATTATTATTATTATTATATAATATTATATAATATATATAGGAGATCCTCTTTGGCTTCCAACCGTGCACGACGTGTCTCTCTCTCGCTCTGCAACTGGATTCTCTCTCTCCCATCTGGGTCGCGGGTGTGCCAGGGCAAGTCAAGTGTGTCCCAGTCTTTTCGCCCTGTGAGCCTCGTCCACTCACACCCCCCACCTGCGTGCCTGGTGACACCCCCTGCCACACCCGTCCCAGCAACGACAAGCTGAGCCATCAGGCGAAGACGGATCTCGCCGGACTCTGTGCACGGGAGGATCTACGCCAGGAGGACTCCCCAAGGTAGGTCACTGTTTGGTATATCGGGGTAGTGACCGTGGGGGGTGGTTGGTGGAAGAGTGAGGACGGGGTCGTGCATGGCGGTGGGCAGCGTAGTCGGGCCTACGGGGGTCCCATGACCCGGTTGTGCTGTGAGGGGTGAAGGGGCAAGTGGGTAGTGTCGCTCGGCCCTGGTCACACTGCGTGACCGTGAAGGGGACACGTAGCCCGTGCCCGGGAGGGCGCTAAGGTATTGCGTGGTCCGTGGACGCCCCGCCCAACAACCTTCACTCGTCTTGCTTCCGCCTTCGCGACGCCGTCCTCATTTGGATATCACCATCACCTCTCGGGATCTGCCTATGATCCCTATCACTCATTTGTCCTGCCTGGGTGATGTAGGTAGTCAGAGCCGAATGGACCTCTGGGCCACATTCCCAGAGGTGATAGTGGTTTTCCTGGCTCTACACCATAGCCAGGTTTTCCCACTATTCCTCTGACTACTTTATTTTACTTTATTTTACTATATTTACATTTACATATCTAACTCTGTAATCTCTATATTGATGAGGGCTCATGGCCATATCAAATGCTAATAAATTGAATATGAATGAATGAATATAATATATATAATATTATATTATATAATATAAAATATATAATATTATATTATATTATATAATATAAAATATATAATATTATATTATATAATATATAACATTATATTATATTATATTATATTATTATTATTATTATTTAGTAATTATTATGTCTAAAAAGTGAAATACATGCACAACAACCCTGTCAGGTGTTCATCGAAAACACACAACCTTTTTTGGGTAAAGGGAACTGGATGTCTTTAAATATTGTACGATACAGCAAATAAGAATTAAATGTCACTCTATTGTAGCACCTTCAAATAAAGATGGAACTTATCAACTTCGTTAATTCCTAAAATTCGATATGGCTAACATTTATTTTAGATATTACCGTACTCTTGTTGCTTATCGGTATATAAATGTACCTCTAAAACTCGACCAATTATTTTATTCAAGTGTGACATAAATTTCTCCTTGTCAATAAACGTGAAATCAAACTTGTGATGATGTGTTGGATGTTACAAATTATATTATTCTATCATGTACAACTAAGCAATATGAATCAATAATATCAATCGTAATAAACCCTTTTACAAGTCAAACACCATTTAACTGCTGGTGTTATGCGTCAAGGTATCACGCCTCCATTCGTAAACTGCATACGATACAGTCACGCCAACATTAAACTAGTCCATGGCTGATCATAAATACATTTGATTTTTGCATTGTTGGAGGTCCATTGTGGTGCATACAACAATTTTCAGTTTGGAGCTGCAAATTCACATAATCAGGTGCAGGTTGTTATTGAGACCACGGAAAACATTGGCATCTGTCTAGTAGAAGGTAAGATTCGAGAAAGTTGAGACGAGAAACAAGCCCCGACGACGGGAGCTCGATGTCTACCCATGAAACGAAGTAAATTGATCCCATGGACAAGCATGAGTGACCGTACGCAGTTGAAGGTGAAGAAAGTACGGGCGTCAAGTTCTTGAACTTATCACCGAAAACCTATCTTTACAAGAATGTACAATTTCGTGTGTGTGCATTTTACAATTTACGTGTTTGTCATGGATCATAAACTTCAATGATGCGTTCGAAAAAGCTACATATATTTTGAGCAGGAAAGTGTAATACAATAATGATCCATGAACTAATGAGTTTCAAGGATGAAGTAAACTTAGGTATTTAGGTTAAATAACATAGAAACTAAACACTTGACTTCCACTGGCATCCTATCATACAATTTACCCAGACATTAACAGCGCTCAGATTTGGTGCTGCATACGTCTTCCATCATTATCATAAATTCGGTTTTCAAATTTTTCAGTGTCATGTGTACAAAATCTAAACACACACACACAAGCAAGCGTTATTTCAGTGTTTGAGCTCAGTAACATGGTTTACGCTTACTTCATTCGTATGAAAAAGGAAATAGTAAATATGACTTTACTCAAATCACTATCACTTTTACTTATGCGTGGATTAACCAAGAAAATAGTATGTTGAGATAAACAAGATGTGTGTAAAGTTTATGAGTTCTGATCTTAAAGTAGATGTGACAAAGGTTTCCACTCGGTTAAAACAGCATTACAATTATTAAGTGCCTCTTATGCTGTGCGTGAGAGATTTCTACACGAGAGACATGTATGAGTTGATTATTGACCGATGGGAACCAAAAGCATAAACTTACTCTACTTTGCTATGTAGACCATCTGCATCTGCGATCGTGGGTGTATAAGGATAAAGAATTGCCATGCTAGTCTAAAGGTGTTTTACGGGGGACATACGATTAGCATTACCGTAACGCTAAGTTTGCTAAGAACATGTTGACATAAGGCGGAATTTCATTCTTCGGGCAAGTTCTGCTCACGAAAGAAGTAGAGTTTATATGTCATGCAGAACCGGAAAAAAATGACACATTTATGTACTTTATTGTCGCGACCACACTCATAAATATTTGGCAGTCGTTGCACCTTATTAAACAACAAAGTTGTTCCAAAAGAATAATATATAGGCTTGTTGTACAACTGGATATTTGAGTCATGACTGCAGTTTAATTTACACAAACTACCTGTGATTTTCAGTTGCATATCACTAAGATATGTGTCGTAGGAGCATAACTAGTTCATTATCGTCAACTTGCCTTCCGTATGAGACGATTAATCTCCTTACACATTGCCTAATGCCAATATGAAATACATACTCTGATTAAAAAACTATTCGCTACTTAGTTTAGCTTAACTTGAAAGTATCGTTAATTAAAAAAGTAAGAAATTCGACAGCTTCAAGTCACAAAGTTTATCCTTCTTCGGTTAGAATATTCTTCATAGAGCACACATGACTTACAAAGTTAGGGTGTATTTTGTATCATCCCACCGAGGGTAATGTCCAGGTCTTTGGTCTCCCCTGATCCTGGTTTCAAATTTGATGAACTGAGGAGGAAACGTAGTTTCTGAGTAACAAGTCACTGAGTGTGGAACAAACCTCGGACGTTGGCGATCACATTAGTTTCTCAACCTAATTTCACCTTCACATTGATTGGAAGCACTCTCTACTTGAGATTCATGCACAACAACATATCTCATATGTGTCCAATGACTTAGCTAAGTACATGCAAAAACTTCATATTTTCGTCATAGGCACTTCAAGTTTGCTTATCAAAACGAAAGTCGCTGTGCATAAATATATCTCGACACTAATATCCTTTGCATGTGTTGGCCTTCTACCCGAGTTATGCACAACCTTAACTAGTTTGCTTACTCCCCTCGCACATTGACGTCATCTACACCCACTCTAAGGGACGCAAACCACCAAAGACTGCTGAAAAAGTACTCCAAGTCAATTCAAACTACTTCCAAATACTCCAAACCTAACTTTAAATATCAGCCAGACATACAATTTTGCATTAAATGCGTGCACGTATGGACATCGGTGGTAAATGTGCAGAACGACGCTAATGCTTGTGCGAATGTGCGAATCATCGTGTCGCAAATACAACTATTTAGTACGCCATGCGCACCGAATTTTCGGAAAGCATAGATGTGTGGAACAAAAGAAATAATTGCACACAGTCGGATACTATCCAAAATAAAAGGAATTCCTTTTATTTTTATGACTATAAATTTATATCCCAAATTAAATGTATGCATAAATTCAGTAAAGCCAAAATATAATGGGAATTTCCCATTATATTCCCATTTTCCAATTAGGAAACCTTAATATACTTTTCATTCCTAAAGTGTTGGTAATTTTGATAGCCAATTCGATATATTGGACGATATACGAATGTGTAGCAAATTCCACATACCAACGCCTTAGACTTGGAAAGTAAATTAAGTTTTTCCATTTTATTTTGTTTGTGCTGAAGTTTGTACATATATTCAATTTTTATATAAATTTATGGTAATTAACATAATAAAAGTGTCATCTGTAATCATTAAGCAAATTAAACTTGTATGAAATCTGTGAAATGTTTTATACCGTAATTAATTTCTGATTATTTTGCATCATTGATTATGTTCTACAAGTATGAAGGCCTATGCTCGAGTAAGAAATCAGAGTGAAAATGAATGTGATGAAAATAGAACGGAAGTAAAGTTTGCTTTCTCCGTCTGATAAAAATCGCCAATTTTTACAACTTTGATGTTTTTGTTCATGAGAAACTAGTGATGTTTGATTTTGTGTAAGTTTAAATGATTGTGGTGGAGTTTTGGGAATTATTACAATGGACACAGAGAGGTTAATATTTGTAATAATATCAACGTTGGGATTTATTTACTGTGGTTAAAATCAAGACATGCTGTCTTCTTGTATTAGCTACTTAATTATTTCTTGGGGTAATGTGATACATAGTTTAATTCGCAATCTCACTTTCTCATCTTGAGGCAAGTTGAGATATGCGAAATAGTCTTGTGCAGAGGTTGTAAGGCTCTGACAAGTATTTGATGTTATTTTGGGTCTGGTCCGTGGCTGGCTTTATACTGCAGGACGGACCGACAAGCACCCGTGTATGCTAAATCTTACATTCATTTTCAGACTAAAAATAAGTTGATATACATAAATACAGTTGTTTGTTCAACATTGGAACAAATGCATGCATACATTAGATACTACATTTTCTGCCTGTTTAGCAAACTACCAAACTGGACAACTCAATCTACATAAGATAAGTTTGCAAGATGTGGCAGTGATGCAGCGTCACATACCTGCCATCACTTCCACTGTTCCATGCAGACAAACATTGATTTACATGCATCTACTGTAAAACCAATGTAAATTGCGTTCAATCTGCATCTTGAATGCAGACTGACCAAACAATGCAATCTACACATTACAACTCAGATTTCTATATACTAGGAATCTGAACATTTGACCTCAAATATTTTGATGAATTCCAACAAGCGCACAAGCTCCTTCAAGTAACGATGGTTGCATCGACTTAAACTTCATGATTCCAAAATTTTAACTAAATCCGAGTGTTACACTTTACACCATCGCATTTGTCAGTCTTTGTCTCCTAATTCGAGTAAAATTCATCAACTTACCTTCATGTAGGACAAACCCGAATGAGACCATCTTCAAGCAAATCTCAATTGTGAACACGGTAGTAAAAAAGTAGTCGAATTTGTTCAATATCTATTAAATAAATCAAAAATGTTTTTTAATTTTTAATTTTAATTAAAATTGAAATGTCTCAAATTTTTTGTAGAATTATTTTTCTTAAATTAAATACCAAATTTCTCTCCGATTTTTCATTGAGGGGATCTTCCGCTGCGAGCATTGCCGAAGAGATGAGGATGCAAATAAGGATCACGTTTCCTGATTTGAAAATGAATTATTTAATACACTTGTAACACTACATACTTCAGTTACTTTCTCTTACCAAACATGTTATGGTTCACAAACCAGTAGCAAAATGCTCGAAATCTAATTAAGGCAGTAATATTTTTTATGACAACAATAAAGTGTCTGAGAGCTCTGAAAATTCGTTCCTTACCGATTTTTGTGAGAAAAGACAAAAAAACTAGAAGCTTTCGGTAGCGGTTTGACTTTTATGCTCGATCGAATTTCAGACATGCGACGAGGACGTGCCGTGGGCTGGACTTCTTCTTCTTCCTCCTCGATGTACTCCATCACGTCCTCGTCGTCACCTTCTACAATTATCCAGGTGCAGACAATTAAAACGAGTAGTATCCCCCAAAATCTCAAAATAATCATCTGCTTGTTGCACGTATCACATTGCTTTCACCACATGACAAATTTCTAATTTGAAAAATCTTGGCACACATCTCCTTTAATTATTTATATCTAGGACTAAATATAATTAAATACGACACATAATTTCCAGAATTAAAACATCAAGGACAGTCAACGGCGACAAATTGGGGCGACTTTCTCTTTCTCTGGAAATTACGTTTCAAAAAGGAAAGTCTGCACCCCCATTGTAAATGAACATCAGCAGTTTATATCATTTCCGAAACATTGTCTTTCTCCTATAAATTATGCAAATTTGGACGAATTTCAAGATTCGAATGACCGCTGTTTGCTACTTGCAAACAAACTGTTATTATGTGGCAATATAATTGTAATCTGGTATGAAAATCTACATCTCATAATCTAACAAAGTAAGCTCGGGTCGAGTGCGTACACAAAATTACAGCATTGTCCTCAATAGAAAGTCGTCGGAATAGTTTTCTCTTCCACAAACAAACAAGGATTTGATGGCTGAATACAAAGTATTGCCCACTAAAAACTGAAGCCAACTTCACTATCAATTTATAGCTTATTTATTTTACTGCTAACCCCAAGTACCCAAACGAACCAGTAAAAACATAAGAAACACCCTCCAATAAGACACTAGACGACACACGATACATTGCTCTCTCTCCATATCATCACACCACTCTCATAAATTCTGTCTTGCGGTTGGGCATAAATCGTAAGAATTTAAGTAATTGCGGCCGTAAGCATGAATCCTGGTACAGATGTCAGCAAGAAGGGAAACATACTTTCTATGCACTTGTGACGAAATCATCAAGGAAGGAACGGAAAATGCTACAAAAACAAAGTTATACATCTCCAAAGTGTCCGAATGACGAGCAAGTGTGAACAAATGCATGAATGTGAACATTTTGCGCGTCTCGTCTGATGCACATCGGATATGGGAACGAGTTTGTATAATAAAAAGGCTTTTCACTCCAATACCTTGAGCATCCTTACTGTCATCGTACTCCTCTCCATCAGTCTCGAAACTAATTTGGTGTTCCAGCTCATCGCCTTCCCGTCTGAAATTGTCAGAAAGACGTCAATTCAAAACCTGGTTCAAATGCACAAACACACAATAGTAAATTCTCGAAGCAATTATTTAAACCCACTCGGTGAAAATATTCATAAAAATACATCTCGGATTTTAGAAGAGCTTATCAATCGTGAAAAAGTGAAAGTTGAATTAATTTGCTTGTCAAATAGTATGGAATGGTGGAGCATTTCTGATTTGAAAAAATACTCAATTTTTACAAACCATGCATGCATCCACTGCATCCAAGGAGCTACAATGATGGAATACTCTCATTTATTTCGCAACCCAACTACTACGTCTTTCGCCCATGTTGCTTATTGGGTAAATCAAGTGGAAGTCAAGAAAGGGTAAAAGATCTCCGGTTATCCAAATTCTCTTCGGCTAACTGACCATTAAGTGAGCATTCCAGTGGAAACGACTCGCCATTGAGATCACAAATCAGAAAAGATCCACTCATACCCAAATCACGGAAGGTCTCGTCCTTAACTGAAATCGCTTTATGGAGTGTTGCTGCTGCACTTTGTCCAGAAGAAAGGCACAGCAGCGGCGAAAAAAACACCATAAACATAAATATTGCTGCTGAGAGCAAAGAGCATTTTTCTTGAGGGATAAATGGCGCCGAACTATTTCCCCCCGCATTGCCATCAAACATCATGTTACGTAGGAGTAGTACATGCTCTCAAACTACTGCATTTTGTTGGACCTTCCTCTTGGATATGGTGAAAGTATAAAAAAATAACTTTGGCGAAAAATAACAACTAGGAAAAGTAACATTTCGAATTTCCAATTAAATTTTTACCATAATTTACGAGATGCTTGTTTTTTTCTGGAATGTGGGATTCCGTAGTCGTTTAAGAGTGGGACACTTGTGTGTATAAGTTTGAGACTTGGGTTGGAGTTTCGCCACCCAACTTTTGAAGTGTCGACTTTAGAGGAGCACGACTGCAAAGAATGTTGTCCGGGTCGAGCGTTCCACTTTCACCAGCAATTGTAATAATGATGGTTGGAGGTTTGTGCAGACCAGACCCATCCCATCTGAATTATCTTAGACGAGATTGTCTCCACCGTCTTATTGAATTATCCCGATATTTTTTGCTTGAACGAGCACCACAATCGATAACTTTTATAGACAATGGCTTACTTTTACTTCCGAGTAGCAATTTCTTCATTTTCTAATGCTTTCTTACATCACACCACGACCACCACGGCCCATAAACAGACCCGTCTTTTCTCTCGTTCCTTTGAACCCAACTTGCATACTGACTTTATGTAATCAGCGTCTTTTTAATTACCATATTTTATGCAAATCAGTCGCATCTAGTAAATAAACCACTTTAAATAATTAACTAGTACTTACATAACTTCTTCCGTGTTATTGTGATATTCTTCTTCCACCTCCAGCTCTTCCATGCGGCTTGTCTCCTTCTCTTCCGTAATTTCTTTAACCACACCGGCTCCAGCAGCCTGAAGAAAACGCACAGTTATAATTATTGCTAGTTTTTGTGTAGAATATGTATAACAATGTGTGAAGAGTGATTAAATCTGTGTAACCCTTATGGCCACAATAAACCCATTTTTGAGACCCTAATGAAAAGGAGGCTGACATCAGTGACATTTGGAGAAATGAGATCCAACACGTGTCAAAATACCCCAATTACTCATTTCAACTTTCACTCTCTCACACCCTCGCCTTGGCCGAGCTTCAACTCTTTGCTGAGAATTATTAAAGTGAATTTGTACAATTTGTACAATAATAAATGGGTGATGAATGAGAGACGGCCCCTGCCAAGCAGAAAGTGAAAATACATACGCACGTAATAAATCATTTCCTCGCTCTGTGCCACGAATGCGATGTTCGCAGACTGGCTGCTGCTCATCCCGTTATGCTTGTTTCACCGTGTAGAATGTTGTAGTTTTACTTGTTAGTTTGTGTGTGAACCTGGTTCTACGCTATGCAGATGAAAATCACTAATCACACACAAAACAGGGTTAATTTATATCTTTCGTTGCTCAACAATCCTTAAACAAAGCATTTTCTCATGTTCACACCAACGAAAAAGATCACATGATGTGTGATGCCATGCCCCTCACTCACTCTTACTTAACCAACTCTTGATGCCAATTTCTGCAACTCTATTACTCACTGAATTGCATTAGTCTCAGCCAGCCGAGGGGACGCATGGTTTGCTTGGCATGAGATTGCCATTCGTGATGCTGCTGATAATAAACACCAACACACACACACAAGTAAATAAGCAGAACTAACATCCTCCACGTCCTGTCGCAGTTGGGTTTGCAAGGCAATCGTTGCACACCCACCGGGCTCTCTTACAATAGCGAATTATTATGTTTGTGGATGGCTCAAGAGTGGTGGTTGACTTTATGAAATACGGCACAACGTGGAGCAGAAAGAGAGCGAGAGACAAATTGGAAAGTAACTCCTGCAGAGAAAACTCATTGCAATTGCTCACTCGGAATTCACCACCGAGATAAATGCCTCGGTTTCGAGACCGCCACCAAACCAGCGTCCCCATGCAAATCCACCATTTGATAAAAATCAACCCAAAATGCATGTCAAGCCACAAAATGATTTAACCTTCAATTGAATAAAGATCCAACGACATGTGTTCCTTTTATATGAAAATGATGTTGGTTAAATAATTAATGGCCGACTTACTGCCGCGGCGGCTTCTTCCTCCTCCTTCTCGATTGCTGTGAGAGAATCCGCCTGAAGAAAATGCATAGTTATAAAATTGCTAATTATTGTGCGAAATATGTGTCACAATTTGCGAAGAGTGATTAAATCTGTGTAACCCTTATGGTCACAATAAACCCATTTTTGAGACCTGAATGAAAAGGAGTGACATTAGGGACACTTACGTCTGCCAAGTTGTCCACGGCAATGGCCAAGAATACATTAAGAAGGATGTCTGCAATGATAATTAAAACCGTGAATGTGCTTTTTTATTGAGGTCAAATGCTATATTTTGGTGAAATGGGGGCGATTATAAAATTGCAGAAGGACATATATCTCACTCTCAGAGTGGAACTCGTGCATATCGAGAAATGCGATCGGCTGAAACGCATGTGCTAAGTAAATCCTTGTACAATTAATGATCGCAATTACCAAACCGAATATAATTGTGGGGTCAGATAAGCATGTGATAATTAATAGCGAAGTGCTTAGTAAGTGTTCTCTTCTGTAAGTTATAATTTGAGCTAGCAGTAGAAATTACATATCATCATAAATTGATATTGGATGGCTGAGCTGAATTTTGGTCTTAAACAATTCTAGCTACAAAATTACTTCCGCATTTGAAGCAATTTGCGAGGTTCAACTTGTTCTAAAATGCATCGTCGCCTAAAAAAATAGAATTTTACTGTACATAAAACTTACAGTTTCCGCAGATGAAGAGAATAATGAAATAAATGCAGGCCACGATCCCAATAGACCCAACACCGCCATACGCTTTGATCCCGTTGTACATTATCTCGTTCCAGTCTTCACCAGTTAGAATCTAAATTTTGCCGTCGTGTTAAGTTTATTTGAACACGCTTTAATCGGATTACATCATGCAGTCATACCTGAAACACTGTGAGCAAGCTTTGCCAAAATGTGTCAAAATTTTGACGCTCTTTCTCCTTGGTCGGGTCAAAATTGAACTTTCCTCCGAAAACTTGGGTGCCCAGAAGGGCAAAGATAACGATGAATAAAAAGAGCAAGAGGAGCAGGGATGCAATGGACTGGATGGAATTCAAAAGGGATGCCACCAAATTGGATAACGCTCTCCAATATCTGCATTTTATACGAATTAAGATAAACGAAAAATTATAATTTTTTATTAGCTTTTAAGATCATACTTGGAGAAAATAGGTGAAGGATATTAGTGTAATGAATGAATAAATAAGCGTTTACTGGTCACCTTGTTACTTTAAAAACTCGTAATAACCGGACGCATCGTAGGACGGATACCCCGAGAGGGGGAATCACTTCAGTCTTGGTCAGCACAATCTCCAAAATACTGCTAATCACCACAAAGCAATCGAAACGGTTGAATAAGGACACAAAGTAACCCTGAAATTAACATAATTACATTAAATACCGTAAATAAATATGTTATTTTCGCTACAAAACTATGCACTTAATTTAATCATCAAGTAATTTATAATCACAAATTGAGCAATTCTTTGACCCAAGGTCATTCATCCAATTTAAAACTGATAGGTTTATCCCACCCATAAGGATTACTTGTACGGCTTTTAATGAACAATTCAGCATGCCTCCCATATCCGGCTGATCAGTTAAATGTCCTCTGCCTCCTCATCCTCTTCTAATATCAACTTCTTTGCAGGTAAATGGTTTGGCTACTTATGATACTTAGAACAAGAAATGAGCTTATCGAGCTTACCTGGAAACCCAGACTGAACATCTTGAGGAGCATTTCCAAAGTGAAGAGAACAACGAAGAAAAGGTTTGTCACTTCTGTAAAGAGAAACAATAACAGGACTCGGCTTAGCTGGCTGCACAGGATTACAGAGGATTAAGGCCTAACTCGCTCCACTCACTCCCACCGAAACGTTACAATAAAATAAAGGAGAGAGAAAATATAGAGAGAAAGTACAGGATGTAGAGCTGTGTTTTCTCATAAATGTTATTCTTGGCTCCTGTTTTGTTCCTGGTAAAGTAAACAGAAGGAGAAATAGATCGAAGATAACGCGAGATTTTTATATTTTTAGAAATGTATGTATGTATTCTATACAAAATTAGTTGTAGTTCATGTTTTTGAAAAGCTTGTAAATAACTTTGAGATGTTTATTAATAATATGTAAATAAGTGAAAGTTTAAGAGTGTGAAATGCATACCTTGGACATCATCCAACCAGGCAGGTTGCTTGTAATGCTCGGTGGACAGGATACCCGTATTTAGGAAGACTAGAACTATTATTAGCCAGTAGAACGCTTGAGACTTGACGGCCTGCAAGGTTACATGTAGAATTAGTCCCCATGTTAAATACGTATATATAGACGGTACATTACAGGTTGCACATAAGTGCAATACTATGTACTTGCCTTTCTACATGCTCGTCTCAATCGTCGGATTAATCTGCGAATCAGTATTAGCCGATTGATTATTAAATAATATATTTGTAGTTTTGCTCAAGTCATGTTGAGCTTTTCTTGATTTCGTGTTCTAATAATAACCCAATATATCGTTATTCTTAATGCTCGTCACTTTGAGGAGCCGGTATATTTTCTTGTGCAGAAACACGTACGAGCTGTTATGGTTGATAAAGGGGAACAATAGGATAGCAAAAAACACCAACGCAGCAATTGTGTAAGAATTGTATCTCGTTGGGAGAAAGTAAGACATGGTCATCAAAAAAGCATCCAAATCCAAACCCCAGCAGCAGAAAAAATAGAATATGGAGTCAATGGGTAGATATATGTGGGATTTCTGTAAATGGTTCAAGCGTGACTTTCCTCCAGTATGGATATTTATATGGCAAGAAAGTTACGTTTTCCCGGCTGCAAGGATCTGGGTTTGGTCAGGGCAAAAAAGTAATGTCCAAAAAATACTCTACAAGGTGCTGGAAAAACCAATCGAATCGGTGAACGGATTAGTGCTGACCAAACAGTGAATATTGCATTCTCTTCTCTCCACCACCACCACCACAATCCACCGCAAAACCAACATCCGAGTTTCATTGTTCTTCAAAATTAAACGGGAACATGAACGGTTCATTGCGTCATTTTTAAAATCCTCATCTTCAAAGTAAACTGAAGCAACAAGAAGATTGAGATCAAACGGAGGACAGTGAACACACGCTTTCCCCTCTGATACACGCGAGGCATGAGTTTTTGGGCACCGTTGAAAAATGTTTCGCTACGGCGAAGAAGAAGAGATTTGTAAGAATGTGGTTCATCTCAGCCTTGACGGCGGTGTGTGTTAATTACAAGGTCTCATCAAATTCATTCTGGGTCTTTTATGCCTCACTTTCGCTCTTGTTCTGTTTGGCTTGGCTGGTTTAAGTGGGGGGAAGCCCCAGCTAATAAGATGCTTAGTACATATGACTTGGCCTCAAGTGCTTAACCGCGGCTGACTACTGCTGCTACAAACCAAACCAAATAATATGCCACGGTCTGCGTCGTCCTCTTGCAGCTTCAAGTGCTTGCTGACGGACTGCGGATTCTTAACGCTTTCTCTTTCCGCTTTCACTCCATTATTATGGTCGTTACCAAACCACCACGTAATTTCCTTTATGTCTTCTTCTCTGCCAGACATGAATTATACAATATATTGCGTTTGGACTCCCCTGTGCCGTTTATACACTTTTGGTTGGGCACTACGTACTTCGTATTTATAAAATATTTCAACCATCTTTTTGGCAAAAGGTCAAATTGCCGTTTTCTTGTTTCGTTGTTTCTGTCACTTAACTTTTTGAGATTTGGAACCATGAGTATTTTTAGGTCAACTTTTTTAGCACACGCACACACACTCACCTTTCTAAAGCTCGCCGTTTAGCGTGGAACCAAGGCAGCCTTGAAGTGTGGATTTCCGAATCGTCGCATTCCTCCTTCGACTCCATTTCACCCTTCCAGTCGCCTTTGTCTGGCAAAACAAAACAAGACCGAAACGGTTGAAATGACTTGAATTTAATTCGTCGAGAAGATTTTAAAGGCAAAAAAGAAACAGCGACTTAAACTGAGCTACATACTTTATATTTATTCGTTTTTTAATGCCCATATTACTCACCTCGGCCTTTATCCTCTGCGTCAGGCTCGATATCCTCAGCTTGTGTTATCCAGTCGAGATAACCCCTCAAATCTTCCTCGATTTGCTGTTTTTCTCTCAGCTTTTGGAAATCTCCTCTCGCTTTCGCCTTCTCTCTCTCTTTGGAAAATTCACTAAAAATTACAGAATCATGAAGGTGAAAGGCCACTGATGAACAAGGTTGTGAAATTAAATCCGTCGTAATCATATTATAATAGCATAAACGTATTAGGTCATATGAGATGAGGGGTGATGAGCTACTTGTTAATCATAATCAACTTTCCAGATTTTTCCATGTCATAACCCCGATATCAAATTTCCAATGGGAATTGAATATCCTCAGGCCCCAGAATTTGAAGCCTATGAAATGCGATTCGGCATGGTCGTCGTCGTCGTTTCCTATGCTACCAATGCCTGTGTACCTAATCGAATCTATGATAAACAAGGAAAAGCTATCACACGTGCCATCATCCAACATCGTCATCATCGTCATCTTCCTCCTCCTCTTTAGTGTTGGTTGGTTGGAAACGCTACCACCACCACCGCCTTCAGAATGGGATTCATTAGCGATAATCAATTTGTCCACTCCACACGTATCAACATCAGCCAAAACTTGAACCAGGCTGACATCCAAGAGCAAACTCCATTTAAGTGGATATGATGACGAGAGGACAAGAGAAGGCAGACGTGGGTTGTCAATTGGGGAGCTTTTGTATGGAATTCGAATGGAATATTGTGCAATTGTTAATTTGCTCACCCGCTAAGCACACCAAGAATAAGGTTCATCACGAAGAAAGCTCCAATGATAACCATAGAGATGAAGTAGGTCCACTGCCAAGTGTTGCCCATTGCGTCTTGAATCTGCGGACGTGTTTTTTCCCAAAATCAACATTATGTTCGTAATCTCAATTCTCATCTTTTCTAAATTTACTGAGGAGTATATTTTGATTTTGTGAGGAATATGCGAGACTTACATCGTACATTACTTGGGTCCAGCCCTCTAACGTAATGCACTGGAACACTGTGAGCATGGCAAGGCCGAAATTATCAAAGTTTGTGATCCCATCGTGAGGCCTATCATCAAACCAATTAGCAATCAACAAGTTGAAGCTTTTAATTGCGTCTTATACATAAGTAATATGAACGTAATGATCATTTTAAAGCCGAGGAAAGTGCATAGGGATTTGTGATTAAAAAGCTCTCACCCTTCCCAACCGGATTCACACGAGTAGTTTTCACCCAGCTCATCACAATAGTAGCCGAAAGAATCACGGTCTGGAAATTTAGATTATTCATTTGCCTATAACTCTGCTTTTGAATAACTATCCGCGTATTTATTATACGTATGACGTGTACACTTTAAGTGAAAATGAATAGCAAATATACCTGGTTGACAGGGATGAGGGTCCTTCATAATTTCCCCTGAACAAGAAAATCCCGTGTTTTTAGTGTTACCGTATGAATTAATTCTCAAGGGTTTCAAGTGCACTTGGCAGTTTGTTACCTGTGTAGGTTTCATAACATGTGTGATGCAACTTTCCAGAGAAAAGCTCCAAGCCCACAATGGCGTAGATGATAATTACGAAAATGACCAAAAGAGCGATCTGCAATAATTTGCACATGTACAAAATCGCAATCAAATTTCAACTACTCTGGAAGTGGAAGTACTTAAGTACTTACATGTAACAAAGGCACCATGGCACGCAGAATTGAGTTCATGACCACTTGCAGACCTATTTTAAAATTACAAGTTGCCGAGTTAATTGGGTGTAAGTAGGCTAAATTAGAGAACGTCGTCATCATCATCCATCTATTTACTGGTGTATTATAATCACTGTGGGTTTGTATGTAGCATATTTAATATTTACTCACTTGGTACACCAGACACGAGCCGCAAAGGTCTTAAAACACGGAATGCTCGGAGCGCTATTGCATTGAAAACATTATTAAATACGTTCGCAATCCTCCCTCAGCTCACTTTCCTTTTGTAAGACTGCTTACCTTTTACATCAAAACCCTCCTTCATTAAATTTGAAAGAGCTGTGCTAATTAACCTGCAAAAAATGTATGAGCGTGATTTACCAAAGAATTTGAGTTTTCGCTTAAAAAAATACACCCTTCACTACATGCAGTTTACACTTTGCTTTTGTAATTAACATGAATATTTTTCGCACCAAGAAGAAACATAAAGGAAAGTAAACATTTAAAACGTCACATGCAAATTAATTATAAGGGGGACGTATGCATGGTTGCATTTAAAAAAATTTTAAGTCCGGTGAAAAGTATTTAATTTTGACATGTATTTTTTAAACGAAATATTCGTATGATATTGTCAAACGAATCGTACTAATTTCAAAGAAGTTTCATTTATGCTCTGTCCATATTGACTTAATTAACGAAATGGGACGTTGTCATGCAAAGAAGTAGGACTGTGGTGGGTGGGTGGGTCTTGTGTAATGTTAGACTTACCCTATGACTACAATTGTGAAATCGAGGAAATTCCACCCATTCCGGAGGTAGGATCCAGGATGAGCAACAAATCCATATGCTATGATTTTCATAAAACATTCTGAAACAAATTAATGAGATATTAAAAATGTATTACATTTCACCAAACTAATTTTCCAAGTAATAACTTCTTCCAGAAATTTGATATTAAATTACCTGCAGTGAAAATTATCAAAAACACGTACTCTATCTTTTCCTGTAAAATAAAACCAATTAAATTGTGGTAAATTAAAGACTGTCCAAATTGGATGAAGAAGTTGGATGACAATTATTATTCGTAACTTGCCAAAGTTTGATTTGTGCTGTTGGAATCACTGTTCGGGTATGGAGTGTATACAGCCAACTTAATAAAGAAAATGCAAGAAAATCATGTTATGCATAGATTAAACATGGTGAAAGGGATAACCAATTATGTATTTATGAATAAGCATTTATGGGTCTGTTCAATAATAATATCGGTAAATTAACAATTGTACTTACGGCTACACAGTTTGCGAAGATTGTAAGCAATATCAGGTACTCGAATGGTCTATGTGAGCAAGGAAAACCAAAATTAATCAAAAGTTGGAAACAAATTAATGGGGCTTTAATAAAGATACTTTTGTGATGAAGAAGCTCTCAACTTATTTCAAGTTTTGGTAATTTCAACCAAAAACTATAATACTTTCCGCTCATTCAACAAGTTCTTTACATAGGAAAATGTTGAAAGCATGTTATGCTGCACAATTTCGATATCCACCCAGCTTCACTTCTGAAACTTTATTGCTCAATAAGCACCGAAAATTTCTCTCATCTTGAAGAATTGTGTTGCATTTGGTGGAAGGAAACGTGCAATTAACAATGTCTCAAGCCCTACTCACTCATTACTCAAGGAGCCGAGTCAAGAGTGAGTGATTGTGTGAATAAAAAAAGATGTAGGGGAAAAAATCAAGCAGAAACTTACTTCCATTCCACCACGTCAATGCACATTTTGCGAATCGGGTTTTTAAGGGTGAAGTAGAATAAGGCCCGTGCAGGTCGGTCCTGCACGACCTTCCCACGACGGACTGGTGGTTTCCTCTGCTTGTTCATGGCAGTGGCACTAAGCGCAGTTTCCCATGCTGACGACAGGGGTTTTTCCTCCTCCCCCTTTTTGATGAGAACGCTGGTTCCTCCACCCCCAAGACTGGTGGTGGCGACTGCGACGGCAGAGCTGGTGCCAGCAATGATACTGGCGTTGTGATAATTGGGCTTGGCGGTGGTGGTCCCTTGGGTGGTGAGGACGATGGGGACGAGGATGGGCGTGGCACTTGGAGCGATGCGAGGGATGGACGGCTGTGGCGGTGGGTGGAGGAGTGGGGCCACAATTTGAGTGACTTGTGGCCCTTGGCTGACTTCGTCTTCGTCTTCTTCTGGTGTCTCGACCTCGACTCCCACACCACTTTCTTCCAATCTACCATTGTCCACCCCACCTGGAAAAAATACAGTATTTAGTCGAAATTGGAGTCAAATTTCTTGTGTTGTTATTTGTCTAAAAATTTTCGTGACATGGAAAAAGGAGAAATTGAAAAACTTCAATTTATGTATATTTTTCGCATGTAGTTTCAACATCTCATTATCTATGCGAAATTGGCAATTCCCTTAAACAATATCGCCTCCAATGCTATTTCATCCTTATTCAAATCCTATCAGGTTAGAACTACATGCTACATATTAGATTCAGTCTGTGTAGCTGCATTTCAAAACTTTGGAAAATCTACTGGAAGCACATGTCGTCGTCCCATTTTCCGGCCTTGAAACTCGTGTTCTACACTTGTTTTCCCCTCCTTGACAAAAAAACTTTACTCTTTGCCAAACCACTGTTCTCCGGCTTGGCTAACAGGCAGGTGGATCAGTGGTAATCAGAACCGCTTTCTCTGGAAAACACCTGGACCAAGTGTGTGAAGGAGTCTTTGGAGAAAGTGGGTTTGGCCGGCTGGTTGAGACTCAAGTAGCGGAACAAGAGATGCAAATTGACAAATTGAATCCCTTTTATTTTCTCAAGTAGAGAGGCGAGACGACCGATTTTCTCATCTCCTTCCTGCCTTCCTCTCGTACTTTCTCTTGAGAGGAGTTCATTGAATAGGATCGAACTCGGTGTCGATTTTCAATTGTCGAACATTGGAAATTGCATCGATTTAGTTGTTGTAGAGGTGTCGATCTCCTTGTTGTTTGCCCCACTCATGTCGTAATGCAATTCATCGCAATTTAGCCAGTCAAGTGAGCCAACCAATACTCTGGGAAATTGCGACTGGGTCGTCCCTTTATCCATCCGGACTTGGCACCGTCAATCGGCTTCAGATTTCTTCTCCTGCCTCCCACTTTCCGTCAATATTTCAAAACGTCCAACCTCACAACCTTACAGATTCACACGACTACTTTTGTCTCTGAATTTGTCTACGCAACTTTCTTATTTGGCGATGGAATCGAATAATGCAAATATGTAAATAAATTGTGACAAACTCGTGACTCGATCTCGGTCTCATATTGGAAACCATCCCACAGTTCTACAGGATATTTACAGTACAGTTCTGCCGTCGGATTTATTTATCACAGCGTTGTTGGCACAGTGCGACATGCATATTTCTAAATTCCAATGTCAATGGGAGAGAAAGTAATTATACGAATGGATTATGCAGCAATTTTTTACCAAGTGAACTTTGATATATGCAGTTTGCATAACAAATAGAAAAGGAAATTGTATTTGATTTGAGAAATTGCATCGTAATTTGGAATTCTGAGAGACAAGCCGAATAAAAGATTGAGCCCGAAGATTGAGGAAGGAAAAAAAAGTTTATGCCATCACCCCGCCTGCTGCTGCACTTTTCACCTTTTCCTTCACACAAAGGGTGTCGCATTCCATCAATCACGTGTCGGATGTACTCACTCCAATTCTGACTTAATTTGACCGTGACGCTAATAAAATCGGATCGGGACGGGGAGCTTGGAGAGGACGAGAGCGTTTATACGTATTGACTCCTTAAGTTACTGCATCGTTTGGAGTACAAAAGCCAAAATGCATGTGTGCAGGAATTTTAAAGTGCGACAGAAAGTTTCATGTGAGAAATTGTGTGTGATGTGCCGATTCGCTATTTTTGTCCTTTTCCTCCTTCGTATTTCTAGCATTTATTAATTGTCCTCCCACACAATGGCACAACAAGCATTTTCATCGTGTTCACTTGTTCTGTGCATGACTATAGTGCATACAAGACACATTCTTCCTATTGTGACTTGACAAGACAAAAACTGTTGTGCAGGGTCCAGGGTTCCTAACACACTGTGATTTTTAAGAAAATATAAACAGCTTGGTAATTTTTTGTGTGAAAAGAGGAAATCACATCTGCACTGAAATATTTCATTTGCAAACACAGAAGACTTGAATCTAGTCAAGTAAAACATATTTTATGCATGTATGAACTAACAGGTATTTTTCACATAAAGGCCTATCACCGCAATTTCACCAAAAGTTTACCACAATTTTACCATTTTCAAGAGTTTTAGATTTCTGCAAAGAAATACTAAAATACGTAACATTGTGATACAAAACAAACACATTACACAATACCCACGGAACCCTGAATGCAATCAATAATCGTCAGTAGTCCGACATCTCGGGAGAGGTGAGTAACTATTTGTACAAGAGGTTGAACGTGACAAAATTTCAGATTAGGCGAAATGAAACTGAACGAGCAAGCAAGAATATAAGTCTCTGAATATCTCAGATTCCTCCGTCACTCCATTCATTACTTTTCCTCCTGCCTGTCAGACCAATCTTTAGTTTAACCAAAAGCAGCATTATTTACCTAACCCGGTTTAAGATGCGAGATTAGCAAATGGATGTTGTCCCAGGTTCATCAACGCGGATAAATTGTCGCATGAGACAACGAGAGGACATTTGCCCACGCAAAAATAAATATTTATGCAGGAAATGTAAAATCTTCATTTCTATCGCATTCCGCATTGTTTACCGTCATTTCGTTAATTTTTATTACACTTTTAATCTCTGTGCGATTAAACAATCTTGATTTCCATCAAAATATGTTTAGCCATCCACATCCGGAGAAAGTCTACCCGAGTCCATTCTCAACCGGGAAAGCAGCCGCCTTCAACTTCTTGTTTTCATAACTAACTTTATTGCATGGATTCTCAAAACAAGTTTGGGCTGCTGGCTGGTGGGCTGTTGGTTTGTGTTGTTCTCTGACTTTGTCTACATCTGCTCTGTTGGTTTTGATATAACAATTGTTTTCCTTTTTCCTCGATGGTGTTCCAAGTAAAAGATGACACACATTTGACTCCAGGTTACAATAAGGAGGGAACAATGAGTTGGTGTGCAGGGGTAAAGCACAAGTGCGACTGAGGAGAGGGTTCCTGCTAACTTTAGCTTTTTGTCTCAAGTGGGGAACGGGTATTATTTTGGGTGTCTGACGATGAGAGAACTGTTCTTTAATATTTAAGTGGCCGCCTAACTCATTTTCTTTCCGTACTTAATTAGCGAGTTGGAAAAGTGAGATGCTTTGGAGAAGTCTAGCCTTCGGAAAAGTATATTTGAAATAGGAACCAATTGAAATTAAACATGCCGTAATTTATGGGTCACCTCTCCTTTCCTTCCGCTCTTTGAATTTGAACTTGAGGAACAGAGAAGAGGAAACTTGTTTTAACTTACTTTAGTGGAACGTGAAAGTCGAAAGGTTTACTTGGGTTAATTATTCGCTCCTTCGCAACTCCTCAAGTTAGTTAGGCAGTCAGTCAGCCTGGATTGAAAGGGTTTCCAACTTTTTCTTCTCCGAGAAGCAGAAGATAATGAATAGATGAGGTGAAGGGCGTGTAATTGAAAATGCCAATAATTGGAGTAATCATTTCGGCCCCTGCCTATCCCGACCTTTTCCTGCTATTGTTACAAGCAACTTTTTGAAACTTTAAAAAATAAATGATGATGATACGCTACAGTTGCTCAGGTTAAGGATGTTATTTGCATTGTGATGAGAAAGTTTCTTCTCATCATTATAACAAAAAAATCTAATAATCTCTCCACTCTGCACAGCCAGATGCATATGCATTACACAAGTCCGCCATCATTGACTTGTTGTATACGTACATATTCTCATCCTATATACGTAAAAACCAGGTATAATTGAAGAAAAAAAATGTCTTGCTTAATCCAAATTCATTTTCAATTTTGAGCATGAAATGGGAGTTTGATTAAATTTATGGTTCTTTTGATCTTATCTGATTCTCTCAATACGTTCGTAACGATAGCCAGAGCTACTTTTGCTCTGATTCCACTCGCAAAAGTGGAAGCCGTATTGGCCGCGATCTTGTTTTTGTTCTCAATTGAGTGATCTTGGAAAAGTCATGGGAAGCAATCAAGAATTCTCATAAAGCAAATTCACTCAGACAAAAAGAAGAAGGGCCGGACGCCGGTGTCAACCAAAGCCAATAATCAGAAGTGAGACCCTGTCGTATCAGTTTGCGTCCTATAACTGACCCGAGAGCGAGTGGAGAAAGTGTGTCGGGATGAGCAAGGAAAAAGTGGATCTGGTTTCTGGCCAATTTTGATTTAATGCTGGACGACGGCTTTGTTCTGCTGTCGACTTATTCTCCTTTCACCACCACCCCACGAAAATACACATTCGAACCAACGCACGTATCCACCACCAACTCCACCATCACAAACAACCCATGTTGCTCTCTGTTCATCTCGTTCGTGGACAATTCTTTCCCTTGCCCTCTGTTATTGGGCACATGGCCAGTGCACGCCCACCCTCGGCTACAATATTATTCCAGATATTTCACTCAACTTTCGGAAGCATACTTTTTATTTATCCGCAGCATCCGAAATCATGGTCTGCCTTGCTCCCTTCGCCATCCACACAAAAGAAGAGAGTAAAGAGTTCAAGGAGGAATTCGCTCCTCGCTCAATTTATATTTCATGATGACTAATTTATATAATACTGAATTCAGATGAGGGCAAGGAGATACCGAAAGAACTTTTTTTTGGGGGGTGATTTTTTGTCGTATAAAACTACAGGAAATATACGTTTGGTCATAAAGGGGACAAAATTGTCCATTTTTCTGCATTAGGCATAATTCGAAATCGGCAAGTGGCCAACAACAGAGGGAAAGATGGTGGTGCAGGGTAGTTGGTTAGGTGGTAGCGGTGCATTATATGACAGCAGGAGCCAGACTGGCAGACACGTTCTTTTACTCTGTTCTCAGTCGGTATTAAACCAGCAAGAAATAGAAACGGATAAGATTTCCTCTCATTTTTTGCAACCTTTTGCAAGCTTCTCGGACTAGAGCTTTCTCATCGCAACATTTGATTCTGCTTGCTGTATGAATATATTTTTGGTTATTTATTGCTCCTAAGACCAAACTTGTAGTCACAGTTTCATAATATTTTCTAATCTCATCAACCTTCGGTGCGCATTAAGGA